ATAAATTAAATAGTTTTTTATAACTTAATATAATACTTTTTTATTAGCTTAAAATAAAAATAATTTTTACTTTTTTTAATCTATTTTCTATTACCTCTATAATATAGTAGTTCTATACTAAAGAGTTCTATATAGGTTAATATATAAATTATAGGTTTAAATCTTATTAAAAATACTATATTCTAATTTTCTATTAACTAAGTAATATAATAACTAACCTATAAAAAATATATAATAAAATAATTATAGGTTTAAGTTAAGATAAAAAAAGTTAAAAAATATATATTAATTATTATATTATCTAATATTTTATAATATAATTAAAATTAAAAATTATTTAAATATTAAAAATTATAATTATAAAAAAGATAATAATAAAAAAAGCTTATTAACTATTTAAGAATATATATAAATAATATAAATTTTAATATATTTATATAAATAATTAATTAATTAATAATATAAAATATAACTTTTTATAATAAATTAGTATTTTATTATAAAGAAGTTATTAATTATTAATAAATATTAAGAATTATAATATAATAATAAATAATATAAAAAGTATAGGTTTTTATTTAGGTTAGGTATAGGCTAAAGATAGTAAAGTCTTAAAGTAATAGTTAAGTAATAGTTTTTCTATATTATTAACTATTAAAGGACCTAATATTTTATAAAGATAATAGAGGTAGATTAATAATAAAAATAATAATATATTTTCTATAAGTAGTTATTAAGTAATATATATATTAAAATAAAAGATAATAAAACTTAGTAAAATAGCTTATTTATTTATCTAGCTTATTTACTTATTAACTATATTATTCTTTTTTTATATTTTTAGGAGGTAATTATAATAGTTATAGTAGTTAGTTTTTTAGTTAATTATTTAACTAATTAGAGGCTAGTAGCTATAGAAGAAGAATAATCCGCTGTTAAGACGTGGATGTCTAGTGACCTCGGCGTACTTGAAGCCGGGCAAAGTCCCGCCCCACCATTATTTCAAGGGTTGGATTATATAGTCAGAAATGAGGATATAATTCAGATCCAGGGATGGCCACAGCTGCCTAAATAATATTGGCATCGCCATTCACCTAGTAATGTCTTGGTTACTCGCATGTGATGATTGGGGGGACCTTGGACCTGCCCGGTTCTCGTGGTTCTTGCCTAACTTTGCGGAGAAAGAATGATGCGCGCCCAATAAGGCTAGACTATGGTAGGAAGCTCAGTGCAACAGACCGTCACTGCTGTATGTCATCGCTGCGGGCAGTCATGTCATCGCCACTTCATCATTACGGCTAGCCAAGTTCATGCAACATCGCCAAAGCCTACCTGACACCGCTTTCTGACGATAGGCACGATTTCAAATTAGTCGGAATTATACACGAGACGGACGGCTTCGCGAGATGAAATTCTTTCCTCAGATTGCCGCCGCTTTGGCACTGCTCCCGGGCGCCCTCGCCGTTGACCGTAAGGTTTCTGTGATTGTGTCTTTTGACGACCGGGATACTCCTGACTCTGTTGTCGCCGCGGCACGACAGAAGATCATTGATGGAGGCGGCCAAATTACGCATGATTACCAGATAATCAAGTACGTTTCATATTCCCACCTACCTGCATCAGAGGCTAACCAAGCTATGCAGGGGGTTTTCCGCTATTGCACCTGAAAAATCGCTCGAAATGGTACAGACCTTTGGCAGTGATCACTCAATTAGGGTGGAAGAGGATCAGGTCCTCACCGCGAATAGCGGTTGAGGTTTTTATTCAGCACGTGTATATGTTTTTGCGAAAATATTCTTATGGGAACTTGACTATCCATGTCTTTCGAATGGCGTTACTTATAGCCTTGTCTTCCTTCTGTCCTTCGATTCTGGCGAAACTTGTGGAGTCTGACCGGCAAGTTATCACTTATAATTTAAAGCATACCATTTTTTGGCGCACAAGCACCCGGCTTTCGCGCACGTCCGATATGCAAACAAATTCTTAGATAGGTGCAGATATACCAGAGCACGCCTGGCGTTCCCTAGCAGAGATTCAGCTCAAATACTGTATCGTAGTGGCACAAAGCTAAAACCCATAAATAGCCGTTGGTCACTGCGAGATTCCACTGTTGTACGAAGTAGAAAGTGGGTCTGATGTGTTGAATGTCCTCCGTAGCCCAAGAGTCGGTCGAGGTGTGGACGCCCATCTTGGATCTTGCACAGCTGCCCAACCCGCAACATTAGCTTCTGAGCACAATTTACGACTACTGTGCGTGTCAGTTTCCAGGAGAAAAGGAACCCTCCGAAATCTCACTCCTAGACTCTACATATTCGTCATGTCGCCACGTTCGAGAGCTTCCTGCCCTGCCAATCGTCTTCCCTGCTTCTTTTGAATGCCGAGCAGCGCCCCAGTACCAAGCACATACCATCACAACCCCTTACGAGCTACTTGATTGCCTACGCAGAACGCCATGCCGGTGTATAGCAACCGCGCGCAGGTCGCGCTCTTAAAAGCCGTCAGTATCCATCCAACCTCACACCGCTCAGCGATTCATGTTGCGACATGACGAAATCTAATCAAATGATCCTCAGGTCAACCATGTGTTTAGTCTCGACCGGAAAGCCGACTCTTTGGAAGATCTAACGAACGGTATTATCTTGGCAAATATCTTGCACGAATTAGATGCTGAGTTCGATCCATCTCATCTGGAATCCAATCCCGCCACGTCTCGATACCTGACGAATAAGCGCAACATACAAGCCGTGTATAAGGGCTTGTTTCGCTTTATCCGGCGGCAAATTCCAGAGCTAGGTTGTCAGGCTCAAAGATTCGACTATCATGCTGTCGCTGAGAACCCTGAGCCGCAAGGGCTCAGCCAGGTGCGTCACCACTTCGAATAGGTCCTTGACGAATAGAATGGCAGAATGGCAGAATAGCAAGCTGACAGACAAAAAAACATAGCTCCTTGCTGTTATGGTGTCTGCCGCAGCCATGGGACCGGATAACAAGAAATACGTTCCTCTGATTCAGACCAGCCTCGATAAAGTCAATCAGGCAGAAATCATGAACATTATCCGCGCAATGCAAGTCGACGCAGCAAACGCTGGCGATGAAGACAAGCTTCACGAAGATATGGAGGCAGTAATGGAAGCCAGAGACATGGATCTTGTGGTTGAAGAACAAAATGCGGCCTTGCGACAGCAGCTTGACATCAATAAGAAGGCTCTCTCCGACTATATTACCCGTCTCGAACATTTGCAGCAGAGCCACGAAGAACTCAAATACGAGAAGGAACGGAACGATCGAGAGCTCGAAGTGCTACGGAAAGCCACGAAAGATGGTGCCAACAATGCCGAGGCCATTCGTCTTTTGGAGGATCAGGTGCATGAACAAATGGAAATAATCGCGAAGAACGAAGAAAGCATTCGTAATCATGAAAGGGCGCGAGCACAGTTCGAGACCGAAGTTCAGAAGCTCACCCAAAGGAGTCAGCATGCAGACGAACTGCGAGACCAAGCTACAGAATGGCGGCATAAAGCTGAAGAACTTGAAAAAAAAGCCAACGCTGCTGAACGCTACAAACAAAAGCTCGAATCACAACAGCATCTTGTGAAAGAAGTACAAAACCTTCAGTACGAACGAGCAGAATTGCAGGAGCAGCTCCGGTCGCTGATGGACGAGCGTGAAAAAGGAGACAGAACGAGAAAAGCGGAAGACGAACTGACGCGAATGTTGACACAATCTGAACAGCATCTATGGGATGAGCGCAGCCAGAAAACTCAGCTTTTGAAGGACATGCAAACGCTTGAGGATGAACTGCTGCGACTCAAGGCGCAGCGTAGCCACGATGAACATTTTATCCAAGAGCTACAGGACCAAGTGCAGCACGGAGGTGGGGCTTCGCAAGCGGAAACTTTAGCTCTCCCAGCTTCCTCCAGTCTACAGGACGAGTTGAACAGTGCATCAAGCGATGATGGGCAGAAAAACATCCCCCTTGAATTGTCAAGGTTCAAAGCGGAGAATGACTTGCTACGGAGAACCATCGGATCTGCTGGAGACGCCGCTACGTTACGAAAGGAAGCAGATGACGAAAAGAAGCAACGCGAAAGACTTCAGCAGAGCTTGAACGAATTGTTCGAAAAGCATACGATAGTTCAACATCAAATAGAAGCTCTCATGCAGAGTTCTACCGGAGAAAGGTCCGTAATCTTCGGCTACCGCCCCGTCTTGAACAATGTACTAATATTCGTGTGCGTATAGCTCTAAGGCGTTCATTGAATTGCGTTCTGAACATACGCGAACCCAAAATGAGCTTCAGCAATTGAAAAAGCGTACTGCTGATCTGCAGGTCAAACTTGCAGACAAGGACCGAGACCTGATGGGGGCGAAGACGGAACTTTCTGCCGTTCAGAAAGATGGTATTTCCGCGCTAGACCAGCTCAAGAGCACAGATAAGCTCATATCTGAGTCTTTGAAGGCTGAACTCGATCGTCTGCGGGAGGAACTTGCTTTCGTCAGCAACGAACGCGAATCTCAGAAGACCCAGCTGATCGACGCTTTGCTCGCGAAAGACAAATTCCGGAAGGATGCTGAGGAGGCAAAGGAGCTTCAAGAGACAGCTGCTCTCAGTACTGCAAACCAAGACTCTTCGGGAGCAGCCAAGAAAGCAGCAGAGAAGATTGAGAAGTTGCGGAATCGTCTCATTGAAAGGAAACAGGTAAGCTCACTACTTTCGCTACCCTAGAATGGCATTATGTGTCAATGGTGACAGAGAGCGCTGCACCATGCTCTGAGAAGCATAGAATGGAAAGAAAATTTTAGTGGCATTTGCTCGGGGGCGAGGGCAATTAATCGAATTGCATTCGGAAGAGAGCTAACATATAAGAAAGCAACTCGAACAAGCCGAGCAAGATAAAATCGATCTGCAAAGAGAATTAAAGGTTTTGCAGGGAGGCGAGCTTGCCACAGCTCAAAAGGTATGTCACCGGAACCAGACGTGTTGGAAGCTATCGTGGCAATGGGTAATGGAAGCTGACCACTCTTATCCATAGGCTGCCACGGAGAAAATGATCAAGAATTTGCAGCGCGAGAATGTACTCATTGCTACGGCATGGTACGATCTTACCAGTCGTCTGCAGAGTAATCACGTCGTACTTCAACGCCGGCACGATGCGCCCAAGAGCTGGTTGAACAAGCAGAGGCAGATGGTCCATGGTCAGTTGCGCCAACGCGACATGCTCTACCTCTACTGAGCTAATATTCTCAGCTTCCCCGCGGAGATAGGATCTAGGAGGTTGAGCTCCGTGTCTGTTTCGCGATTTCGACCGCCGCCACACACTACGTCTCTTCGTCCTACTGTATGGTGGACATGGGTTTCCCGGGATGTTTTGGCGGATAAGAGAAGAGGAGGAGAGGGAGGAACGAAAATCACCCTAACTATGGACTGGCCAGCCATGAGTACTTGTTTGCACATAAATGCAGGCCCACCCAATCCATATGCCAGAGCCTTGCTTCACTTCACAGCTGCATCACTTTTCTAATATCTTGTGTACGCTTCGAAAAGTGGCATGTTCAGTTCGCGGCACGTCGTGTGTGCAATGCAAAGCTGTTTCAGCGTTAGACAGCTTACACAGAAATCATTTTCACCGAGTTGAAAACAAACAAAACTAGATCAATCTTTTGTCGCACAAGAGTCACAAGTGGAATCGTGAAGAAATTTATTCTCTAACTGCAGTGAAGATGCCAAACGCCGCCCACCAAGACGTCGAGGCACCAATACATAATTTTATCATAACCCTAAGACCACAGACAGCAAGTACGATGCCGCTGTCGAAAGACATGTACCCTGCGTGCCCCGACACGCTTTTATCCAATTACACCTCCCATTCCCCGTCAGAAAGCCCAATGGCGCGCTGGTCGCGAGATGGGCGGTTCTACTGTCGACGTTCGAGGATGTTCAGCATGTTCTGCCACACTTGGCCAGGCTTCTGGCTGGCGTCAACGCCGTGCCAGATGCCGTGCTCGCGGTAATAGCCGACGACAGGGGTGGTCTGCTTGTGATAGGAGCCAAGACGCTTCTTCAGAGCCTCGGCGTTGTCATCACTGCGCTGGATGAGAGGCTCGCCGGTGATGTCGTCTTTCATAGCCTCCTTCGGGGGGTTGAAGGTGGTGTGGTAAGATCGGCCGGAAGCAGGGTGGATCAGTCGGCCGGTGATACGGGCCACAAGGAGAGCGTCGTCGATTTGAAGCTCGACGGCGTGCTTGAGGTCACGCTTGCGCTCCTTGAGCATGGCATCGAGACCCTCAGCCTGGGCGACAGTGCGGGGGAAGCCATCCAGAATGAATCTGTAGCGGTCACTAAGTCAGAAGAAGAACCCGGTGAAGGATTTGGTATGTTTGCTCACCCGCCTTGGCACTCCTTGTTGTTATCCAACTCTTCCTTAATCATACCAATGACGATGTCGTCAGAAACAAGACCGCCCTGGTCCATGATTTTCTTGGCTTCACGTCCTAGAGGCGTCTTCTTGGCAACCTGGGAGCGAAGCATGTCGCCAGTAGCCTGTGGCGGGCCAAGAAGCAAATCGTTAGCTGTCAACGCCATGTGGTGCACCTGGTCCGGGAGCGCAATTTGTACATACCAAGTGGCAGCATGAAAAACGCTCCTTGATCTTGGGCGCCTGGGTTCCCTTGCCTACATTGCGAAATGACATTAGCAATTGGCCGAGTGCGACAGCGCAGCATGGAACTACGCGGTCGCAGCCAGGGTCGGTCTGTCAATGGGCTCTTGACTGACCAGCTCCAGGGGGTCCGATGAGCAGCATGCGAATCTCCTCAGTCGAAACAGGAGCAGCAGAGCCGGTGGCACGCTGTTCGAGGCTCTTGATGCGGGATTCTAGGTTGCCAATGACATCCTTTAGCTGCTTGAGCTCATCCTCAACGATGCCCATCTTGACTGCGGCTTGAGAAGGTTTGTTGGAAAGTGAATATAATCAAACAAAGGCTTGCTGGCAGCCGAATATGTAGCTAGTCGGGAGCACGAGGAAGCGGAGGATACAACAAAGGCGCAATGCCTGGGAGTGTCGCGGACAAGGCGGCAGAGGAAAAATCACGGAAGCGAGGTGAAGAGATCGAGAAAAGTAGTGACGCTGGCACTACAACCTTGTGCGGTCCGGCACGGCAAACGCACGGGGATTCAGTGACCTGGTTATTACCTAGGTAGGTACCACCTACGCACAATATGGTAACCTACTGTGGTAGCAAAGCTCCGTCGGTGCGAGCGCCCTGATTGGCCTGTGGATGTTACTGCGAATTTTTTTTTGGCGCAACGCAAAGTAGCGGATACCAGGAAGACACTTCCACGTGCGGGTGCTTCGCGGAGCTGCCTGTGCTAATGGGCAGGAGCAAGTCAACAAGCTCGCTGTAATCGGGCTTACGGGCCTGAAGCCGAGGAACCTACCAGGTACTCAATACTTCATTCGAGTTACAGCTCGGTATTGCTGGCAACCCCGGCCGTACGGCAATATCTCCTTCTTGACGGCCATGCTCTAAACCTGTGTTATTTTCGTACCTGCAATTTTACTAGTTTTCTATGTAAGTACCTGCCGTTTGCGAATCTTCCAGACATCTTTCTGCGAGTACACTAGCACTGGCAGCTATTTTGCCAGCTTGTCACGTGACTTGCCGTACACGTGACGCTGTCACAGTTCAGCGAGACACCAGTACATGTGGGAGTAGTTATCACAAATACTTATTTTCAAAGGTGAACTGTATCAAATGCTCACCGATATTGTTCTCATCCGTATCGAGGGGATGTTGACGATGTTCAAGGCTCCCAAGCGGCTTACAAGCGCAATGGCCGAAAACGTCGGTCAGTGTTATAGCTGCACCACGCCGAACAGCAGGTGAATAGATATACAGCACATTGAAGTATACTTTGCAATAAAGGCAGCAGGCTCGACGCCTGAGGCAACATCATGAACCCACTCCTTTGTCTTTCGTTTCGCCGCCCCTCGATCTCGCCAAGGCCATCAGCAACAGCAACAACACCACGATTCGTACGCTCCCCTTCAGAAACAATTAAAATTGCAATAATTACACTCTCCTGACGATACTCAAGCGAAGTCCAGGCAACATCCTGGCTTTTATACATATTGACCGTCCCCGAGTGGTAGCAAAGGGGTAGCAAAGTAAGCCGGCGGCTATATCTCCTCTCTGCTCGCCTGTTTCATCTATGATAGCCTAAAGTCGAAATTTTCAAGCATTCAATCAAGTAACAACTCATAGCACGGTGCCTAAATCACTAGATCATATTTTGTGTAACGATGGTAAGTGATTTTTGCTACCTACGCGCAGCAGCAGCTTCCTGCCGCGTGGAAGATAAATTGGGCTTTATGAAACCGAAAGCGACATTCGTTACAATGATGTAGCACTTGTTGTGTTTTCGGGATCAGTGACGGATTCCCCATCGGAACGATCTTAGTGGGCTGCACCGCCCCGGGGGACTTCTGTTGACGTACTAGGCTATAATTCATAAGCACTGTGGTACGACAGTGCATCATTGGCACTGTGGTTGTCTGAGACCAGCCGATCTGCCGGACTGCTGTGAATACGATATCCCCTTATTGAATGTCACAAGGCACAGCCGGTATCAATACGCAATGACAAGGGCGGAAATTCAAGTACGCTGAGAGACGAGCTATATGCCCTGTCTCATGGTACCTTCCCGTGGAAATTGGAGGAATATCAACTTAGTAATCTATGGCATCAGAAATCAAGTTCCCAAGAATCTCTATCTCAATGATTGGCTACTATCCTTGTGAGTGACCGCTCCGGAGCCCGGGCATCTAAAGGCGTACCACACGCCAGCCAATCATCCACTGTCTGTAGCCAATCACTGTGCCAACCCCGCATCTCTATTGCAGCCATTTCATGATATGAATGACTGAGTGATGCTACTTGCGGCTTTAACACCATACACTTTGCCTGCCACAAGGCGTGGATTGCAAATTACTCGCGTGAGTGCAGCGCCGCCGGAGGAGGCTAGAATGTTCACCGGCAATCTGTAGAGCAGAAACGTCTCGCTGAACTGAACAGCAGCGACTGTACGCCGTCTGTACGACTTGCATGAAGACTAAAATCCTATAATACTAAAGTCTAGGTGGAATCATTTGCCATACAGCATTCATCCTGCACGGAATCGGAACTTGGGGTCGGAATTGGGGCCGGAAACGTGTGCTTGAGCTGCAGTTGCCAACCTATATATAGTGGCTATTCGAGTCGCCGCACCCCTCAGTTTGTACGCATCCATTTCCTCGGAATATCCGTTGAAGATCACTACAAGGAAGAGCTTCGGAGGCAGCAAACGCCACGTCAGCAAAACATGGTGCTCCAACCCCAGAACATCGATTCCTTTGATTTCATCATTTGCGGGTATGTCATTGGACCCAGCGTTAGCTCGCCAAGGCCAGCCTGCTGATGCATTGCAGAGGGGGTACAGCTGGCTGTGTGGTGGCTGCGGGCTTAGCAGAGGACCCGACGACAACTATCTTAATCATTGAGGCTGGTTCGCACATTAAAGATCTTGAGAATGTGCACATGGTGGGCGGGTGAGTCACTCCGATTACAAACAAAAGCATCGTGACTTGACGCGTTTCGCAGCTGGTCGGGATTGCTTGACAAAGAGAGTGATTGGAATATCATAACAACTCCCGGAACAGGAATCAACAATCGACAAGTAAAGCTGAGCAGAGGGAAACTTCTTGGCGGCTGCTCGGGCTGTAACGGTACGCTTTGTATACGCGGATCTAAGCAAGACTATGATGACTGGCATATGCCAGGTTGGAGCGGCGAAGAATTTTTTGCATACATGCGCAAAGTAAGGCTTGGCCTCATCTATTGCTATCAAAGTCATTTCTAGGGCCTGCGAGGAGCTTTGCTAACGTGTATTAAGGCCGAGTCGTTTGTGAGCAAGCCTTGGTTCAAGGCATCAAAATCGTCTCACGGATACAGCGGTAAACTGGGTGTAGAGCCACATGATCTGGCTCCCATCTCGAAGCTCGTTCTGCAATCGATGCAGTCCAAGGGTCTCCCGCTCGACGATGACATGTTTTCGCACGGAGAAAACCCTCATGGTTGCGGACATGTACCCCGAACGGTAACGAATGGTGTACGAACAACAGGGGCTGATTTTATCACGAATGCGAATGCCAGAAATAACATCACGATTCTGGCAGGTTCTCATGTTCAAAAGGTCATTCTAGAGCGCGGCCCAGATGGAGAACTTATGGCTACCGGGGTCAAGGCTCTTTCGGGAGATGGGCAGATAATTCAATTTACCGCTAAAAAGGAGGTTATTGTAAGTGGTGGCGCTTACTGCAGCCCGAACATCTTGAATCGGTCGGGAATTGGCGCCAAGCAAGAGCTTGAGAAAGCCGGGATTACTACCCTCGTTGACTTACCCGGCGTTGGAAAGAATTTGATGGACCATCTAGTAAGTCTGCTTGTAGAGAACACAACGAACTGAGTGCTGAGATAAGACTAGATCGTCTTCATCTTTTATGAAACCGACCAGCCCGGTTTAACCAATGACCACCTCGTCCATCACAAAGACGCCTTCGCCAAATCATACGCTTTGTGGAAAGCTGAGAAGAAAGGCTTCTTGTCGACATTCCCATTTGGCGCATTTGCTTTTGCTCGCCTTGATGAGCGCTTGAGTGAATCCGAACTGTGGAATAAGGCCCCGAGAGAACAAGGCCGCGATCCAATGGGATTGACACCGGCGCAGCCTAGTATTGAGTTCTTTACAACCGAATGTTATGGAGGCCCAAAGCAATTTTCCGATTTTCCTGTTGATGGAAAATCGGCGTTCAGTATTATAGTAGAGCTTTTTGGCTCTAGGTCCCGAGGAACAGTGGCTCTGAAAGATGCAAACCCGCTGTCGGCCCCCATTGTCGACTGCCAGTATTTGTCTGACCCTCTCGATGTGGAGGTTTTAGCAGAGGCATGCCACTTTGGGAATGAAATCATCACGCAAGGCTCGGGAACCAAAGACATTGTCAAGGGCTCCTGGCCACCTGAGGCTGCTCACCACACATTCTCTTCCCGCGAGGAATGGGTGCCGTATGTCAAGAATAATGCAACGACTTGTAAGTGATCTTACCACTCAATATTATCGAGCTCTGCGCTGAGTAATTGTCAGGCTATCACGCCGCCGGTACATGTCGGATGGGTGACTTGTTGGATGAGCGCACCGTTGTTGACCACAATCTCTGTGTGAAAGGGGTGAAGTCGCTGAGGGTTGTCGACGTTAGCATCATGCCGATTCTCCACGGTGGCCATACGCAGATGCCTGCATTTGGTATTGGGGAAAAGGCAGCCGATCTGATCAAGAAATCATGGCAAGTCGTAGAAGTAAAAAAACCTGCCAAAGCAGTTTAGCAATGAATGCTCTGTTAAAGCGGCGACTACGCAGCTTTACCACAATGCATACTTATCCGGTCACGAATACCTGTCCCGCAATGCGCAGATCAATTGCGGTTATCCATTATTAGCCATAGCAGATCTACTGATCATATTATTCGCGTGCATCAAATACTCTTTGTCGTCACGCGTCGCCTTTGCCCGGTCGTGCATCTTCGGTATTGTGGTAGGTGACAAAACGAGACGTCGCTGACTGTGCTTGCTGTGTTATTGATTTGAACTTTTGAACTAAAAACGACCCCTTAGTTATCATTTGCTGCTATATCTCTCTCCTTCTAGTCCTTCTGAATGGTCTATTCGTGAGCCCTTTGCCATTAGCAGGGCCTAAAGCGGCGTTGACAGGGCGCGTGCTGGTGGTTGACTAACGAGGACATGCGTATCCACTGGCTGCCTACCTCCCTTGCCACATCGGTTTACTGACCTGGTGAGCTTCCAGTCTGCATCTTACTCTCGTCATAATCAGCGGCGCACCGAATTGGCTGCACCTTGAGCGCAAGCTGTACCGAATCGCATCTTGCAGTGCTCTATATACTTCTCACGATCCCAGAGACTGCGACCACATCTCCATGACCCGCCCCAAATCTACTCTGATCGCCCGCATTCAGCCTATCGCGCGAACCACCCACAATGCCAACTACAACTGCCGAGACCCTCTCGCTCGTCACACGCAATGTGTCTGTTGCGCCCCTCGTTCTGCTTTCCGCCGTCGATCACTATATCCGCATCGATATAAAGAGGGCGACCAAGAGGAGAGTTGTTGGTGTCCTGCTCGGTCAGAATGACGGCAAGAATGTGAGGGTGTCAAACAGCTTTGCAGGTATGTACTAACGGGCTTTACATGGCAATGCAAGCTAAACTCAACCCATTGCAAGTTCCTTTCGAGGAGGATGAGAAGGACCCATCCGTGTGGTTTCTTGACCATAACTACGTCGAATCAATGAACGACATGTTCAAGAAGATTAACGCACGAGAGAAGCTGATAGGATGGTACCACTCCGGCCCTAAGCTGCGCGCATCTGATTTAGAGATCAACGAGCTCTTCAAGCGCTACACACCAAATCCGTTACTGGTTATTATTGATGTTCAGCCGAAGGAGTCTGGCGTACCCACCGATGCTTATTTCGCTGTTGAGGAGATCAAAGATGTAAGCTGGCGACGTGAATGACAGATTTTGGCCGATCTTCTTTTCGCTAACTCGGGAAAGGATGGCACTACAACTACGCGAACGTTTTTCCACACTCCATCGATAATTGAAGCCGAGGAGGCAGAGGAAATCGGCGTCGAGCATCTTCTACGAGATATCCGTGACGTCGCTGTCGGTACGCTGTCGACACGAATCACAAATCAGCTCCAGTCCCTCCAGGGCCTCCACTTACGCCTGCGCGACATTGGTGTTTATTTGCAGAAGGTGCTTGATGGCCAGCTTCCAGTTAATCATGCCATTCTCGGCAACCTTCAGGACGTTTTCAATTTGCTGCCCAACCTCTCGACCCCGGAGGCTGATGGGAAATCCAGCGGCAGCGAACTTGCCCACGCCATGAGCGTCAAGACCAACGATCAGCTTATGACAATCTATCTCAGCAGCTTAATCCGCGCCATCACCGCATTCCACGATCTGATAGAAAACAAGATACAGAACCGCCAGCAGCAGGAGGAAAAGGATGCCAAAAAGGAAGACGCCAACGGCAAGGACGAGAAGAAGGCTAACAGCTCAACCGATTCAATCACGGAATCCAAGGAAGGAGGTGAGAGGGAGAAGGAGCCAAAAGACAGGAAGAAATAAACTCGCTAGGCGATCTTTTGGAAGAATCCAAGGCAAAAATTTGCCGAGTATTCTCGATCAGTCATTCCATGGCTATATCAACTTGCAGCGCGAGCGCCTGATGGAGATGCCTTGATGTAAACTTCTTGTTTTTCTAAAAGACTACTAGACTATGGTCGTGCCAAATACACAAGCTAGTTCTGTTCTCGTCGACAGGACAAATCATCGCCTTGCCGCCATACCTCGCGAATTTTCTACATTCCTGCGATGATGCCCGCCAGCTCTTCCGCCGTGCACTCTTTGTCCTCTACCTGCGCAGCCAACACGTCCTCCCATTTATCCACTAAAAGGCATGCCAGTAAATGTTTGCAGCAAGGTGTTGATTCTACGCCATGGACATCCAACCCTGTCAAGCTCAGCCCTCCAAATTTCCGCATTTGCGCCGCCGTATCGTCACCGCCGCCTGCTGCTGTTTCGGCCATCCCCTCCCCCATGCTGGCGGCGTACGCATCCACCGCGAAACCGGCGCACGAACAGCTCCACGCCTCGAGGTGCACCAGGTACACGCGCGTCGCAGCCGCCTTCCCGGGGGCGCATCGTCTCGGTAGCGTCGAGGCCATGGACCGCACGATGTACATGGCTTGGCGCCCTGTACTTGATGGCTCTCCTCGCGCCTCGCCCGGCGAGACCAAGGAGGCGTCTTGTTGAGAAAATCGGCCCGGTGACGGCGCCGTAGTCAGCGTGAGGCGCCGTACCAGCTTCCTGTCGAGCAGATCCAGCGCCGAGAGCAGCATGTCGGGAAATATGACGTGCAGCGTCAAGATGAGCTTCTGCCGCTGCGGCGAGGCCCAGGGCTCCGGGGCCGGCGACGAGTGTCGCTCGGGTACTCTGGTGGCAGCCGCGGTCGCGTTGTCGCCGTCATCATGTGCCGTTTCGCACAACGCGTGCACGAGCTTGGTGAGGAGCTCGCACTGCGATGGGAGCGTGTCCAGCATTCTTCCCATGCCTTGAACTCGTCAAAGAGTTGATGCGTAAATCATCCCGATGTTCGCGTATTTTAAGGCTGACTCGAGAATGCACCCGCAGCCCATGACGACATTACTATGGTAGGTGCAGTTAGTCAAGTTAGTGATGCCATCGTCTCCACTGGTCGACAGGCGTTTAGTAGTATATGACCTTTTTCGCGCACTTGCACGGGTCGTAATCGAGAGAATCTACGACGATATCTGCAATATAGAAAGCAAATTTGTGCATACTTTTATATGGCAATTGCTGTTTGCTACAGAATACTAATACATCCGTCGTTCTACGGCGTGTGCTTGCTATCCAACACCTCCCGGCTTCGATTTAGACCCATTCCTTGGCCTTCTGAAGGACGTCAACCAGACGCTGCTCTCGGCTGTTTGGCTCTGGGATATGCATGTAGCTCCATGAAGCAGTTCGTGGCAAACTCATTAGTATACTCTCGACACGCGGCCCAGGGGTGTGAAGTCCGAAAGCAGTGCCACGATCGTGCACCAAGTTGAACTCAACATAGCGTCCTCTGCGAATTTGCTGCCACTCCTTTTCCTTCTCATTAAAGGGCATATCTTTGCGCTTTTCTAGAATGGGGAGGTATGAAGGCAAGAAAGACTTGAGGCAGTCCTGCACAAAGGCAAATGTGTTCTCCTGATCCCGCTCCGACTCGTCTAAATCATCGAAAAAGATGCCTCCAACACCGCGGCTCTCTTTGCGGTGTTTGTTGTAGAAGTATTCATCGCACCATTTTTTGAAACGAGGGTAGTAGTCCTTGCTGTGGGAGTCGCAAGCATCCTTGAGCGACTTGTGGAAGTGGATAGCATCCTCGTCAAAAAGATAAGACGGGGTCAGATCGCTGCCGCCTCCAAACCACCACGCCTGAGATGTTCCGTCGGGGTTTGCCGTTTCGAAGTAGCGATAATTCAGGTGCACAGTTGGTGCCATGGGGTTCTTTGGGTGGAAGACAAGACTGAGGCCAGCGACAAAGAAGTCCAGGGAATCAACATCGGTGGCAAGGTTCTTGTGGTCTGCACGCATTCTTTCGATGGCAGCTTTTGGCAGGCTACCATAGATGATGCTCACAGCAACACCAGCTTTCTCAAAGACGTTGCCATCTTGCAGCACAGCAGTGATGCCGCCACCGTTGCCATGTTCTCGGTCCCATTTGTCTTGGAAGAACTTCTTTCCATCGACCTCTTCGATAGCTTTGATAATTTCCTGTTGCTGTTCTTTCACAAATTTTTCCATTCGCAGTCGCATAGGCGAATTGTCATTGATAGGGCCTTCTTGCTTTGTTCGCATATCCATCTCGAAGAGGGACGCGGCGTCTAGTTTCGCACTGCCTTGGGTATTCTGATCGAGGTACAAATCAGCGCACTGCTCTGAGATAGTCGCTTTCATTGCATCATACCGAGCTGTAGAACTGATACGCGAGCGGGACAGCGAAGCCAATTGCAGCAGCCGTCAGCCAAGCGGCCGCGGCTGGCCACTGCGCAGTAGGAACCTGGTTGCTCGAGAACATTCTGGTGGTGTTGGCGCAGCGACTTCTGGACGATTTCAAAGGGCCGCTGCGCAGCATTGATAGCATACGCTGGCTTTGTTGTCGTGCCGCCATTGTGATGATGCGTGGAAACCGTTACTTGCCAGCTAGGTTAGTCGACTGCTGGGCTGGTAGCTCCAAGTCTCGCCTGCGCATGGGAGAGTCTCGTCACGTCCAAGTGTCGCCGTATATAGGGAAGCTTTGGAATTTAAGGCGTGATACAAATGAAGACCCCGTATCCAAAGCTATGGAGCGTGGACTGATTTATCAACAGTGGCGTGGTTCTGGGTGCAGACTCAGCAGCTTCGGTCGCGTATGGTGGGGCCGGTTCGAGACATACCTAGGTACGAACCAGAGAGCTCCCCGTCAGCAAGTCGTGCTTGTACCTCAAGGTATCATGGCTTCAGATTTTTTTTTTCTTTTGAAAAAAAAAAAAAAAAAATTCTTAGGAACGCGCCAAAGGTTTCTCCTGTAATGGGGCCGCCGTTGAGAAGCAAAGGAGCTCCTCATCTCTTGGGAAAGCTTAGCACGCCACTGACGGCTGTCCTTGTGGCAGCTGGTTATCGACAGCTCGGTGATGAACCTTCTAGTACCTCAATGTCTATTGAGTAGTTAGAGCTCCTTTGTGACTATTGGTACGTGGCGGGGAGGCCATTGGTCATCAGGCAAGTTAATGGCTATCACACAAGCATCTTCGCCGCTTTTGATGCGCCTGATCGCAGGCAGTGTGGTGACTGCGTCAGCTGGGCACCTGGGAAGCTGGGAGGTGATTCACTGAGTCCAGACCAAATGCAGCTAGCGCCACAGCCCCGCGCCATTCGTCCTCGTGCCTGATGTCTGGCCTGGCCGTCTGCTATTCGCCCTTCCTGCCACCGCTCCAGCGTCGTCACTGTTCCTCCACGCCCCTCTTCTCTTCCACTCGATCCGTCCGCGGCCTTACCGCTCCCTAGAACTTGAACTCTTCATACATTCATCGCACCTGTGCCCAAATTTACTCTCGTCATCTCACCGCTCAACGAAACTCACGTACCGACCGTGTCTTGCACCTTTCTGTACCACATATTTGCCCAACATGCGTAGCAAGTTCAAGGATGAGCACCCTTTCGAGAAGCGCAAGGCCGAAGCCGAGCGCATCCGCCAGAAGTACGCCGATCGCATTCCCGTAAGTATCTACTGCTTGCAAGTTCAATTAATGATAAGAACTATGGGCACTACTTGCGTTGTCTGCCAACGCTTCATCTGCCATAGGCGATCTGGCAGCAACCAGACGGCTGACTGTCAACGTCAAGGCCTCACGGACTCGAACACTTGTGCTAATATCATTATTTGTAGGTCATCTGCGAGAAGGTCGAAAAGAGTGACATCGCAACCATCGATAAGAAGAAGTATCTCGTACCCTCAGATCTCACCGTTGGCCAGTTTGTCTATGTTATCCGCAAGCGCATCAAGCTGTCTCCTGAGAAGGCTATCTTCATCTTTGTCGACGAAGTACTCCCTCCCACGGCAGCTCTCATGAGCAGCATCTACGAGGAACACAAGGACGAGGACGGCTTCCTCTATATCACCTACTCTGGCGAGAACACCTTTGGCAGCATTTGAGAACTGCAAGTGTGGTGACGAGCTCGACCGCCGAGATGGTGGAAATGGCGTTCAGGTTTCCTTTTGACTACTACGCATTCAGAATGCAGCCAATTTGGCTTTGATGTAATGACCCGTTATGGAATTACTTGCTCAGAGAGTAAATTCGATAGACTGTGCAATATCCTGTGTCTTGTTAGGCACCGCTACAAGGCATACCCCCGAAATGTATTTGCAAGGGTTACGCGCACCTTGCCCGTATCGAGTATTTGAGGAGAATGGAAGGTGTCGCGTCATTTGACAGGATGCTCGCCGTGATGTAATTAGTGATCGGTACTTGGAATAGCAGTACTGTTCTGTGTTTGCTGTCGAATGTTTGGTATTGCGCGAATAAATATTCAATACAAATCTGGACAGGATAATTAGCAGATGGTAAACAAGGCCACCATGAGTGAGAGGGGTGTGTAGGCAGGTTTGATACGGCACGTAGGATCTCTGGGCAGCGCTCTTGTAGCTAATTGTTTGTCGATTGACTCGACGATTCGATCGTCTGAGATGATCAAATCGGCACGGCACGTCTCTCTTGCAGATGGCCCGTAGCCCCACGTCCACGTCCGTGGCACAGGAGTGTTGTAAGTAGGGCCAAGAAGATAAAGACAAGAATATTACGTCGTATCAAAGCATTTTGACATAGCATATCGATAAAAGACGGCCAAGGTCAACAGCTGTTTCAGTGGACTCATTATCAATTCACTGGGCTGGTGGACCTGAGAGTTGCGTTGTAAAACAACTCGGTTACAGTACAGGCTTCTTATTTTGGTCTGGCGATGGCAAGGCAGCATGGCCTTGAGCACGCGGGCTGATCGGCATTATATCCGCTTCGCAAGGCTTATCATTAAAGCATCACCACTCACTCATATCCATAAACCTGAGCTTTGTGGCGGCCTCGATGCGGAATATAGAGGCGCTTCACGACGACTAAACGATCTGGGGTCCAGGCCAAGATTTCGACACGCACTTGGCACCGGGCAAAGTACTGTCATGAATACATGAAAATGTGCCGAGCTGAAGAAACCCTGTTTCTTCTCCTGTTCTGCTCCTGGTCAAGGAAGTAGGTTGGCGACTGGCCAAGCAGTAACAAAGACAAAAGAGCGTGACAAAGATGCCACTTGCCACTGCCGCTGACGAAGAGGGCAAAAAGGTGGCTGGATTGGTGCTTGGCAAACGTCTGGATTGGGAAGACCTATGGTGTCGTGAGGGAGAGTGAGCGCCACGTGCGCCGGTGCCAGCGCAGTTTGACGTTTGGCGTTTCGGCAGAGCTTCGTCTGTAGCCGATGTGGCAGGCCTGCGCCACTGCAAGCACAACCTGCTTTGCAGGCTGGCAGCTCGAATGGGCTGCAATGTAGGTAGCTGAGGGAATTGCAGATTTCAGTTTTTCGTTTGGACTCGAGTCTCAATACTGGCATTCTTTACTCGGAGCCCAGTATTGTTCTGCACAGGCTGAGGCTGAGGTGAGCGGCTGTCAATAGCTACTTACTATTAACAGAGCACAATAGTCATTGATCTCCAGCGTACAGGGTCTCGGTGGAGCTCACCGCCGTGATCAGGCAGAATGGGTCCCAATCCTGGCCCGGCGCCAACGACGCATCGTGTTGCGCAGGGGCTGGCTCCACTCACAGTCGAACACTTTTACTATTCACCTCTTTTGCCTGCCTGCCTGCCTGCCTGTCACTCAAGTTTCAAGTAACGCTACATCTGACCAATCGCATGACTTCACAAACATCCCTGCTCTGATGCGTTTCCAAGGTACATGCTGCCGTCACGTCGACGACGGCTTAGGCGGTCCGCTCGCCACACCATGACAACTTTCCAAGTTCCAGAAGGATTCATGGCGTCAGCATGCATCTCTGTCTCCCAGCCCAAACAGGCAGTTAATCTATCAAATCGGGAAGAGTGAGGTTGCCCCATGTGTCTCGTGAGAAAGCCTTGGACGATGGGCGCCTGCAACGTACCTTTGGCCGCTCCAGAGTAAGCCTCCTTGCACAATGAACTCGGATCAGAGTTCGCAGTGTAGCTCGATTCCCGGCTTTCTGAGCCTTACGGGCTTGTTTGATGCTATTTGAGAAAGCATGTTGACCCGCTGCCGTGGCACATTCATCTACTTGAATCCGGCGGTGACCGTCTAGTAGAAGACTTGGTCAAGCCTCCATTGTGCACGCACACAATCAAAGGGGCTTACGTTCGCCTTCGAACCGGACAAACCTCAGTTGCCCATCTGAAGCAGTTTGCCATTCACTTTCGGTGGTACTACAGCTTTGCCACAACAATAGCTTGGCCAACCTGCGTTTGAAAAGTCTTTGCCGCTGGCACCACTGCGCACGCTGACTGGTCCCACTCGCAACCTCAGCGCTTAAACGCAGCAACACGAGCAAATAGATCTCGTGCCAGTTGATGCAGAGCCACAACTAGGGGTTCTGCTGTTTCGTCGTTTCTGTACTTTATTTTTCCCGTCGTGGAGACGCTCGGTGAGACTGCAAATATTCCGTATCTCTTTACTCCAGCCGCTGCCACTCTGCCTTCTCCCTCTTACACATTCCCTTCTTATGCCTTGTCTCTTCCATTCATTGTTCTTCTCCCACCCTTTTCTTTCTATTTCTTGAACAGGAGCCTTAGAAAGAAGGCGTTTTTTTCTCTCTCTTTTCTTCTTCTTCTTCTTCTTCTTCTTCTGTCTTGCTTCACTTTTCCCATCTGCGGCCAACTTGCAGAGCGCTCTGTTGTTCACTGTAGAGCAGGAACACAAGCGTATGCCTCTTACACTGTCACAACTTTTTGTCGTACCAATAACTTTCCTTCCCTCTCCAAAAACGCGCCATTTAACAGCATGAATAGAATCAAAATGTTCTCCCCACGGAGACATGACGATCAGGCGTCGTATCCCGCGGTGCCGCCTTCTTTACGCTCCGATCCGTACGAAGCCCTGGATCATTCGAAATACCCCGACACTAGACCAGTTTCCCACTCGCAGATTACCCCATACCTCGGTATCCGGTCTAGGATGTCTCAAATATGGTTGAATCGCTGGACCATACTACTCCTCCTCGTCCTCGTCCGCGTTGTCCTTCTTATTGCCTCTCTCAACGATCAAGTTGGCGACGCTAAGGTTAAGGCTCTCTCTGCCTGCAGCAAGGTTGAAGATGTTGGGAGCGCCATGGCATCCATGCCTCACTACTTGTCCGCCGGAGTGAATACCATGGTGGCCAAAGGCATGCAAGAGGCTGTGCATGGAATGGTCAAGATGCTCGATCTAATTTTGCAGGCTGTTCCTGCAATGATCGTTTACTACATCAATTTTCTAGTAGCGACATACGCCTGTCTCATCACTGCCTTGGTTCACGGAAGTTTGGCGGTCGTGGCATCTGTTGCCGAAGATGCTACCAAGGCGTTCAACGACGTAATTGATGGCGCTACCAAAGAGATCAAAGACATATCGCAGGAATTGGAATCTGCCATCAACAAGGTTACAAAGGGAATCCAGGACTCCGTGTTTGGAAAGCTGATACCCGACATTCCCACGGTTGACTTCTCGAAGCCAATGGAGAAGCTCAAGGGCTTCGATCTCAACGCGAGCAGCTTCATTAAAGATGTGCAAAAGCTTAACGAGGACCTGCCCACTTTTGATGAGGTCCAAAACCTCACCAGTCAAGCCGTCTCATTCCCTTTCAAGCTTGTCCGCGAGGCTCTCAACAAATCGTACGGAAACTGGACATTCAAGAAAGACATTTTCCCACTGGCCCGAAAGAAGAAGATGTCGTTTTGCTCCGATAACGATACCCTGAGCGGCTTTTTCCAGAAGCTATTCAATCTCATTCACAAAGCAAGGACCATTTTCTTGGTAGTTCTGAGCTTGCTCGCCATACTCGCCATTTTTCCCATGGCTGCTTTCGAGACATATCGATGGAAGCGCCAGCAGCAACATGTCGAAGTCATTGAAAAGAACCAAGTCGATGAGCGAGATGTCATCTACATTGCGTCGCGGCCGCTAACATCCCGAGTCGGTATCAAGTTTGGCTCGCGTTTTCAGGGAGACAGAAAGATACTGATGAGATGGTGCGTCGCGTATGCTACGTCACCCCCGGCTCTTTTCGTCCTATCCCTTGCCCTTGCCGGCTTCTTTTCCTGCTTCTGCCAGTTGCTCCTCCTCAAGGCCGTTCAGAAGGAAGTTCCCGAAATTACACAAGCGGTTGGCGCTTTCGCCGAGCATGTGGTCAAGTCCTTGGAGCAGGTATCAGTCGACTGGGCCAATGATGCAAACGGCGTCGTCATCGGTTTCAACGACGACATCAACAATGATGTATTGGCATACGTGACAAACACCACCGGCGCAGTCAATGGCACAATCAATTTGTTCGTGGACACCATGAACAAGGGGCTGGAGACTGTTTTCAATGGCACTATTCTTATGGAGCCGATCAAGAGCGTCCTCCACTGTGTAATTGGCATCAAAGTTGAGAATGTACAGAAAGGATTGACATGGGTGCATGACCACGCGCACGTCAACTTTCCCCGATTTCCCAACGACACGTTCAGCCAAGGCGCCAGCGATTCTGTGTCCGGTGATAACGATCTCAAGAGTTTTCTGGCGTCGCCTTCTGCTGTGACCACAGATGAAGTGAGCGGTGCAATACAGCATGTTGTTAACTGGTTAATCAAGGGCATCACTCAGGAGGCGCTGATTTCAACTGGCATTTTACTGCTCTACCTCATTGTTGTCCTCATTGGTGTGGCCCGCGCACTGGCGGGTATGGCATCTTCAGGTGCAGGGAAGACGCAGGAAGCCATGCACTACACGGGCGACGACCGGCCGCCATTGGCTGCCCAATCTCCGCAGAGTAAGGGTGCTGCCGATGGTCAATTTGAAGACTTTGGGCATCAGGGTGCGCGATCGAGGCATGTCCCACTGCAAGAGAAGAGTGAGGCATACGGACGCTACGGACAGGGCAGCGCTTTCTAGCAGTGGCCTAATAAACGATGATGTGACGACGTTGGGTAATCATGTGTCAAGGCGACTGATTGTTGGTATCGGCGTTGACGGTTGGATTTCTTTGCGTACATTTCCTCGCAGCATTGGTGTTACATGGAGGGTACCATTTTATTCTATTTTTTTACAGTCATAGCCCTGATTCTTGCTTGATCTCGGTCAGCGAGGTCAGACATTACTCATGCGGCTCATCTATGTTGATTCTCTCTTGACAAATGACACAAAAAAGGCCCGACTCTCTCCTTGATTCCAATGACTCTCAAATTATTTCGGGTATAGTAATAGCCTTACGCACCCACAATGTACAAATTTTATGTTCAGAACACTTATGAAAAATATAAAAGAGGGCTACAAATACGCAAGCACGTCTAGTAAATGACTCGACTATCATGATACTTAACCATTGCCTACGCAGGAGGGAGGTATTTTCCAACATGTGCTCTAACATATTTTGCTATCTAGCATATTTTATAAGGCATATAAGCATATATTAGGGCTATTAGATAAGATGCTAGAAAAATCTAACATATTAAGAATATTTCTAATATCCTATCTGAAAGCCCTAATCTGGCTACATGCCTTAAGAACTTTTATCTACGCAAAGCTGTCAGAGGGCATGTCAGAAAACACCCCCCTCCCGCGTAGGTATCTATTGCAGAGTCAAAGACGGCTGTGGCGGCGCGTGCCACGAAACTTGCCTCTTTTGGAAAGTCCGACGGCAGTGTGCACGCTGCGAATGCGGAGTGAGGCAACCTGCAGCTCTAGCGCAGCGGAACTGTGGCGGAGGCTACCCTTCCGGTTTCGCCCATTGAGGCAATGACAACGGAGCAGCAAGCACCACATGCAGCCCGCGGGGTGATGCCGGTGTCGCCACTGACCCTGGAAAAGAACTACTCCATTTTCTGGCTCGACATATATTTCCAAGCTTAACCCCCGCCCCCAATTGCCACCTCACTCAATTCTCCAAGTTCTTTCTTATTCAACTTTTGTCTGCAGATTGATTCCATTCTCACATCACGACCATGGAGGCCATCAAGCAAACATTTCAGCGCTGCAAGGCGCAGAAACGAGTATGTCGAACTGGCGGGGTAGCACGAGAGAAGCATCATCGCTAACCATGTCAACTTCTCTAACAGTCTGCGCTCGTGGGCTATGTTACAGCTGGCTATCCCAGGCCTCAAGATACCCCAGAGATCCTTCTTTCCATGCAAAATGGCGGCTGCGGCATGTCGCTGGTCTCAATGGTAGTTCCGGCAAGCTGGCTAACTGCTCTTCAGACGTCATCGAGGTCGGATCCCCCTTTACCGATCCCATTGCTGACGGTCCCACGATTCAAAAAGCCAATGCCGTATGAAATTCGACTGTCAATCTACTCATTGCGAGAGACATTCATCTAACACGATAACAGATTGCGCTGAATAACGATGTTACGATCTCATCGACCCTCCAGATTGTTCGCGATGCCCGCAGCAAAGGCTTAACTGTTCCAGTTATTATCATGGGCTATTACAACCCTCTTCTCAACTACGGAGAGGAGCGGCTTCTGGCTGACTGTAAGTCGGCTGGCGTAAATGGCTTCATTGTCGTCGACCTACCCCCCGAGGAGGCCATCTCCTTCCGCAAACTCTGTACTAAGGGTGGTCTCTCCTACGTTCCCCTTATTGCTCCCGCGACTTCGGACGCCCGCATGAAGATTCTCTGCCAGCTTGCCGATTCGTTCATTTACGTCGTCTCGAGACAGGGCGTCACCGGAGCCACTGGCACCCTGAGCGCCAACATACCTAAACTTCTCAGCCGCGTCAAGAATTACAGCGGCAACAAGCCCGCAGCAGTCGGCTTCGGTGTAAGCACTCACGAGCACTTTCAAAGTCTCGCCTCTGTTGCCGATGGCGTCGTCGTCGGCAGTCAAATCATCACTACAATTGGCAACGCGCCCTCGGGCCAGATCTGCGACAGTGTGCAAAAGTTCTGCTCAGATCTCTGTGGTCGCTCGGTTGAGCAGATTGCTGCCGATGCCAGCAATGTCGCTGCCCAGGATATTCAGAACAGTGAGGCCACCCTGGCAGATGCTACAATCACCCCCGAAAAGGACAAGGAGCTGGTCGCTCAGCTCGCTGCTATGCACGCCAGAATTCCCGACCGCTTCGGCGAGTTCGGTGGTCAGTTCGTTCCTGAGAGCTTGATGGACTGCCTATCCCAGCTCGAGGACGGGTTCAACAAGATTAAGAATGATTCCGCTTTCTGGGACGAGATTCGCTCCTATTACGACTACATGGGCCGTCAGTCCAAGTTGTACCTGGCTAGTCGCCTGACCGAGCATGCCGGTGGTGCCAATATTTGGCTGAAGCGTGAAGACTTGAATCACACTGGCAGCCACAAGATCAACAATGCCATTGGCCAGCTTCTCCTCGCCAAGCGCCTGGGCAAGACCAAGATCATCGCCGAGACTGGTGCTGGTCAGCACGGGGTTGCCACTGCTACAATCTGTGCCAAGTTCGGCATGGAGTGCACAGTGTATATGGGTGCTGTAAGCCAACCCCTTCTACGATTTGTGCAAAAGCTTATTACTAATACGCATTTCAGGAGGACGTCCGCCGTCAGGCCCTCAACGTATTTCGTATGAGACTGCTCGGAGCCAAGGTTGTCCCTGTCACTGCTGGTAGTCAGACTCTTCGTGATGCCGTCAACGAGGCCCTTCGTGCCTGGGTAGTCGATCTCGATACCACCCACTACATTATTGGCTCTGCCATCGGTCCTCACCCCTTTCCTACCATTGTTCGCACGCTGCAGTCTGTGATTGGTGAAGAGACAAAACAGCAGATGATGGAAAAGCGCGGCAAGCTGCCCGATGCTGTCGTCGCCTGTGTCGGCGGTGGTTCCAACGCCGCCGGCATGTTCTACCCGTTTTCCAACGACTTGAGTGTCAAGATTCTTGGTGTCGAAGCCGGTGGTGAAGGGATCGGTACGGGCAGGCACGGTGCTCCTCTCAGCGCCGGTACCAAGGGTGTTCTGCACGGTGTGCGCACCTATGTCGTGCAAGACGAACACGGCCAGATCTCCGAGACCCACTCCATTTCTGCCGGTCTCGATTATCCGGGTGTTGGTCCCGAGCTGAGCTCTTGGAAGGACAGCGGGCGCGCCGATTTCGTCGCTGCTGATGACGCCCAGGCCTTGATTGGCTTCCGCTTGTGCAGTCAGCTGGAGGGTATCATTCCGGCTCTCGAGTCTGCGCACGGCATTTACGGTGGTATCGAGCTAGCCAAGACCATGAAGAAAGGTGAGGACATTGTCATCTGCCTGAGTGGCCGTGGTGACAAGGATGTCCAGAGTGTCGCCGAGGAGCTACCAAAGCTTGGCCCCAAGATTGGCTGGGACCTTCGTTTCGAGTAGAGGCTTGTCAGCACGAGTAGAACTGTCGGCATTTGTTTGTTTGGGGAGAAAGTTGGCGCACAAAATCATATAGGGTCTTTGTATTTTGTAGACGACATCAATTGTCATGTAGAAATGCGTCGGCGTTTAAAAGATAAATTGTTTAATATAGGGCAGTACGAGCCCGGGCATTGAAACAAACACACAAAAGTTGTACATTGAGTTATAGAATGTGATAGAATACAGCCGGACTAACGTCTTTTGTCGATATCTTGACCGCGAACGACGGTCGATTACCCTCTTCCCCCTTGTTCTTCTTTTTCTTTACAATTGCGGCTGCTTCTGTTCAGCCTGTGTCTCAGCCTCGGGATCCCCCTCCGCATCCGCCTCTTCCAGCTGCTGAAGCAAGCTCGCCTCGTCTTCGTCCGACAGCTCCTCGACGTCCTCGATACTCTCCAGATCCTCGTTGCCCAGGACCAGCCCCCGGTGGAAGGCGGTCCGTAGTGCCTCGAGCGTGTCCTTGCTGCGGAGACTGAGGGCGCCGGGGGTGGCCCAATCGAGCGCGAAGCGGATCAAATCGTCCCTATCCTCAACCTCCTTGGGCTCGAGGCCGAGGGCGATGCGCTCGTCGTTAAAGCGGCGCTGGATCGCCTGGCTCTGCATGAGCAGCCAGCGCATGTTCCAGCCGCCGGGGCCGAGCTCCTTGATGCGCGCGGGCTTGCTCTTAAGCAAGTAGTTTTCGAGGCCGCCCTCGCGACGGATAGATTTGAGTACTCGCAGCGTCAGGCGCGTCTTGATGCGGGCGCCGAGGGCCGCCACGTGGAAGATCTTGACGTGCACGTTGGGCCGCCAAAAGGTGCGCGTCTTATTGCCCCGGCCCGCGACGATATTACCGTACCGAATCCGCGCGCTGCCATACAGACCCCGGTTCGACTGCTTGTAGAGCCGCCGCTCGCCGTAGGGGTATGGTGGGATCAACTCCCCAGGCAGGCGGTGCGCCATGATTGTCTTCGTCTGCGCGACGGGCGTCGTTGAGAAAAGCCGGCGGTTACACGGTACGGCGGTCATGGCGGCGGCAGTTTTGAGAAGTCGATTCGTCGTCGGCCGCCGTGGGAGCGGGCATTGGGTCGCCCGCGAGAGGATTGACCTCGTCGCGGACAGTCTCAGAGCCATGAGAGGCGAGAACGGGGGTAGAACAGCTGCTGAGGCACGCCTCCCCAGCGCCAAAACGTAGGTTGTCAATGTTGCTGTGTCGGGATTGGTCGTTAAGATCTCATTGTATAAGGAATCGATCGAAAAATTGCAAATTGGAGCTGTTACAGCTGCTTGGGGTCGCTTCTCGTTGATGAAGGTGCCTTGTTGATGCGAACGTCACTTGAGAATTGTTTTGGCCTTCGGAAGCGCCATTGATCCGGGCGCTCTTTCCGTCGCCCCTAGGTAGCACGCGAGCCCAAAGTCTCCACCGAGCACCACGACAGTGTCCCCAGTGAAAGTCCCTACCAGTAATCGCAGAAGGGCAGAGCATGTCTTGATCAACATTCATAAACTCGCAAGCCGAAAATTGCAAAGAAACGTTGCGGGGGCTCTTCTTGGGTGTTCACTTGTTTTCCTTCTTTTTTAGCGTCCTTAATTCTGTTTTCTGGTCTTTATCATTGTTGCGTATTTGATATCCATTTTGTCACTTCTTCATCTACAATCACATCATGCTGCCACCAGTAGACGACAATATCCTCGAAAACAATCCCGACTTTACAAGGTTATACAAGACCCTCAAGACGTTAGTGCTTAACCCGGATGGCACATCAAGACGGAGTCAAGAATCAAAAGAGAACGAAGCCATTCGACGGGTATATTCCACCGCCTTGTCAGCGCAAACCAATCCCATGCTCACACTCTCTTTCTACCACAGCAAGCAGACCATCATCGTCTGAGAGTTGCAAAGCAGCATCTACTCGAGCGATCCATTGCCAATACCTCTCCTGCTGACACTCGACAAACCCCCGATTCGCGCGCTCCAAGCGGCTTCTACAATTGCCGTAACTCGACCGAGACCGACCAGTCCGAATCCCTCCTCGACCTCCTACTTATCCTCTCGCCGCTTCTTGACACCGCTCCCTCAATCTCACCCGACTCCGCCGCCCTTCTCCTCAGAAGTAAGCCCCTTTCAGACCTCACGACTCTCGCTCCGGCGCTCGCGGCTCTCGTCTCCGCGAATCTACACGCCACGGCTCTCGACCTGACGCGGCTCACGCACCCATCGAGCAACCCTTCCACCGTCCAGCGACACATACCGGCGCTTGAGAATGACTACGCTTCACTGCAGGACCAACTCGCGACAGCTCGCGCCGGCCTCTTCGCCGCCCGCCTGCGCGCCGCCTCTGCGTTGACACAGCTTCTGCACATATATGCCGAAGTGCTCGCGCGCCTCGTGCGCTGCCTCGAGGCCAAGCACGGGCCCGTCGCGCAGTCACTCGAACTGCGCGCCGCCGAGGTGGCGCTTCTGGCCCGGAAGACGGAATCAGAGTCCGCGCAGATGCTCCTTGGCCTACAGGACGAGGTTTACTCGTCCAAGGTCGTGTCGGCGCTGCGCACGTACGGCGAGCACCTGCGGGACGCCAAGATGCGCGGCGTGGAGCGCGTGCGCAACCTGCAGCGCGAGCTTAAGGAGTATGGCGTTGATGCCGACGATGGGGGTGACGGTGACAGCGCAAAGGAAAAGCTGATGCGGGAGATGGCAAAGGCGCACGAGGAAATTGGGCGGCAAGTGGACGAGGTGACGCTAGATTTGGAACGTCTTCATACGCGATAATGCATACATAATTCAGTGACTGCTGATTACGTACGAAAACAAGTGATCGTTATTTGTTCTGTCTAAACATCTAGAGTACAAGTACATTTGCTCCCACAAGCGTAATTCCAAAGACAAGCCTTGATAAAAAGAGGCAGCAGAACTGCAGTTCCGTACAAGTCTTAATTCTTCCTCTTCTAATTGTTTTTTGCCCTTCCTATTTGAACCATAGCCGTTCATTAAATATCAACGTAGACTCTTAACTTTCTTCTCGCCCTCTCATTTAACCCTTAACCTTGAAGATGGCCTCGGCGAGACGGCCGACGTTCTCGCTGGTGATGCCCGCGACGGAAATGCGGCCGTCCTTGGTAGCGTAGACGGAGAATTCCTTGGCGAGCTTGGTCATCTCGTCGGCGGTAAGGCCGGTGTAGGCAAACATGCCGATCTGAGAGGTGATGTGGGACCAGTCGTGCTTGGAGCCGAGCTTCTCGAGATTGTCCTTGAGGAGGGCGCGCATAGAGATGATGCGGTCGGCCATGCCCTTGAGCTCGGCGAGCCACTGCTCGCGCAGCTTGGGGTCGGCGAGGATAGTGGAGGCGATGCGGGCGCCGTGGATGGGAGGGTTGGAGTAAATGGGGCGGATAATGATCTTGAGCTGGGAGTCGACACGCTTCTTCTCAGCGGCGTCCTCGCAGACAATGGAGAAGGCACCGACACGCTCGCCATAGAGACCCTGGAGATGGAATTAGTTCAGGCAAAGGAGTGCGGCGGCCATTCGACGAGCCACGTACCATATTCTTGGCAAAGGACTGGCACAGGGCAATGTTGTGGCCCTGCTCAACAAAGAGGCGGACGGCAAAGGCATCCTGATCAATGTCGCCACTGGCGAAGCCCTGATAGGCCATATCGAAAAAGGCAAAGTGGCCTTGCTCCTTGGTGATCTGGGAGAGCTGCTTCCACTGCTCCTGCGTGGGATCGACACCAGTAGGGTTGTGGGCGCAAGCGTGGAAGAGGAAGACACTGCCCTTGGGAGCGGCCTTGATATCGGCGACCATGCCCTCAAAGTCAAGGCCGATGGTGTCCTTGTTGTAGTAGCGGTATTGCTCAACCTTGAGGCCAGCGTCGGTGAAGACGGCCTTGTGGTTGGCCCAGGACGGGGTGGGGATGTAAATCTTCTTCTCGCCAGGGTAGAAGCGAGCTAGGAAGTCCGCGCCGATGCGCAGGGCACCGGTGCCGGAGATGGACTGGGTGATTGCCAGGCGGCCGAGGGCGGTCGAGTTCTCACCGTAGGCGAGCTTGGCGGCCAGGGGAGGCAGCTCGGGAACGCCGGTGATGCCGGCGTATTCCTTGTTCAGCTTCTCGTCAACGACCTTTTGCTCGGCCTCGCGGACGGAAGGCAGAACGTAGGGCTTACCCTTGTCATCACGGTAAGCGCCAACGCCTGCGATGGGGGAAAATGACATGTTAGCTTGCGACTGTGCATCGTGGGTTGCGTGGTGGCGTCTTGTCGGGTAGGGGCGAACGAACCGAGGTTGATCTTCTTGTCGAAGCTGTCGGCCTTGAAAGCTTCAGTGATTCCTGCAAATGATTTACATTAGCAATTGCGATCGAAACGGGCGACGTGCCGGCGGCGACATACCGAGAATGGCCTGATTGCGCAAGCAAAGAGCGGACGGTTAGCACATGACAAACAAACACACGCAAATGTTCAGCCGAGCTTGGAGCTGTCGCCGAGAGGCGCCAACAGGTGCACTACTCACATCCTACGAGAATACAAACAAATATTAGCCTCAATGAAATCGCCAAATGACAAATTTTGTCAATTCACTCACAGGGGGACCCTGAGGGACATTGGCCCAGGTAGAGGCGGCGGCGCGGCCAGCAGCAACGGCAAGGGTCGTGCGCTGGGTAGCCTGGCGGCTGGCGATGCGAAGAGTAGACAGCATGGTGTATTTTATAGAAGGGTGCAACCGCAAAGAAGACGAGTTGATGCTGAAGTAGAAGAAGAGTGTAGATAGAGGGAAAGGGGAGCAAGATCTGATTATGCTCCAAGAGAATGGGGTTGGGGGGAGTGGACAAGCTTCTCTGGCGTTTGGGGAAAAAAAAGGCAGACTGGCGCAGATGGAGTCAGTCAGTCAGTCAGTCAGTCAGTCAGATGCCGGCAGGGCAGAAAAAAAGGGCTCCAACTGGCCATGCAGCAAGCCAAATATCGGGGGTGGGTCGGACATGCTCGGGATGAGTTTACTGATGAGGTGATGGCGTGAGTTCCCCCTAGCAATGGTTGGCTCAAAGTCGAACCAGGCCAACGTCGAGTTGACTTCATTCTTGTTTTACTCCGTTTCGGAGCACAGCAATGCCTCCTTATGTACTCCCATTGAGCTGCTGCACCTCTCTTTGTCGTAGTTGTCCTCTCCTCGTCGATCTCCTCGTCGACGACGCCAACCCGTTTGTCCCTGACCCGACTTCCTCCAGCTGGCTGCTGACGGCAGGCACCGCTTTTTCTTACTTACAACCAAGGACATATATTACGACACAACAGAGACCTGGGCTTATGCGATATGGGTCCCTGTCTCGTCTTGACTTGATCTGGTACGTGGGTGCTGTTTCTTATGAATGTATGCATTTTTCTTTTTCCGCTCTATTGCGGTCAAATAAACGCGGCGTAAATAAAAGAAACAAGCTCATAAACGGTGAACAAAACGTTCAATGCTAAGGTAGTCCCCTGCTGCAGATATCCACATCGCCCTTCTGCAGATTGCCAACTGCTCATGCCAGCGCATGATCTTGCCGTTGTAGTGGGTCTTCGGAGACCTCAAGGCGATGCTCGGAGGCCGCGGCATCTGTTACCAAGTTACCACGAGAATGCTACATGGCCACCAACGACGACCCTGCACCAGAACCGTATACATTCCAACATGTACAGCACAATCAAAGTTCGAGTCATATAAATTTCGTCATGTTTACATGCTATGCTATATATCAAGGCATCATCCCAGTTGTTGCGTACCATCATCCGCTCAATTCTCAAAACAGTTATCCCAAGGTATCAAAATTAAACAAACTGTCCCTTGGTATGATCCACCTCATCGTATGCATTCATCACGTCTTGCTCGACATTCTCATGGAATACATCGACCTCCGTCGACGCAAACTTGCGTGCGCTGATGCCTTTTTCAAACAGCACATCAAGTTCGGCAAATGTGCGGCCGTGCGGCTCCGGCAGGCGAAAGTAGACATAGACGATGCATAGGAAGCATATGCCACCCCAGAAGAAGCCCGAATAGTTTTTCCAGTTCCACGCCGTCGGGTTAAGCATATACGGCGTGATGACGTTGTTGATGATGGCGACAATGTTGCTACATTCTCGTTAAATTCTCACTTCTTCGGGCTACTAACAAAACGTCTCGACTTACTATAGATTGCGGCCGAGAACGACAGTCTTGATCTGGAGACGGCGCGAGGATAGCTCGCCCACCAACGAGTAGCACACAGTGCCGACAGTGAGCTGGTAAAAGAGCGCCCAGACGACCATGATGGCCCCCGTCGCCAGCGCCCCCTCTCTGCGTTGCGCCTCGGGCACGAGGCCGAGGAAGCCCAGGACGAAGAGCATGCTGCACAGGCCGCAGAGGCCATACAGATACAGCGAACGACGGCCGATCCCCATCGTCATGAGACCCCATGCGCCAAAAACGCCCACCATGTTGATGGCATACTGGCCCAAGGCAAACGAGTAGGAATCGTGCTCCGTCAAGCCCGCTTGCTTCAAGAAGTAGGTCGAATAGTTGGAAAAAGAGTTGCCGCTCAGGTTCTGAATGGCCCACACCATACAGACAATCTCGGTGCGCCGTAGGTCGACCCCCTTGAAGCAGTCCAAGTAGGAGGCGCCGGCCGTCATTTTCTCCTCCATGGCTGTCGTGTGCACCATCATGGCAATGGTCTCGTTGGGATCAAACTCGGTCTCATCATTCTTGCTCGTCAGGCGCAGCAGCGAGCGCTTGGCATCTTCGGTCTTGCCGCGGCGGACGAGCCACCAGGGTGACTCAGGCGCAAAGTAGATGCCTATCATCAGTGGCACTGGCCACATCCACTGCAGGGCGTAGGGAATACGATACGCCCACTCGTCTTCACGCTTTAGCATGGAGAATATGACGCCGATGCCAATCTCCTGGCCCAGACCCCAGCAAAAATTGACGTAGGTGGTAAGGTAGCCGCGCAGCGCTACGGGGCACACCTCGGAGGCATAGGTAATGGTCAGCGTCTGGAAAATGCCCCAGGGGATACCACAGAGGATCTCGGCCACGAGAAGCATCTGCACGTTTTGCGCGGTGAAGAAGATTGTGGTGAAGGCGGCGACAAGGCCGAGACAGCCGAGGACGGTCCAGCGATAGCCGAAGCGCTCAGAGACGAAACCGTTGATGAAGAGACCGATAATTTCTCCGACTTGGGCGCCCTGTCGATTGTGCAGTTAGATTAGGCGCAGAAACAGGGTGAATGACTGTCTAAGACCCGGTACTTACATTGCTCAGGCCTGCCTGCCAGCGCGCCGGAACTTCGTATGTGCCCTTGACGGGGTCAGTGAGCTCACCATACTTTTTGTTGAATTGGGGAAAAGCATCTGTAGGCACGTGGTTAGAGCAAACCTTTACCAAAAATCTTCCCCGTGCGCTTTGACTCACAAAAATTGTTGACCAGAGTTATGTCGTAACCTTCCATGACGATGCAGGTCGAGATGAGCACGCTCCAGGCGACAGCCTTGGGGTAGAGGCGCAAACCCTGCAGGAGGGTCATCTTGCGCTCCTTTTCGGCCGCGGCACGCGCGCCTTCAATGATTCGGTCATTGACATTGTCCGCCTCCTTGGTCATGGTGACTGTGCGGGCAGTCTCCGCCGCAACGTCTTCAACAGGGTGCACGTCGACGTCTTTTTCAGAACTCATGACGAGTAAGGGGGTTTGTAGCCAGCAGTCGTTCAAATGCTGCTAGATGTCTTGACGAGACTGAAATAGATGAGATACGATGCCGGAAAAAGAGTGAGTAAGAGAAGGGGGCGAGGCAAAAGGTTTCGATGTCAAATGAGTCGCGAGATCTAGTAGCAGAGGTCCCGCAGGCGGGCTTCTTATACCCACGTCCTCCGTGGTAAGGATGGTGGGAAAAGAGGCTGAAGCGGCGCGAATAGATGAGGCACGCAGCGACGACGCAGAGTAGTAACCTCCAAGATGTTCCTTTCTTGGCTATGCAGGCCCCGGCGGCGGTGGTTAGTAGGAGGTGGGAAGACGATCGCTCAATGCGCACAAGAGGAAATTTCAGCCGTTCTCGACCGGATGCTTTGAAAGCGGCGACAGCCTATTTAGCGGCTTTGCCAAGGGGTGTGTGGTTGCGCCCAATTCATTAGCGTTGTGGGGGAGCCATGTGCCCTTTTGCACTGCACCGCTCCGTGGTATTTTGGTGATGCGGCATGTGAACGCAGAGGTTGGCCAGTTGTTCGAGCAGCTCCTCATTTACAGAGAAGGAGCCAAATGGAATCTACCAAGACGTTTGATACGCGCGATGTCAAAGTCTGGCTCTGAGGAGACAACAGCAGTTGGCTCTCCCGTCAAAGATGGCGGTGCGCCACCATCCACGAGTCCGCCTCCACAGGCGTGACAGGCAAGGGCCGGCTCGCAATTTCTCCTGCCACGCGCACAACAGAATGTTAGCAGGTGTTGCTTTCAATTGCCGTCGGCTGTTCGCTGCAACTAGATGACGACCTTGCAAATACGGAAGTGCCGTCTCGGCTTGGCCCGAGCCTCGCAGCCTGGAAAGTAAATAAAAAAGGCTGACCAACGTAAAAAGTGTGAATGCCTGCCGCCTTTCGTATTTCGTCGGCAGCGCCAGCCAGGGTTTCTCTGCCAGATCGATATCAGTGGTGCAAGTGAAAAATTTTCTCATGGTCCAGGTCTTTTAGTGGTCTAGCAGACAAGATCCAGAGAGCGTGCACAGAAGCAAGTCGAGGAGGATACACGTCGTTCTCGTCGTCGTCTTCTACCCCAGGATCTCACCCGCAAAAACAAGCAACCAGAAATCGCTCCAATTTAGATTTAGCTTCCGTCTGGGGTAAATTTCGAATCTAGAAACAACGGTCATGCACGCCAGGGTTGCTCTTCTGCGCGTACGAGGAAACGTTTCTTCGTTCCTTGATCTCCCTAGGTGGAGAAAGGTGCAGTCTAGAGAATACCCGTTACGGTAAGATTTCGCCGACGCTAGCCAAATCAGTTTCCCGATGAAGCATATCCCGCCGTTGGCTTCCTTTTCTGCTTGAATAAGGCAGCCCTCGCCGATATCTTGGGGGGCCTTCAGCATGGCGCATCGGTCCACACGCTGGCTTTCGCGGCGGCGCTTTTTTATTGTGGCTTTTTCCTCCATCGACAAGCGTTTACTTCATGTTGCCAATAGAATAGCGCTCATTGGGACGTGGAAACGGGCGTTCAATAGTTTCGGGCCGGCTCCGTATACTACAAGGCTGGTTCATTACTCCATGAAGCGGCATTTGGCATTGACTCTTGGCTAGGCAGTCTGCTCGCAAGCCCTTTTCATGACGCAGTGGCGCACAAGAGTCAAATGTGAACAGCTCTAATCTACACTGCTGTCTTAACATCGTACAATGGAACCTCCCCGACTACTTCTTCCAGAAGTCTCTCCACCATTCCTTCAGCCCGAACGCCTTTTCGTTCCCCTCCAGGCGAATCTTTGCGTCCCCACCGCCCACCACGCTGTCCATCACATCACCTCCTCTCGCGACCTGCCCTCCACATACCAACCGCGATGTCGGTGCTCTCGTTGCCCTGTTCCTGATCTCGTTTGCCAGCAGTGGCGCCACCGTCGCGTAGCACACGGCCAGCTCCCTCGCCAGCGAAAAGTACGGCTTCTTGGCAAGGTCAGGTGCCATGAGGTTGTAACTGCGCGTCAGGCCGTTGAGCCGCTCAATCGCCAACGTCATGTACTTTTCCTCGGCCTTTTCCCACTCCGGGTCGCGAAACGGCCGCAGCAGCTGTCCCCTACTGCTCTCCGCGGAGGGTGCCCGCCCGGCCGCCGCAATCTCGCTCTTTAGCGCCTTGTTGGCCACCTCCTCCAGCTCCTCGACTTGCTCCAGCTGCTTCGACATGACGGGGTCGTCCGTGATGGCGGACGACACAGCGATTTGGTCCGAGCCGCGCCGCCGCGGGTTGTGCACCCGTTCCGCCGCCGCAAACAGCTCGGCGCGCTGCATTTGCTCCAGTATGGAGCCACCCTTGGACGAAATCATCTTCGCCGCGTGACGTTTCCAGTCGCTTCGCAGTCGCGCGCGAAACGTGTTGGCCTCTCTCACCAGCTCTTGCTGCTTCTCTATCCACGGAGGCACCAGATCCTGACGCTGGATCAAGCGGTTCATGAGGTACTCCGTCGTGTCGATAAATGGGTTATTTGCCCTCGAGTCGCTCTCAACGCCGTTGCCTCGTGGGATATTCTTGAACTGCCCACGGGCAATGGCATTCTCAATACGCTCGTTGGCCATGGATGCAATGGCAGAAATCGCAACAGGTCCAATGCGGCCCTCGGGTTGAAACCGTTCTCGAAACTGCTTCTTCATCTCCTCCTTCTCCTTGTCACTTAACCCCGCACTATCCTTCATTCCAATGCTCGAGTATGCCGACGCTCTGTCCCGTGCTGAAGCCGCTTTTTGCCCAGGACTTAGCACTGGTGCACGCCTTAGCCGCGTATCGATTAGATTGCCTCGTAAATTCGGCTGGGTTGGCTTCTTGGAATCATTCAACATCCGTAGTACTGCATCCTCGGTCCGTTCTTCCCCTGTCCACTGCTGATGTGCACCGACCGAGCTGCCGTGTGACTTTTCACCCTTCGATGTAATGCCAGCTTCGGCCAGCGCTCCGGCAAAATCGTTTTTGAATTTCGCATCAGCAATTTTACTCATGAGCTTCTCTTTGAGCTGCTCAGAGAATCCCGCGTCTTCCACTGCCTGCCGCCCTGCTCTACCGCCCGTAAGAAGCGCCTCCTCCGTAGCCTCTTGCAGGCGACGCGCCAGTCGACCTAATTCCTCTGTTTCTGTAAGCCTCGATTCATTCGTAGCTTTTGTGTCTTTTTTAGAGGCCTTAGAATCGATGGCTGTTCTGTTGAGAGGCGCGCCGTCACCGCGCTGAGACGAGTATGAGACGACTCTCGGAATCTTGGTGCCAGTTCTCCGCTGGCGCTGACACTTGCGACAAGCTCGCAGCGAGTTGCGTCCCGCCGCTAAGCTCATCCTTTCTTGGTCCTTTATTCCACGTTCGAGACAGCGTTCATTATACTCGAGGTAGATTGTTAGATAGTGTTGTAGGTGCAGGCTTTGGGTTGTCGCCACTTCCACCAAGAGCCGCACTTGCACACTTAGTCAGCTAAATAACCCAGGAAGTCAGCATGAGAGGAAACATCGGCGAAAGCACCGATATCACAAAGCAAGGTTAATTCAGTTATATATACGATATATTTCTTTTCAGGTTATATTCAAAATTAAAAACTCCGAGGCTCGCCAAAGGTATCGTATGTAAGCAAAATTGACCCGAACGCCGTTTCGCAGTACAAAGCTACGAGCTTCTCTTTCCATAAGGTTCAAATGGGAAAATGGCGGAGATAGACGCCGTCACGATGAATATACCAGCACAAACATATAGCGGTGCTGAAGTTGACGTATCTGCCACAGTACCAATGACCGCGGAAATGATACCCATGATGCGGTTGAGGGCAACAGCGACTCCATTACCGGTACCGCGGTGCGCACTTGGGAGAACCTCTGGAGTATAAGCATATAGGGTGCCGTAGTAGATGTTGAGGACACAGGCAATGATGCAAGAGAAGGCAAGGTCCTGGTCAGACGTCTTGACGGCAGTATAGGCAAAGAAGAAGGTCATTGTTAGCAGCGATCCGACAACCATGGTATACTTGCGACCGAAGATGCGCGTGTTGCACATGAGGCCGGCAATTATAGGACCGGGAATGCCGCAAACGTTGGTGAGTGCATAGTTGCGCCAGGTCTCAAAGGTGGACCGCTGAAACTCGCCGCTTCGATTCTTTAGGTAGGTTCTGCGAGCAGGGTAAGCATTTCTTGAAGTATGCAGTGGCAAGCGCAAGTACTAACGGCAAGAACACATAGAACAGAGGATAGGCAAGACCGATGAGCATCCAGGAAAGCCAGATCAGGCTAGTCGACAAGGCAATCCTCTTGCTGCAAAAGAGGCCGCGGAAGTGGACAAGCGTTTCGCCAATAGAGAATCTACTCTTGCTGTGAGAAGATCGCATGGAGCCGCAAGCCTCGAGCCTCTGCAGTGTGAGCGAGCAGGGTCGGTTGTACTTTTTCGCCAGAGCCTGAATGTTGTTAACCAAGAGCGCATCTTCACCGGAGCTCAAAAGGTACTTGGGCGTTTCTTTGAGGCGGATAATAAAGATGCGCAGGACAGACATGGTCAATACCAGCGCTCCGCCGGTAAACATGGCATACCGCCAACCCCAGTTGTCCGCCTTGCGGCAGGGGCCGTCTTCGAGGCAGTTCCATTTCGCAGGAACGAGGAAGCCCCAGGCGATGAAGCCACAGATGGCCTGCCCAATGCCCCACCAGGCGGCCATGAAGGTGACGAGCCACTGCTTGTTGCCGGGAAGGTACTCCAGGAAGACGGTCGTGTCCATGACCAGGTTGCCTCCGCCGCCGAAGCCCAGCAGGGCGATGAAGAAGGCGAGGCTAGCCCAGCTGGGCATGGCGCCGGCGACGACGCAGGCAACGGAGCAGATGAAGAGGGAGATGTTAAAGGCGTATTTGCGACCAATCACGTCGGCACTGAAACCCCAAAAGATGGCACCTGTAAACATGCCAGAGTAGACGGCGATGGTGAGGGCGTTCTTATAGCCATGTGAGCCAAATTCCTTGTAAGCGGGGCCCGAGATGACGGACTGGAAGAGCAGAATCATGGAGTCAACGCAGTAACCAAAGCCATTGAGGAAGAAAAGTTTGAGGTGATAATTAGTCCATCCAATCTCGTCAATTGCCTGTTGAAAAAGTCAGTTTTGTTCTATTTTCTTTGCTTCTTGTTACATTGCACAGCCAATTGACCGCCTAACCACGCATGCGCCAGATAAAGAGTGACTTACGTTATTGACAAGATGCATCTTCTGATTCAGCGCCGGGTCCATATCCTGCATGCCGAGAATGTCCTCGCCGCTGTGAATGGAACCCGGCTCGTCAGAGAGGTGGCCATCTTCGCCGCTGGCAATCTTCTTGTCCAGACCGGCGGGAGTGGTCTCTCTGTACGCAGGAAGCTGCGCCATCTTGAACGGCGGAAAGTGCGCGGCACTTCTCTGTATTATGATCGTTGCAGCGCAGATTGAACCGCCGTTTGACTCGTTGTATTCAGGGTTTCGCGCCTAGATATCTGGGTCCACGTAGAAAAGTTGGACGCTGCTAGGGAACGGTCAAGCCACCGCGACACTCTATTACGCGTGTAAGAAGATGCTGTCGGAGGTACTTAAGATTTCAAGACCGACAATTGCAATCGATGCGCGAAGCAAAGAAAAATACAGCGATTGTTCCAAGGGAAACGGGGGAGAACTCAGCATGTAAAAATCGGTCGAGGGCGCAAAAGTACTTCAGGTTTAGCGACTAGTAGACACAACCTCTGCATCAGATGTGGCGTAGTTTTCAAAGGGAAGCGAAACAGGATCTAGGAACAAGAGCAAAGGTCAATGGCACCCAATATAAGTCAATGGACTCAGGAAAGTGGTAAAGGGACAGAGCACAGATCGACAGCAAAGGTGAACGTCGCGTGGCGGGGGGGTTTGGGGTATTTCAAGAATTGGTGGGATACTGGGGGGGCGCCGCAGATGGGATTGCCAGCCCTTGCCAGCCAAGAAGATCGCGTCGCCCGTAGCTGCGTGCAGGCGGACGCTGAGCTGGCTGGATGACGCTAAAAATCATCACAAGGTTGGCACGCTGGAGATGAACATGGGCCTTTAAAAGGGAGAGAACGAGGGGAACACCGGTTGAGGCCTAGCTCGGCAGCAGTGGCGTTCGTCGTTGGCTGCTGGCTGCCAACTTGCAAGCTAGCGACTTGGCCTACATAGGTAGGTACCTGGTGTCACAGATGTGCTGGCTAGATCATCTCGGCGGGCGCGCTAGCCACACTCTTCTTTCCTCGAGGTGCAGCATTGTTGTTGTAGGTGTTGATGCGTTGTAATGATGCTTTGCCAGGCACCCAGGTTCTGGTCCAGCCCGCCTTTTTGATACAGAGGGATGCCCTCTGAGGCTTAACACTTGCGGTTTTTAAACTTATTAGTGACCACGCTGACGAGGCGCCCCCGTGCGGTCAGACAACCGTTATGATAGGCCGCCGTCGCCCGTCAATATCCATTCATGGGCGGGTCGCAGAAATCCTGGATTGCTGGCAACTTTCGACCAACTCCAAGCCAAGTCGGCGGCGCGAGGCACTCACCCAATTTATTGTGGTTTTTCTGAACGGCGCTGTAAGCGCAGGAGCCGACGCCCTGCGCTTTGTCCCGGTAGTGGTGGCCAACTACGCAGAGCATATGGGCCGGAAGCTCAATTACTCATGTGCTTCTTCCCAGATTTACTGCTAATTAATTCAATAGGCTTGAAATTGGCAGACTCTACTTCCGGCCCAGACACATGGGCGTCGCAAGAGAGGTCTTGCTGCGCGACACGGCAAACGCTATATGACTGCTGCTGCTAGTACCTGCTTGTTAGCGAGGACTTGTTTAATCATGTAATCGCGCTCAACCACATGATTAATCGGCCACCGCTGACCGCAGCTCATGAGTTACTGCCCTCCCAAAGCCAGTACTTCGACGTCAGTGGCTGGCTGCCCAGGCTATCAGCACCCCGCCCACGCTCCTGCGTGGTGCCCTCGTATGTACCCTGCACGATGAGTTGCATCTTCTCGCGCCAGATGAGCCTGGGAAACGCGACGTAAAATCGTTCAACTGTAGCCGTATTTCCGGCATATGGCTGTTGAATGGCTTCTGGTTTTAAGGAGCAACTGCAAGTGTATGCGCTGATGCTACGTTGGTAGCTAGTGTTTCGAGAGTCTAATTGCACCAAGCGTGTCACAACAGCCACACAACCGGCTTTCCCCATTCCGAGTCCCGACCTCAGGTCCCTTACTCTTGACCGCGTGGCATATCATTACTTGCCGATGCAAACAAAGTCGACGGAGGTTTTCTTCTTCCCAGATTAGTTAATGTTGCCACTTGACGTGGATATCAATTGTAATACACATACGCAAACTCTAAGCTACCATTATGTTCTCGTCCGCCAATCCAGCTACGGTGAAGAGTTACATCGTCATTCCGGCTCATCTATAAGTGTACCAGCTGCCTAGCCATCTAAGCTTTTGCGCCATATTCTCAATCTTTCCCAGCGCGCTGTTCACGCGACCATCCGGGTCGTCCAACTTGTGGCCCTCGAATTCCACAAAGATAATGTACTGGAAAGGGCCCAGTAGGCTCGGCCTGCTGTTGATGCTCGTGAGGTCCAGCTGGAATTCGCGAAAGCAGCCCAGTATGTCAGCGAGCGCCCCGGGGCTCTTGTGCGGCACCGTAAACGTAACGAGAGACTTGGTACCGGTCCGCCGCGCCGGGTCCTGCCGGAGCGGGTACCCACGCGGCAGCGTGGGCTGCGTGCCGATAATGAGAAAGCGCGTCGTGTTGTCATCGCGGTCCTCGATGGCCGCTGCCAGTGTGTCGAGCCCGCACAGCTCGGCGGCGAGCTTGCTGGAGATGGCGGCCGACGCGCCGCTGTTGTCGGCGGCCACGAGCTCGGCGGCTTTGCTGGTCGAGCTGACGTCACACTTTTCCGCGTTCTTGAGATATGTCGAAATGAACTTGGTACATTGACCGAAAGCTTGCGGGTGTGAATACAGCTTCTTGACATGGTCTAGATTCTCCAATGGCTTGCTCCTGGGCTTGGAGGGCGTCGGATCGGCTGCCGTCGGCGTGGACGTGCCGCTTACGCCGTGGCCGGTAGTACTAGCCTTCTTATGGCCTAGCAATTGGTGATGAACGTCAACGTAAATCTCGCCGTTTACGTATAAGTCCTTGTAACGTCCGTCTCTGTCCGCCAGGTCGTCTAGCGTAAAAACGACAGAGCCATTGGTTGAGTTTTCAATTGGTACGATGCCAAGAAGGACATGCTTGTCTTGAGTCTCATCGCAAACATCTAATCATGAACATAATGTCAGTAGCTGCTCTTGTAGTATGTGATCTTTGCAGAGATAATAAGAATCAGCACCTACCATCGATAGTGGTGACAGGTTTCAGATACCATACAGCTTCTGAAAAGGCTTGCAGCGCTGCCTGTGTGGCGTGTGGACATCAGTACGACACGTATCCAAATACATGTTTTCATACTCTTACCTGTTGAGAATACGATGCAATGGGTCCCAGATACGCCGCTATGGGCTTGCTCTCTGAGGATGACATGCTTGGCAGTTCTGTTTCAGCGGAACGCTGTCTCAAGGCTGGCTGCGTGATGGTGCTTTTCAGTGCCCCTCCTTCTCCGAAGCTCGGACACCTACTGTTGAAGGTTTGCAACGCTTAAAGGCCACAGCTCGTGCACAGATTTGCGGCGTAAATAAATAGCTCCGCGCGCCGGAATTAGTAGAGCTACACGCGGAACGAACGAGCACTGATTGGCAAAAATAAAAAACACAGGCTGCAAAGAACATACTGGATCGAAAGGTGCTCCCGCAAAGTGTAACATTAAAGGTCACGGTGGGGATCGAACCCACAATCTTCTGGTTCGTAGCCAGACGCCTTGCCATTTGGCCACGCGACCAATGCTCTGAGATACAGTTTTGTCAGCTATTAGGTACTATGAGTACAATGCTTCTGTGAAACCCTGGGTGGATTCTCACGACGGCTGCTGGTAGGCAGCTAGCGTCATAAAGTACCAGGTAGGAGCTCGCAGCAACTGGGTCGCGCGTATTTCAACTGCTGAAGCTGTCACTGCCACCATAATTTCCGACTAAGCCTCCATGCCTTGATTATGCGGATACGACAGTAGCCATGGCCCTCGATCTCATTGACGGCTTCAACCCAACCCACCAGCTGGAGGCCAACGGCCATGATCTGCCCATTTTCACTGTGGAGGCGGCGCAGCTCGGCTTCTCAGTAACAGCCGACTTTGTCGCCGCCCAAGTCGCCAACGATGTCATGATTCTCGCTCTCTCAAACGGACGAATTCTACGAATAGACCTCAACAGACCGGAGGATATCGATGGTGCGTAATGGCAACCGATCGCGATTCTCTTCGCCCTAACTCGTTCTTGAGCAGATATCGACCTCCCCAAGAAGACATCCGAAATTGGCGTTATTTGTCGCATGTTCCTTGATCCCACAGCGTCGCATCTCATCATACGTACATCCCTCGGCGAGAACTACTACCTGCACTCGCAGTCGCGACTGCCTCGGCCACTAGGTAGACTTCGTGGTGTCCCCATCGAAAGCGTGGCATGGAATCCTGCTCTGCCCACGGCATCTACCCGTGAAATCATTTTGGGCGCATCTGACGGCAACATTTACGAAACGTTCATTGAAGTATCGAACGAGTTCTATAAGAAGGAAGTGAAACACCTGAAGAACCTCCACAAACTCCCAGACGGACCCATCACAGGCCTTTGGGTTGATAATCTAGACGGACGATCGGACTTACGCAGAATTATAATCGCCACGCAGAGCCGTCTCTTTCACCTCGTCGGAAAGACGGGGACTGGCAGCGATAGTAGCGGATCCGTTTACTCGCGACTTTTTGAGTCGGAACACCCGATTGTACACGAAATCTCGCGCAATTCGGCGGCAGCACATTCCTCTTTGGCTGTATCACCTGATCCAAGAGAGACCGAGCCATACCGAGATCAGCAGCCAGAGAAGGCGTTTGCTTGGCTCACCTCGCAAGGCATCTTCCACGGAACGTTGCTGCAATCGCCGGCTGAGCAGACCCTCGGCTCGAAAGTCTTTGCAGAATCCAAGACGCTCGCCCGTTCCCAGATTTTCTCCGACGCATCAGGGAAAAGAAAGTCTGGGCCGGATAACATTGATGCCATGGCTTTGACGCAATGGCATATCGTCTGCTTGTTAGGAGGCCGAGTGATCACTATCAATCGCCTTACAGGCCAGACAATATCTGAACATGACGTTCTGAAAAGCGGTCAAAAAGCGATTGGCTTTGCGGTCGATATGCAAAAGTACACCTTTTGGCTGTTCACAGGGCAAGACGTCTTCGAAATCGTGCCCAACGACGAAGATCGCAACATCTGGCAGATTTTGATGGACTCGCAAAATTTTGAAGCGGCACTTCAGCAAGCCCGGGGCCAAGACCAGAAAGAGACTGTTGCTGCGGCTTACGGCGATTATATGGCTAAGAAAGGAAACTGGAAAGAGGCGGCAGCTTTGTACGGAAACAGTAACAAGCCTTTCGAAGACGTGGCCCTTCGAATGATTGACAGTGGTCAGCATGACGCTCTGCGCAGTTTCCTTTTGAGCAAGCTGGCTGCCACCAAACGAACAGCAACCATGCAAAGAATGATGATTGCTAGCTGGCTCATCGAGATCTTCATGGCCAAGCTCAACTCACTTGACGACACCATTGGCACGCGGGCAGAATTGTCCGAGTCGCTCAACGCTACTCAATTTCAAAAGCTCCTCCAACACGTCAAAAAACAATTTCAGGAATTTGTCGTACGCTATAAAAACGATCTGGATAAGAAGACTGTTTATAATATCATCAGCAGCCACGGGCGCGAGGAGGAGCTTTTGTTTTATGCCAACTCAGTCAATGACTACCAATATGTGCTCTCATACTGGGTGCAGCGGGAGAATTGGGCCAAGGTCCTAGATGTGCTGAAGAGGCAGACGGATTCAGAAGTCTTTTACCGTTACAGCACTGTTCTCATGACACACGCGCCGCAGGAAACGGTTGAAATCTTGATGCGGCATGCGGATCTCAAGCCAAGAAGCTTAATTCCAGCCTTGCTGGAGTATAGCCGCTCGAATCTCAATGAAGTGAACGCGAAAAATCAGGCAATCCGGTATTTGAATTACGCGATTCATCAACTCAACTCGAAAGACTCTGCTATCCACAACACACTTGTATCCATATACGCGTCTAATCCTTCCAAGGACGAGTCTGGCTTACTTTCGTATCTTCAAGCACAGGGTGATGAGCCTCGATACGATCCAGATTTCGCTCTACGACAATGCATTCAGTACCATCGAACCCTTTCCTGTGTCCATATATACACCAGCATGGGCCAGTATTTGCAGGCGGTGGACTTGGCTCTTTCGCACAATGAGGTAGAGCTGGCCGCTGTGATTGCAGACCGGCCCATCACGAACCCGCAGCTTCGAAAGCGACTATGGCTTGCTGTTGCCCGCAAGGTCATTTCTCAGTCAGATGGTATCAAGTCCGCCATTGAATTTCTGCGGCGCTGCGAGCTACTCAAGATTGAGGATTTAATTCCCTTCTTTCCCGACTTTGTGGTGATTGATGACTTCCGAGAGGAGATTTGTGAGGCGTTGGAGGACTATAGCCGTAGTATCGATGATCTCAAGAAAGAAATGGACGAATCATCGCAGACGGCAGCCAACATCAAGATGGATATCGCGGCACTCGATCATCGTTATGCCATTGTAGAGCCTGGCGAAAAGTGCTACGTGTGTGGCTTGCCGCTGCTCAGCAGACAGTTTTTCGTCTTTCCCTGCCAGCACGCGTTTCACTCTGACTGCATGGGTCGCAAAGTCCTCGAGCAGGCCGGCGTGGGAAAGTCGGGGCGTATCAAGGAGCTGCAGTTGCAAATACATAGAGGTCTTGTCAGTGGCGCAAAGAGAGAGGCTGTCGTCGCAGAGTTGGATTCTCTGGTCGCCTCAGCATGGTAAGCTCTTCCCCACCCTAGCGTAGGCCGAAAAGATCCTGATCTAACATAATGCTATAGTATTCTCTGCAGCGATTTTGCAATCAAGCAAATCGACGAGCCCTTCATTGCAGAGGGAGAAACGAATGAATGGGTAGTGTAAAAGTGTTGGAATAAAGATCTATGTATGAAGCGCTGGCTGTTGAGAGACTCAATCAACGTGAATGACTCTGGAGCGTTCTTTTTTCTGTTGATACGAGAAGCCGAACGCATATATAAATAATAATGCGATAGTAGGCATTCTTGCCTGCTTATGGACCTAATAAATACACCTGGTCACATCGGACTTGGACTTGGTTATCATCAAAAGCGAGATGACAAAACCGTAGAGCCCCAGAACTTCTGAAAATATGAGAATAAGGACCATTCCCATATACAGACGAGGCTGCTGGGAACTGGCACGGACTTTTGACTGGGTCAGCTACTTCAATATTCGCAGCATGCAGAACGAGCTTACCTCCGGCGTCGCCGACGATGCCGATGGAAAAGCCGGCGGCCAAAGCACAAAGACCGACAGCAAGGCCGCCGCCAAGCTGCAAAAAGGCAGTGTGGAGAGCCATCTTCTCGTTGAGGCTGGGTATCATGACGACACAGCAAACTAGGCCGTAGATGGACAAGATCTGAGCCATGACTGCACAGAGCCTAATTTCTGACTTAGCAGTCTGTATAGCAACGGAGTCGAAGAAGTTATAATCAAACGAGGAGAGACGGGTGCGATATTCTTACGTGTTGGGCACAAGACGCTCAGGACGAAGGATGCCAGATGAGAAGATGCCGGCAGCGGGTTTGGCCGTGCCGTATGCCGCACCGAATGTGGCGAAAACAATGGCAAAGGCGCATCCCATGGCGCCAAAGAAGCTCTGAAACGCGTTAGTATCGATTTGATTGTATGCTATCTCAATCAACTCCGGTTCTCTTACGGCGTAGGAAGGGCTTGCCGAAAGACGAGTTAGACAAGTTCAAGTACACCCATAGGCTTCGCATTTGCTTTATTGATCACTTGATGACTTACCAGCGGTCCATGCTCGCGATTGATCCGTAATCCATACTCCTCCCTTTAGAATATCTGGCGAAGATACAGAGCGATTTTCAGACGATACGATGCAGACTCAGCCTGCGAATCCAGATGTTGCTGGCGCGACGCCAACTTATATGCAAAGTGGAAGCATTGTGCGCAGACATATTATCCCCTCTGCCAGCCACAGAAAGGATCTACACTTTGCGGCTGAAGTCGAGCAAAATGGAGCAACATCCGGTAGGCAGCCAAATTCATCGTCTAGCCGCGCAGACTTGGCATCAGCTAATAACTGGATGGACACGCATCTGCCTAATTACAGTCCAGTCGGGCAGCGAACGATCGGGCTAGGCAGCACCATTATCACCTCTTGCAGAAACACTTGGACAAGATAATGTAGAAAAAGGACAGCAGTACGGATAAGCTTTAGCCATTCTTCATAATTGGACGCCACAGCTGAAATTGTCACCCTTTTAATCACCCTCTTTTTGGCTGGCTGATGATAAGTGAGTAGAAAGCTGAAGATGGCAACTGGGTTGGCTGTTGTTGTTGTTGTTGTTGTTGTTGTAAAAGAAAACACTATTTTAAAGATTACACAATTTTACAAAAAAAGCGCTCAAGAGCTCAGAGCTCACAGTCTTGCGGTTGATCCTCGTCGATCCCCGCTGCCGAGCTTCCCTTTGCTCGACGAGTCGCATGTTTTGTAGAACATGAAGCTCTGGCCGGGGGTCGGATCCGTCGGCTGAATAGCGAAATAGTGCAGCGCACGCTCGATAGATTCATGTAGAGAAAGTCCTTCGACAGCGCAGTTTTCCAGCTTAGAGAATAGCATTGTCAAACTGAGCAATGGTCCCTGGTTTTAGGCGTCACGACCTGCATCCTGTTTCGTCTCGGAGCGTGGCAAGTGGGCTCCATCTTGAGACGCCGGCGAGACATGTCAGAACAATTGATCTGTCGTAGTGCAACGGCTGTATTTTAGGATAAAAAAGCTAACTCTGTCGTTTTGCGGTGAAGATTATGCAAACACTAAAGATGCGCTTTTTCTTTTTAATTTTCTTTTTTTATTAGAGAGATTCATATTTTGCGTGGGTAGAATCAACTAAAACTGTTGTTGGGCGTCAGGCTGGACGTTATACTCAAGTGGGCTCAACACCGCCAGGACTCAACTCGAGCTCCAGGAATAGATTTGAAATGGAAATCTTCTCGAAGTTAGAATGGCCTTAGAGAAATGTGCGCGTGAGCAGCAGTAGGTGGCTACGCACGAGGGCGTACGCTAGCGGAGACGGTGACGAGGATCAGCCAACTCCCCAAAAGCAACTTCCAGATGAATGAATGAATGACAGACAGGCTGCCCATCAATGAGTCAACATGGCAGCTCCGCCGCAATCCCAGCTTTTTTTTTTCAGCACATCGGGCAATCGAGAAATCGAGCAATCGAGCAATCGAGCAATCGAGCAATCGAGCAATCGAGGTTTCGTCCCCTTCTGTAACTCAACCGGAGGCTCCCCTCCACCACCAAAACCGACCCCAGACGTCGCTCCCACCGCGCGTCAGAGGCTTAGTTTCGTCCCGACACTAGGTAGTCCTGCAACATCCGGACTCTGCTGTCTCCCAACGACGGACGCTTTTCCTAGTTTACCGCGCTCCCGTCACCGCCGCGCTCTTTGAATCAATTGGCAATCTGACAGCCCAGACGGAACCCCTTGCTTCGGCACAAAGAAGCATAGAGAAGGAGGGGGCAAAAAAAAAAAATTTAAGTGCCGAGTCCCAGATGTTCGTTCAGTGACCATCTCGGTAACGGCCCTAGCGTGGCATCGGCGAGGGCGGCATCGGCGGCCCGGATGCGACCTGCCACCACAGGCTGGCTAGTTGAGGCGATGCGTTGAGTCAAGTCATGCCTTAACTTTACCGCTTGGCTCCTGCACAGACACTTTTGACTTTCATGATTCCTATCAGGTCCCTATGAGACTTGGTCTGCTGCCAAGAAAAAAACTCGCGTCTGCTGCCTCATTCAGTGGCAGCCTCGCCTCGCACCTCGAGCTCCCCTATCTCCACAGCTCGCTGTTCTCACATCAATAGCACAGTAACTACAAGCAGACAAATGCTTAAACTAGTTCCTTCTCCTCTTCATTTTCCCATTTCGACCACAACTTCATTTTCTGGGCTCTACAACGCTCACTCTACTTGTCCAGTACCCGATTCTACCTGTTCGCTACTCCACCCAACTCAACGACGCATTCACACCAGTCTACGTTGCAAAAACCGCGTCACAATCGGAGTTGAATTATAATTAGGATACGCAGAGCATCAGCCATCACCCCAGAGCGATCTCCCTTCCGTCGAACCACTCGAGGCGCATCGGGCCAGCCCTGGCACACATAGAGTGTGCTCCAGTCGGTGGTGGAGCGTGTCCGGCAGTGGTTTGGCCAAAGCACCGTGGCCCAAGATGCGTTGGCACACTATATCGGTCACCATTCTCTGTCTACTGCAATGGAAATCCAACGGAGAGCTGACGAGGCTGCGGCGAGAAGGCGACACTCGCGTTGTACAGCTGTCCCTGCAGCGGAGCAAGGTCCAGGATCCTGTTGCGCGAGACAGGCAACGAATCAGGAGGCGCAGTGGAACCATGCAGGCAGAGCTGGATAACCTGGTATGCGCTTCTTCTTTTGACCAACTTTACATAATCTGACAATAAATGCCATAGAGAACCCTATACTTCTTTAATGCCTCGCTCGGCAATCCACCCCAAGAACTACGCCTCCATCTTGATACAGGCAGTAGTGATCTTTGGGTAAACACGGCAGGTTCGTCATTATGCAAGTCATCGACTGAGGCTTGTGATGTATCAGGAACGTATACAGCCAATTTGTCATCAACATACGAATACATAAACAGTCACTTCAACATTTCCTACGTGGACGGCTCAAGTGCACAAGGCGACTACGCTACAGATTCATTTCGTTTCGGAGACATTGGTATTGACAATTTCCAATTTGGCATCGGATATAAGAGCAGCTCTCAACAGGGGATTCTCGGTATCGGATACCCCGAAAATGAGGTCCAAGTCGCTCGATCTGGGGAGCGACCGTACGAGAGTCTTCCCACAAGATTGCTTGCAGACAAGCACATTGGCACCAATGCGTATAGTATTTGGCTCGACGACATCAACTCGACGACAGGAAGCTTGCTGTTTGGTGGTGTCGACAGCTCGCAATATCGCGGAAACCTAGTGACTGTTCCTGTTCAAAAGGTTGGTTCCAGCTACCGCGAATTTTTCATCACCATGACAGGGCTCGACGCTGGCTCCAAGTCCATAGCCAATGACATGGCGCTGGCCGTACTACTCGATACAGGATCCTCCCTTACATATCTGCCCAACGACTTGGCGACTTCAGTCTACCAGGCAGTCAATGCGACGTGGTTCGAGCGATCTCAACTGGCTATTATACCCTGCGACAAAGCACTCAGCGACGATACCATCACATTTCATTTTAGCAAACCAGCATCAATATCCGTCCAGTTGAGAGAGCTTGTGCTGCCAGTCGTTTCTGCTAATGGTAGATCTCCCAAGCTAAATGATGGGAGAAAGGCCTGCCTTTTCGGAATATTTCCTTCTGGTAAAGGGGCAAGGGTCCTTGGCGACACGTTCCTACGCAGCGCCTATGTTGTTTATGACATTGCAAATAACGAAGTGTCCCTGGCTCAGAGCAACTTTGACGCGAAGCCGTCGGGGTCCAACGTTGTGGAAATCGGCGCCGGGAAAAATCAGCTTCCCGACGCAACGGTTGCTCCGACCCCGGTGGCGGCCAAGTCAGGACTGCCTGTCTCCGGCGGTGCGGCCACATCTTTGCCGCTCAGATGGAATTATTTAGGGCTCACTTTTATTTTAATGCTGATTTCGAGCGCCAGTAAAGGTTTGAGGCAATATACGTAATCTGAACACTGTGTGGCATCGCACCGGCGTTTTGTTTAATGCAGCCAGTTGAAAGAGATTCTGAATCTGGATATATAAGACTTTGTTGTAATAAACAATCACTGGTATATTTCTTGAAAAACTATCAAGGTCTGCCCAACTTTTGTCTCTCATCGATGCTCCCACGAGACATGGGCTGGCGCTGCGAAAGCAAATACCCGACGCTCAAGCGGGAGCTCTCATCGACGGATGTCAAGAGCCCACGATCAAGGTCCAGGCGCGCGGCTGCCAACACCCGTCTGTCAAGGGTGCCCTTGACGGCAAAGACGGCAACCATGTACGGGATAAATAAGTCTTTGCCACTACGTCTCATTTGGGCACCCACCCGCCCGCGCAAGATTTCAAGCGAGCGAGGTCTTTGCCGCTGCCGAGGGCGATAGGAAGCTGGCACTCCTCACGAAGGTTGTATTGCACGGACTTGGCAGTTGCCAATGTCATATAATTACCGGCTACTCTGATTTCGGTGTTCATCGTTGTAGAAGGTCACCGAAGGATACGGGATGGGACAATGTGAGAGACGGGAGAGCAGTGAAGGGGTCGCCCTGAAGGACCAAAACTCTCATGCGGACGCAACACATGCGCCAGGTAATACTGGTGTCACCGAGATGCATTCATGAATACATTGATTACAATCCGTATATGGTATCATACACAGTACTAGAGTAGAAAGCCTAACAACCTCTGTAGTTCAATGCTATCTGTAGTTCAATGCAACTAGGAAGTGCCATCCTATTCGCGACTCAAAATCAGTGAGTGAAGGTGTTTCTTTTTTTGGCCACCTATAGAAAAGCTACCCATCGCCCCTGCACGCCCCAGACAAACCTAGTCAAGAAAACTTAATCCTAAAATATAAATTGCGCCAGCCATGACATGTGTCGTTGTATGCGTGTCATGGCCCGTTCCATGGGGGTACATCGTCGGTGAAGAAATTCCACGGCATGCTTATCCCGCCGGGCATCTCGCCAGTGTCAATCAGCGAATTGGTAATCTGCGCCGCAAATATGTTGTCCTGGTTCGGCCACGCTGAATTGAGCATGCGGTCCTGAAACACCCTCAGATCGATCCGGTTCTCCGCGGGCGTGTTTCCCAGGCCAAAGACCGTGCTCGTCCCTACACCACTGACGGGTGCTGGCGACTCGTTGCTGCTGCTGGCAGCGCGAGCGGCGGTGGCGGTGGTGGCGGAATTTTGAAGCACCGGTGAGGATGTGTTGGAGGGCGATGACCGATCAGGGAGCGAAAACACGCTGCCGAAACTGTTTGGCCCCGTTTTCCACGGGTTGTTGGTTCCGGGCGTGTTATTCTGCGCAGTGGCGTTTTGCATCGATGCGATGCCGGCATCCCTGTCCTGCGACAGAGGGCTGTCCGAAGTCCTCTGTCGCTTATTTGCGTAGGGCTCGCTGACATCAATCACCGTTGATTGGTCTGCGGCGCCAGCAATGTTTCTAGTCGCGGCTCCGATCATGGGCTGGTAGCAATCGGTCCCAGTCAGTCTCCTGACAGTCGCGTCGGAGCCCCTAGACACAACATCAAGCCTCTGGCCTTTGGGGTTCTCCAGTGGCAAGCGTCCTGGCAGGACGGGCAAGATTTCAGTGTTGCGTGATACTGAGCTCCGTACAAATAGAGGAATATTCCCCATGCCACACAGTCCTGACTGACGATATCTTGTCAGTGCTGGAAATCTGATTTTGTGAGACAGACCATTTGTATCGATATCATGACATGCTTGCTGCAAAAGAGCCATTGTTATTTGGTGGCTGCGACCGATTGCTTCCATGGAACGGATAATGACTTCAAGATTGGACACATCCACGGGGCTGATGTCATTTGATGGATCAGTCTTTGCCATGTAGATATATACAGTCGTCGCACAGTACATGGCTATCGCACACATGGGGCTTTTCTGTAACAAGAGTAAGCGAGCAACTCGAAAAAAGGGAGGGGAGCTTGCATTCAGCACTTACAAATATGCCTGTTCTGTGAGCCGTCATTTTTACAATGTTGACAACCTCTTCAGCGGATGTTCTTAAACGGCGTAAGCTTTCATCTATTATCGACTGTGAATGATGATGCATTTCCGCAAGTTCCAGTGCCGCGTGGTGCAGGCAAATAATGGAAGCGTGAAGGTTGAGGTTGACATGAACGGCGCCAGGGTCTCGCGTATTGGCTGGCAGCTGAAATCTCTCTGGAAGAAACATGAAGACACTGGAAAGCTGATTGTCGAGTTCCCTATGACGTTTCCAGAAGCCACCATGCGCCAAATCTGCCGGGTTGTCGTCTGGTTTTGGTCTGTGTACGTGCCGTAGTATCGACTTGAACAACTGGCAAGTAACAATTGTCCCGGCAAAGCCCGCGTAAGGAGCGCCTTCGAATACTTGGTGCAGATGGGCCGTCTTTTCTTCCTCTCCAGAAGAGAATGCGGCTTCGGACGCAGGAAGTCGGGTCATGATCTGTTCCGCTGGTTAGCTGTTATATTGAACAATTCTTGATAGCGAGGGGCATTTACATCTTCTGCATTGATGAGGTAGGGCCAGCCCGTCGATATCGAAGCGTGACAGTCAATGGCAAAAGCTCCCCAGAAAACACGCCGCCTCTCCTCCAGCTCGATCCAAGACCGCGCAGGCCCCAAAGCAGGCGGTAGATCATCAATACCACCGTCTAGCCGATCGAGACCCATCATCTGGCAGATGCGTACAGATCTTGAACAGCTCATAGACGCTCGTGTAAAGTGCATCTTTTTTGCCTCATACGTCGAGAGAATGACCCAAGTCTGTGCATGGTTCAGGGTGATGAAATGCTCGCCAGCATCCTGTCTTCCAAGTCAGCCAAGTGACCAGAGCATGCAGGCGAATACGTACTCTCATTTCGTCCGCCTCAATGTAATGGCGTGCGCGACGATAGAATATGTCCGAGTAGGCATCGTATTTCACGTGGCCATGAGATGCCAGTGCCCAGATGGCGTTTTGAAGGCACATGGCTGGACGACGCAAAGGATCGCCGTAGAAAGCGGTCAGGTACCTCCCTGAATGCACGACGGGGGCCATGTGGTACGCCGAAGCAAAGAATATCGCATGCCTTTGTATTAATAAATAAGATGCCGGCCAAGAATGTGAGGTAATGCTTACAAGTCTTCTATAATCTCGAATGGAGGCAAAGCTTCAGTCATGCCGAGGCCGATGAGCTGAGAGTTTTGCTGATGGTTTCCATCCTTGCTAGCCGACCCAGTTTCATAGAAGGGATCTGTGGCAAAATCTGGAGACAAATGGGGTGCATGATCCCCAGAATCAAGACCAATGTTGCCGAAGCTCCCTTCAGATGGCTCAAGATCCTCGGTTGAGCCCTGACTAGGCTCCTTTCCATTAATGTCTTTCAACATGCCCTCAACCTGAGCTACATCAATTGTCAGTACTCGTTATCTCTGAAGAGGGAGAAGCTTGATTGATTTCACGCAGCAAGTGTACCTAAGCGGGCCTCTAATTCTTTGACATTCTTTCGCTTAAAAGTTGGTTTCCGACGTGATTGGGGATACAGGCAGTCGCCATGGACCTTGACGCATCGTGCACACGCAGGCTTACTGCGGTCGCACTTTAGCTTCTTGGCCCGGCAGGATACGCAAGAAAGAGGCTCCAGATCTGCGGCCGTGTCGGCCGAGGGCGCATCGGAAGCAGTATTTTCTGCCATGTCGGGACGCCGCCCTCATGAGCGACAACGCGCGTTCCGGTTTCGAGGTAGACTGGCTATGCTAGGCCCAAATTATATAACAGCGAACCTCGATTGAGTTTCTTGGAGCCCCATGATCAATCTTGGACGTATTTGGGGGGCTGTATGGATAGAGACGTTGTTCACGAGTCGAATTTTTGATGAGCATCTCCGATTCTGGTGTCATCATTCGTCAAGCGCTAAATGTCAAGTGCCGCTCTCCATGACAGCGCCCGATTATTAAGCGTCATCCCGCCTCAGCCTTACACACCTGCTTCGGAGTTAGCTGGCAGCCGCCGAGAGCTGCAAGGCTTCTCAAGATACATGATGGATTTCTGGAAAATACATTGTTTCGGTTTGGCTACAAGATGGTGATTTCTATTCGAATGACTGCACGCAAACGGCCAGCCAGGAGAATGTGGAATGTGGATGCTGACGGGATCCGACTACCGTGGCTTGATCTCACTGTCACTGTGGAGGTGCCGGTCGCAAGATGCGAGGCCATCAAGCCAATGGGAAAGAATTGCTAATTGATGGCACCGACAACATGCATCTCTACTTTGTAAGAGGCAAAACAGCACGTAATAATGTCTCAAAAACCACTGGCGCATTGGATTCTGTTAGCCATGCAGAATGACCGCTGACGAGTATCGTCATTTGGTCCTTTACTGCCGAGAAGCTTGGCGTTGATGATCCGCCACCATCTCGAATAAGACTAATACTAGCATCGACAGGAGTCATTATGCTACACTGCCATCCAGAGCAGACAAATCGTGTGTCGCGACTTACTATGCGTAGCAAAGACCCGTGTAAACATGTCCAAGCTTGCAATGCGCTCACTACATCATCACGGCACCACCATTCTCGCAAACTCTGAACCTAGGATTTCCCCACGCCAAGGGTCTCGCGTACTGGTGCAGCGATGTATGTGTCTGCAAATCAACCTTGTCATGTTTGACGCTGGTCTGACTGTCTTCTCTAGTACACACCCTGTGGAGACAACCAACGCTGCCGCGGAACTTTAAATAGTTATACAAGACTGCAAAGACTTGACGTGAAGGGGGTGTGTGACCTGCCATCCTATGAACGATGAAGATTGCCCACGGACCGACGCCGGGGGACTAGTTGTTCGGCAGCCTGGCATCCCGCACGTTCAGATTATATGCAGCAATAATGCACCAGTGCTATTATTATACAATGTAGGCGGCCTGTGCAAATAATGGCCGCCCCGACTTCATCACCGGTGGAGCGCAATGTGAAACATCGACACAAACCTTCGTCTGTCGGACGGACATGGAGTGTAATTAATTGGGGGCTCTAAACAATACCTGTGCCAAGGCTGGGCTACCAACGTTGAGCTTCACTTCACTCAGGCACCACCGTGCAGAATCCCGAGAATCATGCAGTTCACCACCATGACTTGACTCTACAGCGTTTGAGTGTCTGTGACACTGGCGTCCGAACTTTAAATATGGCTTAGAAGACTTCATGCCCCTCGCACCATTGTGTCGATGATGCACCGGTTCCCCCAGCTCCGTCAGTCATGCTATATATAATGGGATTATTAATTTCATAATTTTGCGATATATCCAATCTTTTTGTCGGCGAATGAGTTTGTTCTTAATTCGGAAAGGTTTTCTTCATTGGCCGCCCCCATGCCTGGAACCAATTACTCGCCCGCAACTCTCGGTCTGAGCGCGCTGTCATGTTGACATGAGGCGATTGAGATTAAGCTACTGGCCGGATTATTCAACTCCAGTATCGCAACTGCATGCTTTTCCGCTTTTACGCACGTTCTTAAATTTAATGGTGAAACCTGCGTCGACGGGCCCTCATTGTCCCATTGACAGCCACTGCCCTGTCTGAGTCAAGCTGCCAAACTTGATGGCGCAATTTTTCCATCGAGACGTTGTACACGTCGCGGTTGATTTCGCCGAGCCTACTTGACAAAAAATTGGACTATGGACACGACAAATATATTATTTGTGACGTGCGGGCGAGTTGCGAGGACTCTCCATAGCGCGAGCAGATTTACCCCTTCGCACGGCCGTTGAACTTTCAGCTGCAGGCAATGAGGGCCTGAAAGCAGCCCAAATCTACTCTGTACGGAGTAGGTCACCTGAGAAACCGTTGATTTTTTTTTAGCGAGATGCGTTCGATCCCCAGGACCAAAGACATCCAGCCCCCAACTGCTTCATGACGCACCCCTGTGGCTGCAGAACGCAACCGAGACCACACCCTCAATCCCCAATCTTTGGAATTTGGTTATGCGAATACCAAACACTTGCAAAAGATGAGCTCGTGGAGCTCGTCTCCGCAACACGTCAAAAAGGGCTCTGCGGGTGCTAACTTTGACTGCCCTTTTCCCCATAATTGTCAGTTTAAACTTTGCGACTCGACGTCCAATGGGCGTGCATCGTTAGGGTTTCCTCGCAAGGGCAAGACGTCAAACAAAGCTTTGACTCCAATCTCTGGCCAGGGCTTTTCTTGAAGTCTTGCCGCCCTGCTACCACGCCTAGGTGTGCGAGCAGGATATCGCTAAACTATCCCCGGGAGCTGCCCCAATGTCCCCGGTCTGTCTGTTTCTTACTCAACAGTAATAGAATGATAACGACAACCGCCCGAACACGCCATGACGTCGCGCAAGACATCCGAATACCGTATGATTAATCAACAAGTAGCAAATGTTGAGATATTTGCAGTCTCTCGACCGGTGCATTGACATGGCGAGACTCACAAGCATAATGATGGATGGCCCGTACGGTGTAACGGCTTTCTTGTCATTAATACGAGCATGCCAAGAGTGCAAGATGTGCTCAGAATTAAAAGACCTGGTCATACTGTATACCTCGTACGTACATTGCCGGTTCCCTCTCAAATAGCGTTCGTCTTTGCGGCCGAGGCCCCACGTATCAGTCGGCAACAAGGCACAGCATGGCATTGCGTAGGCTGGAACTGCCATGACCTGAGTTTGGAGCATCTTTGGCTGTAGTATGTCGATTCGCGGGTTTGACAACTTGTCTCTAGCAACAACAGTCTGCCAGCGTGTAACCTTGCCGTCTACTGCTCAGCAGCTCTTGTAATTAATGCTGAGCAGAGCCAAAAACCCGGTAGTAATAGCATGGATGGATTTGAAACAGCAACCGAAGCTCGCCTACCGTTCGACTCGCTAGGACCGGAAGTCAGCCGATGACGTGAGGGTTCTTTGCCGTCAAGTCACATCTAATAAAGCGCAGGTGTGATTTGTAGACTGAAGCCATATCCATGAGACACCGCTACAAGCAATGAATGCCCAGATCGTTACGCTAATCTTGCCTGTCACGCCTTGGGAAAAGATCAGATTCTAAAATGTCACAAATACTTGACGCGTCATATCGGCCGGATATGCCAGATTGCTTTCATGCAATGATTGACTTGACTTTGCTCCTCCTGTCACGTCCCACGTATACTGTCACCGTCCGCCAATCCGCTCCAGTAAGCGTCAGCTAGCTATACAGTAGAAGCCCTGTCAAAACCTTTGACGACTAACGGCATGAGAAATTAGCCGTGTGTGAGTGCCGAGGACTACTTGACATGACTAGGAGTAGTCGCCGAGCACCTTGGGCCCTGCTCTCTGGGCATGAGGATCGTCAACAATGCAGAAACCCCCATCATCTGTCGGTTAAAAGTAAAAGAGTCTAATCAATTTGAAATTCCGGGAGTTTGGCCAGGGCCAAGCAAAATCGAGTTACTTGAACAATCAAGGTACTGATAAGAAAGCCAAGACAGCCTCCAATGTCGGGGTGTTAGTGGAGCCTCTGAGCCTTTAACAATGAATCGTACTTGCTGCTCTGAATCGTCCTCGTTAGTCCACCGCGGCTCCGAAAGCCCTCACAGAGTTACAGTAATAGCGGCCCTGTCCAGAGGGCGTTGGTCTTCTCCCACACACACACACCCTGGGGCGCGCACGTCGATGCGAGTCCGGGTCTCAACGTGGATTTGGCTGTCATTAAGGCCGCACAGCTGGGCTCCATTCGCCAGTGATGAGCAACAGGAATGCATGCAGCCTTGAGCCCGCAGAATATGCAGGCGCAATGCAAGAGAGAGTGAGAGCTGGGATGACCGGCCCCCACAACCAAAAGTGCCGCTCGCTATCGAAACATGGCATGTTCACGCTATCACTGCTTGAAAAGCCACCCAAACACACCACCAGACGGGCTCCCTTCCGTCGGATTCCGCATTGGCATCCGAAAACAAAAAAAAAAGAAAACAACAACCCAAGGCGCTGCCACGACGAGAAGCAGGCTAGATCTTGAACTACCCCCCTCCCATCGCGCGCCCCAAACGAAGAAATGCTGAGACTCGTGCAGCGCAAAAGGTCATTGATGTGCTGCACGTTTAACAATGCTTGCTGATTAGGCGGAATGAACGGCGGGATCACCGCTCCGGTAAAGTTGCCTCTTTCAATTCTAAGCGATGTTGAGGTTGAACCCCCCCGGAGAGCCAATCCAGGGAACAAGGCGAACGTCCCCGTCAAACAAGGCAGAGCGGCTCGGGAAAATAGCCCGAAAGCATGTGAGAGTGAGCACATAGAGACACAAGTGACCAAAATTCCCACACGTCAAATCTGCATCTCGTATGGACGGGTAGATGGTAATCTTGCCGCAGGTTCAAGTCGTTAATATTGTGTAGCGTTATACTTAAGGTTTGCTTCCAACCCACGGCTCTCGGGGGCCCGCGCCCGTTCCTCTCCGTCTTAGCGGACCAAAAGCCCTGCTAGGCACGTTTCAATCTGCGCAGTCTACTAATAAGAAACAGGAAGATGACGCACGCTCTTTTGTGCCCTTGCCCAGTATTTCTGTCGCCCGACTTAGTTCGGGGGCCGAGGAGTGGCGCCACGTCTGCAAGTTGGGGCGTGGTGATCCAATGCATCCAATGTCCAACGCACTAAAATCAAACGGGACTCTGCCGTTGGCTTTTGAAACGCATATGAGCCGAGTCATCTCGAGATATACAAGCAGAATATTATTGACACCTGTGAATCGTGAACGTGGAGGAGAAGCCTGTAATGGCTCTATAATACTCCACGCCAACGTATAGTTTGACCGTCACGCCCATGGGTTTAGATGCCGTAAAGCCGGTGATCCCCTGTCAGACCCTCCCTTTCAAATCAAAAGACCACTTGATCATTAACTCTGATTCCCGCACAATGATGCATTGATGCCGTTCCGGTCGTTGGCGCAGTGTCGAGTGTCAAAGCCAATAGCATAAGCATACGTGCTACAACTGGGGCAGCCGGAAGAAGTAGGACTGTGCAAGTTGAACAGATAGAAAGACCAAGATTGAATTATCATCTTTACTGTCATGCATTCGCCGTCTTCCACAACTAGTGCCGCCTCCGTCCAACGTCCAAAAAATCAAAAGGTATATATGCGAAAAACCAGCTGCCTCTTTTGGCTGCCCAGCTTGATCAAATGCCATGTTTTCCGTAACCCCAGATTCCGTAATGTAACCATTGCCATACGCCAGAGCAGTTTATACTGTGCTCTTACAGAAAATCAGTGAAATGAAAACAGGCCCTAGAACATCAAATCATATCCATTGAGCATCGCTAACTCATCATTGACCAACAACACGCTTCAACATTTTGTAAATTGCGGAGATTTGTTGATTGTTAGCTTTTTGCAACCATACAAACGCGTCACACGTTTGAGTAGACTTAATCATGCTTGAGACCATTGACGCTGCGCATGCGGGGGCTAGCATCGTATGTGCTCTCGCGGTCGAGGCTCGATGCATCCATATCTGCACTCGCGATAGAAGCACCGTCAATACCAGTGCGACTGTGCATAGCATCAGTCTCGGCACGGGCATTGTTGATCATGGCAGGAAGTTGTCGTCGGCGGGCATTAATGAACCAGTTTGAAATCTGGTCTAGAGATGTGTTAGTAAGATACACGACGGACTGGGAATATAGAGTAGAGCGTACTCATCTGTAGGCCGGTCTGATGCATCAGCTGCTGCTTCTCGTCTTCGGTCGGATATGGATGCTGCAAATGAGCAATAAACCAAGAGCGTAGCTTGTCCGTGGTCTCTTTAGGAAGGTTGCCACGACGTTTACGCTGCTTGGTGTCTCCGCTAATGCCCATCATGCCCATCTCGTTGTAACGACCACCGTCATGCAGACCATAGCGAGATGGGGCAAAGGGCGAACGCTCCTCTAAGCGTGCCGGGGGTGTGGGCATGAAGTTGTATCGGTTGGCAGGGTCGCCGGGTCGAGAGCCAAATACTGGACTCCCGCTGCTGGATTGAGCCATATATTGAGCTTCTCGTCTTTGGCGAGCGGCGTGGTCTTCGGCGCCAAAATACCCTTCGCGTCGAAGGTCTAAACCAGGCGGCGGCGGCAAGCTGTGGATAGAAGGACGGTGCTCGCGGTGGTGGATTTCAGGAGAAGCAGACAAGGACGGCCTGTACTGAGCAGGCGTCTGACTTCTCCAGCTGTTATCGGAAGTAGGTGGGCGTCGTGAGATGGGAGAGGCGTTACTCGACCGAGGACGCTCGAGGCTGGGGTAGAGACGAGGAACCTGATGGGAGCGGCCTTCGTTGTCCAGCTCGTTGGAAATTCGCCTTCTCTTGCTACTTGGCGAATGGATGTATTCTAAAGCCGCCGCAGGGCCAGAACTTGTCCAACCTTGGGAATTATGATACTGGCGTCGGCGTCCTTGACGTTCCGGGTTTGTGGCTAGGTGAAGTTCCGGAAATGCCTATAGAGTATGGTATTAGTCCGGCGTATTATGCAGACATAGACGAACCAGATCCCTTTTACCTGTCGAATAGAGGGGAGGGCGACTGATCTCGACTCAGCCCTCGGTAGCGAGTAGTCGGGAGAGCGGGCCTCCCAACGCTCCCTTTGAAAGGCAGAGCTGGAAGTAAGAGGTGCAGCAATCATGGCCATGTTGGATGCTGTACTGGTGAATTGGGCAGGCTGTGGAATTCGAAGTTGCCGTGGTGAGCTATGGGCCATGACCAGGCAAATACAGTAATGATTCAGCCAGAGTGCCTGTCAAAAGAGACTGCAGGCCGAGGTGTGAGTAGGGGCGATGAGCTGGCTGCGAAGATGGTATGGAAATCTACCTTTGACAGGTATCAAGCATAAGCTGCATGAAAGAACAGATGATCCAGAAGAGGGATTTCGGAGCTGGGTAGTTAGAGAAACGGAGATTTCGCTATCGCCAAATTCAAACGGCCAAGGATGCGGTGTTGGGAGCGACGAGGTTGGAGCTTGGAGGAAGCAAACGCTGGGCGAAGTAGGCCCAGAGAGCGAACGGTTCGTATAATTGTGTTGACCAACTGTAACGAATAATGGGATAAGAAGCGTAAAAGCCAAGGACGAGAGGTATTAAGGAAAAGTGTCTTAACAGCACGCGTGAAGAAGGCATATTCAGATGGATGGCGACGATGGGCCAGGCCGGGTCTTTTGTATAAACGGGCTGATGGCAGCCGGGGGAAGCCAGGCAAGGCGTGGGCAGGCAAGGTACCCGCGTGCATTTAGTGGTCCTACAGTGGTTCTACAGTGGTCCTTTGGGGGTGTGCTTTTGACCTGCTTAAGCGGCAACAACACTGTAATGACAAGTTTACAGTGGATAAAGCCTGTTGATATAGGCTCTGATGGGGACTTGTCGGGGGCCTTTTGGGGGGTCGGTTGGGGGGTCAGTCGAAGGGGGGTGCTTACGGGCGGAGGCGGGGTGTGGTGAGCCCTGTTGGCCACTTCGTCGACTTGCATCCCTCATCCATCGACCAGCTCGCCGGCCTGGCTCATACACATACCTAGCACAACTGCTCTGCTCTGCTGATTCGAAGGGGGTGTGTGTCTTGTCTGCTGGGTCTGCTGGTACGACAGCGCACTGGTACCGGGAAAGAGGCAAGCAGGGGTAGGCGGGCGGGTGTGTGCCGACGACTTGCTCCTCAACAAGGCGGCGGGCCTCTCCTTCCAAGGGCCACGGCAGAAGGCCTCATGCTGGTCGACAACATCACGGCAGGGTGTGTCCAGAGCAAACTCGTAGACACAAGTCTCGTCGCGCGGTGCCCCGGGGGGGGGGCGGCGGATCAGAGTGACAGAGATGGAGCTAGATCAACCGAATGAGCGTATGGTTTGCCGATGGTCAGACTAGGTAATTGCACAGAGAGAGACCAACCAGTCCAGCCGATTAAGTCAAGCGCTGTGACGGTGCTGTCGACCTGTTTCCATCCCAACAACGACATCATACATGGCCGTTTTTACTCTTGTCACTCGAGATTACAAAAGACAAAGTTGGAAAAGATCAACCAAAAGACGACACCTCTAAATAACCCGTCGGGTACCAACATTGAGACCGCTGTCGAAACTCTGATCCCAGACTTTGCGGCAGACCCTGACCCGATGACTTGGGATTGACAAGCTACTCCAGGAGCAACTGCCATAGGTGACGAGGTAACAAAATAGATTCATGTTTAGATGTATAGGTAGTTCATGTGGTACACAGGAATCAAGCTTCATGTTGCTAACCAACCTTTGGCAGATGCAACCTGACGTCGCACGAGCATGGCACCGGCCACGATGCAGTCGCACCAGAGCACTTTATTCTTACCATTTCAGGTCTCGTGCCTCATGACGCACTGCAGTACGCACGCTCGTGTGTCTTTTGCACGGTGCAAAATTGCTGTGCTCAACTCTCGCCGTCTTGACCATATTTGTATAAGCGCGTCGTTTCAGCAGCAGTCTTGTTCTCGACGTCGACGGAAAGGAACCCGCAACAAGTTCCGCAAACCTCGCATGCACGTGTACTGTGTCGTGCTCCTATTATAGGCCCAACTTATTCGTATACGAGCATTGTGCGCCTAGAATGCAACACCCCGAGCTTCTGTACAGGTGATGACATGGGCTGTCATCACAACGCTTTCCATACTAACAGTTTTGTTGTTGCCGCCGATATGTCAGTCCCTGATGGCTTTAATCTTGACAAAATGACCAAGCGCTCTGGAGGATATTTGGAGATTGAGAAACAGGTATGCTGTTATATGAACCAACCCACTTGGCCCAGCGCTAGCAGTTGTCGACTTCGCGACCAAACCCTATTCACAGGCTGCCTCCGCCCGAGCGTGCCATGGCCCCAAAGGTGCCTGGTTACTTCGTTTCAATGTGTACCTGGCAAATCTGCGCACAATATCCACCAAGGGCAGTGCACTGGTGCGGGACCGACAGACTTCTCGATCTGCTGTTACAGAGTGGATGGAGTACTTACATCGACACAGGGCAACTCTGAATCGCCAATGTCGTTGCGCCGAGTTAGTCAGGGCTTACTGAATCATGTAAATTGCCTCGACACCTTTCCGGCCACCAGATACTCCGATTTCGGATCCAAATGGAAATACTCGCGAGAGCTTCCGCCGAAATGTGTAACTGTACGCCCCCCAGCCATCAGACTTTTTCAGTATCGCCCAAGACCTCAATTTACTCCTCCAAACTAGTGTCATCATCCGTGTGCCTGTGGCGCCGTAGACTTGCCTTTGGCGAGGCAAAAGCCAGCGGTGCTTCACTGGCCACGCTGACGGTGTCGCACTGCTTATACTCGTATGCCATGTACTATAAAAGGCGACAATCGTCTTTCAGCCCTTCTGGTTTACATGGCGGTCAACGATTTTTTCCCTAAATATGGCTACTGGTTCATTTAAAATTCAAAGCTGGAGCTGTTGTCCAGGTGTCACGGCTTGGGGGTGTAGCACTCTCCAGTGCGGCTATCATACGCCGTGTGCCACGCGATGCGATACGGCTGAGACCGACTTCTGCCGTCTATCGGGAAGCCAGTATCTGCCAAGTTCCATTACCCTTGGGACTGGCCATTGTTCCACAACATGCGCAGTTGCGCTGCAAAACCAAGCCCCTCTCTCCTGTCCGATTCGTCAAGCCCTACACACGGCGCTAAATCCTTCATCTAACTCGCAAAGACAGATGACAAAACTTGACAGAAAATCAGCACAATACACGTGCGGCTGCAGTTCATGTTTCTGTCTTGGGCAGTGCATGCGTGATGGTTCCCACCCCTTACCCTGCGACAGCTTTGCATCAAGTACATGATGCATAGAATCACGGGACTTTACTAGCAGCTTTTGGAAGAGTCAGTTATTGACTGAATATATGAAGAAAATCGAGAGAGCAAAAAGGATAACAAATCGTATTCTGACTGCTGATCCCCCTCTCCCTCATGCTTGCTTGACGAGGTTCGACCCACACGGCATCCACGCATGACAACTGCTTCCCCGAACAGCTGGCTCAACAAAGTCGCCCCGACCAGCTGCTGGTTTGATGCAATGCGTGACACGGCTCGATAATAACCGCCACACGACCAGCTGTCAACTCAACTTGGGCCGCTTCCGCGACACCCACCGACCCCGGTTGGCTTGGCATTTCGGCGTTCTGGGCCAAACCCAGCTCGTCATGCCACTTGGCTTCTTCTGTCTGCCAGATGATACATACTGAGTAGGTAGACAAATAGAGTCAAAGTTTGAGGCCGTGCCTGCACGCGGCCGTCAGTTGTCGGTACGCTAATGCCGCTATTAGTCCTGTCTCATCTAGGCTTCCAGATGTAGATGGCGCTGCCAAAAAGTGCCTGGTACTACTTCCAGCTGGTATCCAAACTTTGCCCTTTCGCAGGCTTTATCTTCTCAGGGCACGATGCTACTTAGATGGCTATTCAAATAGATAATTAGCCCAAAAAAGAGGGCAAGTTGGCCGGTCCTGTGTATGGCTGCCGACTGAGGCTAGCACTGTTCCAATGGCCTGTATTTTGGGTAGCCCCCGCCCCCCCGTACTTGCAGAACAAGATCCTGGCTCATAGTAGATATCGGCTGCACCATCGAAGGGGCTCGTGTTTCATGTTAGATTTTGCATTGTCGAAAACTATGGATCTGTGCCATTGATATTGACATGCGGGACTGGGGGGACCTTGTCATGTACGTATGCCGTCCCTTTGTTTAAGTCGGCAAGAAACCTTACTGATAGAAACGTACTGAGTGTGATGGGTAAGTCTTGTATGCCAGGCTGGTACCGACAAGGGGGGCGACGTACCTACAAGGGCGAAGATGTATTTCATCTGACCGGGGTTAATTTTTGCTGGGGAGAGAGTTACCTGACAGGCATACAAAACAAACGCACCACACCCAGTAGGCTGGTAGGCTCCCCTGAAAACTTCAGGCCTATGGAAACCCGCAGCCCCTCACCACCTTGTTCATGTTCCCAGTAGTGCCCAGCTGGCATGCCCCAGGGCTGTCGGCCACGTCGTCGCTGGAGGCGGTGGAGGCTGCCTGCTTGGCTGACGATCTCCCTCGCTTAGTTCCTTCTATTGGACGTCTGGACCTTTTTTGACAGGTCCTTTGCACCCCACCTTGTGGTGGAATCATCTCTGATTTGTTCGTCGTTTCCTTCTTCCTGGTTGCCGGCACCAGTTGCCGCCAGCTGATCACTCCGTTCCTCCTTAGTACGTGGCTCTGTCGTATTTTCGCAGAACGCTGTCGATTGATCTCTTGTTTCGCGTGCTACATCATTGTTGATTAGTTTAAAACCGACGATCCCAGTATGCAGACCAAACACAGCCTAGCGGGCGAATCGTAATCGGCAAACTCTTCCACTATGTAATTCGTCGCGAGAGTAGTCGGAATCATTGAGGATGAGATGATCATTTTGAGATAGGGTAGAAAGAACTGATTTGTGAGATACTGCGACCCTCCTGGCCTCGGGGACTTTTAACAGGTATTACGAAGTATCTGTGAGGCGGAAGATGGGCCCTGCGCCCTAGCAAATGATGCCATAGGGAAGTATCCACAGAATTATTTTATTCTCCAGGTATTGGATAATAGAAATGCAAAGAAATTGCAAACTACTAATTTCAACCTTGAAGACTTCAAAACTCGAGCAACTTGTAAATTGAAGTCTCATGTGACGTCTAGGTGAGAATGAGCTCAATACACATGATAACTCGCTGTGGTAGGGCGATGAGCCAGTCTTTTCACCATGATGAGGCCTCGAAATCGCGCGTACACGAGCATACGATATTCCAGGCTATTCGGACATGGATAGTGTGCCAGCAGCTTCCGCTTTACTGATAGTACGTGGGCCAGTCAAGTCGCATTGGCAGGCAGGGCTCTGGCTGTCTTGTTTGACGAGTACTGACGGCGCCAAAAAAGAGAACGTCGCGTCGTCGGAGGCACTAGTTAGGATCATCGGCAAGTTTGCAGTTTTTACAGGAGGGAGTGGCTGAATCAGCACCAGTAAGCGCCGCGGAGAAAGTCTGAACAATGTGAGCTGCCAAAAAGCCGCCTCTCCTGCTTCCACTATGATGCTTCATGACAAACTTGCAGCTGGGCGGATAAGTGACAAGGTACGCGTCCGCCGCCACCGCCGCAGCGGATAGGAGTAAAGACCCCAAACCTGGTGACAAGCCCGGCTAGTGCAGTGCTGACCAGTTTCCCAGATCGGACGCAGACCAGGATTGATGGCGGGCCTTTCATCAACGTGGGTGTAGCGTGGGAGCTGCTGCACGGCGCAGCCGAACTGGGGTGCTGGCCTTTGTTAATTCCACTCCCTTGATCAATGTAACAAAGAGCTGAAGAAGATGATCCCGGTTGCTGCCTTTATTCCTGGGCCCTGGCACATGCTATTGGAGGGCAATATTTCCCATTATCAGCATAAGACGCTGCTGATGGATTGCAGCTGTGCAAGGAGAGCTCACGGCCTTGTGTAGGAACAGCAATGAAACACCGAGGAGGGTAAGGGAGAAAAAGAAGCTACGGCCGTTGTCCATTGTCCGGTCTGCACGGGACACGCTGCAGTGAATGAGGCCTGTATTGCTGTACAGAGTCTGGATTGCTTGTCGTCGTCTCACTGCGAACTGCCAGGCATGTTTCAATCCCACGCAATACATAATTGCTTGGGAAAATGCTGGACAATGGGCGACAAAGGCAGTGTTGCGCGCGCCAGTGGTGCCACTATGCAATGGTGGTGATTGTTTCGGGGAGAAGGCCGGGATTGCGTAATAACTATTACAATCAAGATGAGAATCTTGTGCACAGAATCTTGACCCCCATTTTCCTGTTAAGAGTCGGTGTGTATTTTGTGTGCAAATGGCCCAGGGCCGTTCAGCTCCAGACACAGTTTCGCCACTTTTCCCGGGGAGGGGTGAGGTAATTGGTGGCTGGTGGAGATGACGGTCATCTATGGAGTATCGAATTGGGCATCAGTGACAGAGGGGGGGAGAAAGAGAAGGAGAAAAGGAAGAAAGAGAAGAAAATCTTTATTCAAAAATATACGGAAAACGAGACTTTCGAATGAAACAACGGCAGCTGCTGACCATTTTGGGATAGCGAGGCGGCCGCGGGTTGTCAGTTGTCATTACAGAGTACCTAACTTGCCAACCTAATCGTGGCGGCCAACTAATCTGCCTAGTTAGCGTGCATTTCACCTGTTCGGTGGCTAACTAGTTGTTGGTTGTGATGGAAGTCGCATCGGCCGAAGTCTGAGGTGACAGATTGGGGGCTCTCGTAGTGTCTTATGAACGAGTCTCGACTCGCGTCGGGACTGTCAATCTTGAAAGATCAAGAGGCTGTTTTGACCTGGCGCATGCCTTATTGACAAAATTAGCGATTTATCTTCTGCTGCGGTCCATATGTTGCCGAGACGACTCCTTTTCTGCGATTTGGCGTGGTGGCGTAGAAGGCAGGGGCCAGTGTTCTAGTCAATTACCAAGATTGGCTGGTCGGTCGGTCGAGGGAATGATGTACATATTGACAAGGAGTAATTGCCATGGTTTGTCATATTACCAGTATTACAAGCCCGGTCCATGCATTTCCAACCTCGGTTTATGACCGGTTTCTTCTATAATTACTTCGTACTTTCATACGCCAGGACCAGGTATTTCCACTGTCTCAAATCTTCTTTCAAGCGTTCTGGGTCGAACTCATTCTCAAGCACAGAAGTCGTAGAGCTGACAGCAGACACGCGCAAGCTGGCCTCATAGTCACGCCGTCGGCCCTTTGCTCAATGCCCTCCGTCCATGATCAGTACGGCGTACTGGTACGCTCTCTGTTCACGTAGAACAACGCAATGATGATACTCAGTAATCCAAGCATTTCGACAGGCAGTCCTGAGTTCAAGGCCACGTGGGGGACAAAACAGGGCCAGCCTAGCTGTCTATTCTCCTCCAATAATGAAGAGCGATCTGAATGGGGGGCATGGCCAGCCACAGCACGAACCAGCAATGTATAACGCCAGACTACTATTTAGCGGCCGAATAACGGCAAAGAGCGCCACGTTACCCCGTCCTCTGCAGTATTTTTTCTCTAATCCGTTAGGTACTCTGCACGGAGTACTGAAACTCCATCAACTACTGGTATTGATACAGGGCAATCGCTAACTAGTCACCAGCTACACAATGAAGTAACCTTGACACATAAGTTCCCAAAATTCCCCCAAACTGCTGTAGACTTGTGGCAGGCCCTAGACTTAAAAATGCTCAAATTACGCAGGAACGAGCCCACCAGCAACTTGCCAAGTAAATAGTGTGAATCACACAAAGTAGGGGATAACTGTATTAAGTCGCGACGGAGAGGCAAGCGAAGCGAGTCATGGAGACAATTGTTTTCGAGCGTGAATCGATTGATTGTAAGAACGTGCGCACGTCATCAGCACTACAAACAACATTCCCCGGGATAAGGATGAAAGACATACATTACCCGGGGTAGGAAGAAAGACTTGGCCTATCTGATGCACAGCCGTTAGGCGATTTTATCCGACCGACGGATTTCTGCGGCGATCAAGGACCAAATCCGAGGAGTGTCAGTCACTAAGCGGGCGAATCAAGCATGCCATCTTTATGAAGCTGCGACTGACTATTCGCGGCCCTCGACCATAGTTCAACCATAGTTCAACCAAGTAGGAGTAACACGGGCATTGATATCCAATTCTTTTTCCATCTCTTTACGGATGCTGGTAAGCATATCGAGGACGATCATGCGACGAGCTCCTCTCCTGGCAAGTACATAACAATATCGCCTCGGTAAGTACGTGTTCCCCGCTCAGAGGCAGCTGGAACGAAAGCCGAGTACTGGTATTCGGTGATGGGCTGCGGCTAGTGTGGGTGTATAATTATTAGTCTCAACCAATTGTTCCAACCACACTTCTCAGCCTTCTCGGGCCGCTGGTGGTCCTGCTATCTACCAAAGACACCACTGGACCAGGGTCAGGGTGTGAGTTCCGCTGACCATCGGAAGCATGCCTGGCATCCTGGCACTGGGCAGCAGACTGCAGTAGCCAATGCGCCCTGATGATAGCTGTCGGTCTGAGGAACTTTGCATGCAATTCATGCTTCTGTCTTGGAGGTAATATTAGTTCCTTTGTCAGCCGCAGTGGCGATGTAGCGGCACAGCCCTTGCCCCAGCCACCAGCCCTGGATTGTCAAATTGGTTGCTTGGTAGGCTGCCATTGACCCTTCCTTCCCTCTGCCAATGTGCCCAGCTCCCCAGCCAACCCTTTTTAAAAATAAAAATAAAAAATACATCGCCGCCCACCACCACCACCACCACCACCACAACCACAACCACCACCACAATCATACTGCTAGTTTTTAGATTCATTAAATATCAACCTAGCCTGAGAAATCGAATTCTCTTCACTGCAAATTTAGTTAGTGGCTTAAGCATAATGTCTCAATTTACTATTATTTTACTACTTTCTTACAGGTGTTATTAGTATAACTAGGTATTTAGGGGTTGCTGATAGCCCCTAGTAGACCACCGATTTTTCCCCCAGAGCCCCCTTTGCCGCGAAAAGCTCCACTAACAGGTTCTCACCTTCGATGAGATTAATCACTTGGTTGTCGACGTTTTGCGGGCTTGTTGCAGATCTGACGTGCCGCGCACCAAGATTTGCGACGGAGAGCTCAGGATTGGCTCTTTCACTCAGCCTCTGGCCATGATTTCAGGATGACACAAAAGCGGAATACTGCAACACAAACACACGACCACTCAGATGATCAAGAGACATGCCCAAGAAACCGGCTGTCGCTGTGGCTGTTGGCCACGACTGTTGCCTTGCTCTTGCCTCTTTCCAGAGACTTGGCGAGCAAACACGACAGCCACAACTTACCTGGGAGAGGCTGAGACATGTAGCTATCGATCACCACTTTCGTCGCAAGGCGCTGTTATCGAAAACGTCTGAGAGTCATCTGTACGGAAGATATCAGCGCCAATATTAGCTGCTCGCCGCCTACTCACCCTAATTCAAGATGCTTGCAAGTGGCGGCCTCGTGCGGATGATCCAGCCGCGCCAAGAATGTGTCAACAACCTGTCAGTCCTGTCACTACGAACGTGAGCACACAGGTCGTGGCGTCCCGTCACATTGTGGCCCTTGTTCACACTACGAGCTGACTGTGACATTACGGAGTGTATCTCATACCGACATCGATGCCACTTTTCGACCTTCTGAATATGGCAGTCCGGATACGGATTATATGACACATTGAAACTACACGCCCCTCCCTTCTCAGCCGTGCTGAGGCTCAAGGTTACATGCCGGCAGTGAGATCAACTGACATCGGCGAACAAGACCAGTCTGTCGGTTGACGCTACCGGAGATGAGGGAGCAAATACGTCAGAGTTACAGCGAAGCAGTGTTAAAAAGTTCTCCTCGGGGCTATTCGTGAACCAAGGGCTGGGAGACTACAGATGACCACGCCCACTCCTCGACATACAAGAGCCATGGACACCCTTGGCAGCCACCACCTAGCCCTGTGATACCCCTAACTCGTCATTTCGTCCAATGCAAGCTGTGAGGATATTTCTTCGGCTCAGCCAAGCAGAAAAAGCGGATCAGGAGAAACCAAATCCTACGCAAAGACAGAGAACACCACCGGAAAAATAAACCCCCAAAAGGCGTCATGTTCTTTTGTGCATTAATGTCTCGTCGGCCGAATCTGCATCACGTCTTAAGCTCCTGTCTCAGCCCAATGGCAGTGGAATCACAGACACCCTGTCTTGCATGTCATCTAGAAGCTTGACCCTGCGGCCCTGGGGTTGTCAATTATTGTCAAGTCATCAGCCTAGCCCAGTGCGACTTGGGGGCCAATTACCGAGGCCTCAATTCGCCGAGTCGTGCGTCTATACCTAGTCAACAGATCCAGTTCGTTGGGTTTGCATAATGGGTCGTTCTGATACCGCCCGAGTATGGCATCCACAGACGGGGTATATGGGGGAAATTGAAAAGGACGTGTAGATCCGACACCGCAAAGACAAACTCGCTTCGCCAGTTTTGAAACAGCGCACTGCCCTGGGCGCGTGGGGTCAACCCAACTCTATTTCTCTGACAAGCCGATCCAGCCCTGGAGCCCTGTGCTGGCAACTGGGCAATGACAATAATGATTACGGCCCTGCTACTTTTATTGGTGCCCATGTTGCGAATTCACAGCATTGGCGTCACCCGTCTCCACGCTGGCGCCAGAGCAAGGGACGAAGTGCGGTGGCGTCCCTCATGCACCTATGACATCTGCACTTTGAATGTGCCGTTGCAGGTCTCTAAATACAGCGCCGTTATTTTTTTTACCCTTCCAGGCTGGAAATCGTATGCAGCATTACGACGGTCATCAAAGTTGGGTGTGGGCTGGATGCATGTAAGCCACCACGCTATCAGACGACCCAGCTTTCGGCGTCTCTTCCTAATGCGAAGCCTGGCATGCGCAATCTATTTGACGTTTATTAGCCCGCAGGGCTTCCTTTATTAGACACCCTTCTTCTTCGGGTTCTTTTGTGTGAGAAGGCGCCTGCATGCCGCCACTGCGTCTCTGTTACATGCGCTTGGCCTGACAAGCTGAAGCTAGACAATGCTGCTGTACAGGAGGGATATAAAAAGAAAACGACAAGACAGAGGCCTGGATATTGTCTTTTTCCTTGACGTCGGCCGGCAATTTTTCATAGCGGGAAAGCAAATGACCCGACGTAGCGAATAACATCTTTGCTGCAACTGTGGTGCCCGGGCGGGCCGGGCGGGCGAGAACACTGGGCGTTATTCCGAGAGCACAAATAGTTAAATTTTGGAGTGTAGAAACGGGCCGGCTGGCCGGGCACATCGCCAGAGGGTTACTGGTCTGTGGCCTCTTTCTTGCTGCGAGGCGAAGCGAAGAGAGGCCGCTGTAATAGTTAGTTGCATGCACTATGTGGACTTTTGTATGTGCCTTGCTTGACCTGTGGTGGCTCGCGGAGAGTCAGCGCTGAGACATGGGAGGGAAAAGGAAGCTGGAGGGCTTGATAAACTTGCGCATCTCGCAGCTACACACACACCCTTCTCTCGGCCAACTATTTCCAAATCTGTCAACATTGTGGACCAGCGAGAGACAAGCTGTCAATGGGCATGAGGTTTGAACTTTCAACAAAACTGGCGACCTACCCAGCCGGGCTTGGGATCGCACCATGGCGCACCCAACCGATGCGTGCGCTAGTCAGTTTAGTTCCACCGCGCATCAATACATAAATTGCACCTCCCTTTTCTGTATCTCTTTGTTGGAGACGGCTGGTTCCGCCATGTCGAACTTCGTAACGTGAACCAGAGCGAAGAAGGGCTGCTGGGTTAAAACGACAAAAGAACTGGTGGAGGAACCATAGTTAGAGGCACCACCAGCATTGATCTGGTCATGACTCGTTGCAGCGTCTCCTCCTTCCCCTTGGGGCCGCTATACATCTATTACATGTCAACTTGAATTCATGATGGAGCAATAGATGGAACTGATTGATGATCATTACGATAGGTATTATTTGAACCCGTCGATTGGCATTATCCACTTGCCAAAGCATCCCTTTGTTTTCAGCTGCCATTCATGATTCCCCCTTCCCCCACTACGACCCTTGACGATACCCATCTCGATATTAATAGTCCGAAGGCAACAACAGGTAGGTCACTTGTTATATTTCATCTAGTAACCAGTCCGGCCGACTGTTGGTAGTTTGCGAGAATTTGTTGTGTTGATGTATGTGTGTGTGTGTGTGTGTGAGAGAGTGCTGCTAGACCCTCTCACAACAGAGTTCAGCCGTAACAGGCTGCGATAACTTGGAGAAAATAAAGAGAAAGTAAAGGCTTCCTCGAATGCCCAAAGCAAAACGAGATTAATATCGCCATAATCACTCTTCTTTCGGGGACTGTGCTAGCATGAAGCCCGACTATTCTGCGGCAGCGGTCTCGCGACCTGATTACCTGCTCGGATTAGCATGCCGCTTTATGCGTGCCTCTTCAGATTCTTCACCAAATAAGCTACTACTTCGGTCCATTGCGGCGTGACCGTATCTGGCGAAGTCCGGCTTCATGACTGTCGGGAACGTCTTCATACACCCAAAGACGCATATCAGAGGCGCGCAGCACCCGGATCTCTCCCGTATGACTCTACCACACATTCCTAATGTGGTCACAGATACACAAAACCACCATTTACCACGGCCTCTGAGAAGTGATAAAAATTCTCAAATATTCTATCTGCCATAGCACTAGCTTTGCCATCGATCTGCGTTTGTCATTTCGAATGTGCTGCTCCTCCCGTGCATACCGCCTTTTACCCCCATATCACAAGCAATGCACATCGAAGACTCTCAGCCAGCCACAAGAGCAGAAAATGGCACTAAAATTGAGGCAGAGCAAAAAGTGTTGGGGACTAGCTATGCTGTGATCTGTTCTGCTGTACATGGGCCGAAAAGGTGCGCGTCGGATAGACTTAGACCTGTGCAAAGGCGCACCTTGCTGGAGACAGATGGCCACCTTGTCCTCAAACTTGCACAGGATCTGCCATAGTGTCATACGTAGCAAGCGCCTTGTAACATGCCAGATGTCGAAAAATCAATATTCAGGTGATGGATACGAGATCAAGGGTTTACAAGCTTGCCAGGAACTTCCTTGATGTGGTAGGTTCAACAGACCAATTAAGTTATCAGGGTCCTGAACTTTTCACGTGTTCCCACAAACAACAAACTGAGAGTTTCACTTTGAAAAGAAGCAAAGTTCTATCATTAGAAGGCTGTGTTCCCGGTGAGAAGCTCCGCCACTATACATTTGGCAAGCGACTGTGACACCACGCGTTTTAATGGACTGCCGTCACTGCTCCGTGTTCCGACCCTCTGCAGCGCTTTGCAGTTCTTGTTAGAGAATCAGATCTCTCTGATATATATATATATATATATATATATTATAAATTGACTGACATTTTTGGTCCGATAGCTTTCGGCACTCGCCACACATCGTGTCCGCGTTTTACACCGGCCTATAAAGGCGCAGTGAGCTCGATACAGGCTCTGTTGAAATCATATTTCATTAGCCACACTCTCTTCTTCAGAAGCCAGTAAAGATAGAGTCATCTTCTGCTATCCCGCAGACCAAAATCATGACTTGATAGCCATGTGGGCGATAGCTGCCGTACTACAGCGCCGCCATCGTGTCGGTCATTGGCGCAAAAAAAAAAAGCCTTTTGGGCCCATGACATAACGTGGTGTACAACAGACCTTACACGTGCCAGTGAAACCCGCATGTAAAGGCTCGACGTCAGGCGGCCGATAAATCATTCCTGGTAAAGAGATGCGGTCAACTCTCTGCCCGGCAATGACATTCAAGCCCTGCAGCTATCACGATGAATCCCTGCCGTCTATTTCAGTCTTTGCATCCGAATTCTCACGCACTAGAACGAAAAATCACGAAAGAGAGAGCAACGGGCGTCACTCATACAGCCACGTAACAACGCGTCGCAGATCAACCTTCCGTCTGCATTGTCACACAACATGCATGTGCCTATATTAATCAGATGCACCCGTCTCTATTTTTGACAGTGTTATGACGCCTGCAACGGCAGGACCTTTTACGCACGCACATACAGAACACACAGCCCCCAAGCCTCGTGTTGAACCTGACAAGCCAGCACAAAAAAGAAAAGCGCCTGCAAACACGAGATGCATAGCACTCTTTGCTCCTCTACACTCATCGTCAGCCAATGAAGCGGATTGATTAGATGCAAGGAAAAATCAGGTGCGTCGCACGAAACACAATTGTTCCCTCTTACCGCCGGCACGCCAATGAATCCGACACTTGGGAAAGGACGGGCAGGAGGGGGGGCGGAGGCATCTCCATAAGGTATGCTGTCAAAAGTACTTACCACACTCCCCCCATGATCTCAGCGTGTAACGCTTACGCACCCGCCCGACTTGGTGTGGTAGTTACACCGGTTTTTTCTGCGTATGAATGTAGCACCACATCCGTAATCTTCTGCCTTTGTTCACCTTGTTACGAAAAAAAAGCCACTTCGCGAGAATTACCCAAATAGGTATCCTGTCACGGCAGTACTGCTCTTGGCTCCGATTTACCGTCCTACGTCGAGATTGACATCAAACTGAGACATGCGAACGGAACGGCCGTTGTATTTTTCTTGGCCCTATGATGACTCACAGTGGATTACATCACATTGACACTTGCATGTAAAGTAAAAGCCGTTGTAATGTATCTACAAAAATTACGGGCTTTAAATTGACTAAAACTGCCTGCTGTATATAGTAGCAGACACGGCGAAGAGAAATCCAATGTACCGAATGAGCGCCCCCATGCAAAATCACCTTTGCTCCATGTAGAATACTATTCAAGATCGTCGAAATACCTTAGTAAGCAGTCCACCGCCACCGCTCCGGCCACGGCGCGCCACATCTTCCTGCTGGGCTCCCGTCTTGGACGGCGGACGTCCGCCTGGCACTGGTCGGACATCGCTTGCCCTGGGAACCTCCACGTAGCCGTCCGTCTCTTCCGAAGCAGCGCGATACACTTTGCCCACGTAATCGTCGGCGTGCGTCTTAGACGAGCTGGCGGCGTCCTGGTAGGGACTTGGGTGTGCCGGCTCATGCGCCAGCTCGCCTCGTAGCTTGCCTAGGCCTCGGTCTAAATATTCCACCATTCCGGCGCCTGCTCCAAAGGAGTTTGCCTTATAGTCGGCCTGTAGGTCTCGCGCTTTTCGATACAAGTCGTTGTGCTGCTCTCTGAACTCGGCCTCGAGCTCACGCTCTTGGGACTCAAGACGCTCTGCTCGCTCAGCCAGCTGCTCTGTTGTATACGGGGATAGCTGCTGTCTATCTTCTGCTCGGCGGGCATCTAGCCATTGTGCATATCTCCTCTTGCTCTCGATTTCAGCTGAGCCGGAAGGAACTACGTCTTGCCATCTGTTCGACCAAGTCTTTGCTGCTGAGGTTGCCTTGGCGCCGACGATGAATTTCTCAAACGAGACGCTAAACTCGCGAAAGTTGCCCTTTAATATGAATCCTTCACCGAACCAGCCACTCGATCGTAGCTTGTCCAGTAAAATTGATGCAGTAGGACAGCCGGATGGAGAATCGATGCCCTTTGAGTAGAAAAGTACATATTTGCAGTCCAGTCCTGCGGCAAATGCTTTTCGGTTTTCCTCTTCAGTGAAGCATCGCTCAATTATATCGAGAGATGCAATCTGGAGAAAGGATTGCGGAGCACGCAGGTTCAATGCTCCATGCAAGTGTGACTTGCTAAAATCGCTCGCTGAACGAAGGTCAAATGATAAAAGTTGGCCAGGCAAGGACAGCTCCAGCAACTCCGCAAGGGCGGTGGGCAGGATCATGCGCGGTCCATCACTGCCTCCGCGCGACAGGTCTTTCAGTTTCATACTTGCAAATCGAGTGGACACGATATCGCTTTCGCGCCTGTGATGAAACCAAACTTCGAGGTGCCATAATTCGATGCCCAAATTAGAAGCTAGCATCGCGCTCTGCGCATCATTGGGCAAGGGCTCGTGCTGGTAGTATTCCTCTAGTCTTCTTTCTACATGGTTCGCAAAGCGTTTCGGTTCGGGGGCATTGTCACCAAAGACGGTGCGGCGCATTGCTTGTTGTTGATTGAGGATGATTTGTCTCGATATCCCAGAACTTTCAAGGGGCGATGCAGACGACGGCTGACGCTGCAAAGTCTGGAGAGACAGACTCGAGTCCACCGTTCGAAGCGGCTGGACAATCGGGCCACCCTGTGAGGACAGAACTGGTGATCCGGAAGCACTAGATGCTATTGGATAGCCAGAAGGCTGTTCGTTTCTTGTCATTGTCCCAGCAGAGCCGCGGCCAAGACCGGGTGCTTCTGCCGGCCGTCTATCGTATACGTGGTCTGCAGCAGCAAACGTGGTACCGGAAACGCGAGATAAAAATGACTCTGTGTCATTTCTACCACCTAGGGACTGACGAGCTTGCGCCGCAGCGCTCATAACCGGTGGTTGCTGGGCATTCTTTGGTATGGCAAGATTGTTAGATCTGATAAAGGCAACAAAAGATGTCGCGTGATCTTCCGGTAACAGATCCCAGATCATTACGGGCATGGAAACAAGAAGCAGAGTTGAGTGGCTCTTGAAGACTCCTTGAACTTTGACATGCTTGGCAAGCGAGGGAAAGGCACTCAGCCATTGCTCCCATGCATTAATATCGAGCCTCTGGTCATCTTCCAATGCCAGCGAGATCATCACATGCGGTGTATCTTCGTTTGGATCGCTGGACACAGACGCTCTGGGTATAGGGTTCGGACAGGGCCCTCGAGTAATGCCCATCGGGTCGACACCGGAGCCGTTGCTCGGCCGTGGCGGAGATAGGGGCAATGGCGGTGACGGGGGCAGCTTTTGCGAGGGCCTGGTGCTGCATAGTTCGATGCTTGGAGCTTTGTGGTTTGCTGTCATCATGAAATGTACCGGAGTCGACCGCGCTTCAAAGAGCTTGCCGTTGATGGCGATTGGGCGAGGATGCTTCAAGCGAGCCAACACCTCGGCGTGCAACATGGCGGCAGAAAAGGTTCGCGATCTCCATTCTTGCAAAACTTCAATTAAGGCATTTGTGAAAGAATAACGGCCCGGATCAGGAGCGATGGCATCCCAGCTCGACGCAGATATCGTCTCGGTAATGCTGTTTCCTGTGGGGAAGGTAGCGCTCGCTGCGCCTGCGCAGCAGTCTAGTAAAATGAGAACGTCTGACTTTGAGCGTTCAAGGAGTGTTTGAATAGCAGACCATCTGACAAAGATTAGTATTGGTTCCAGAACATCTTATGTGGATAAATCCTACTGTAGCCAGGCAGAGCTCGACTCTCGTGTCCTTTGTACAAGTCAGTTTGAACGCTTAAGACACTCCTCTAGGCCGATACTTACGCGCACCAAGTGCTTTGACGCGACTCATCGATTCTAGCATGACCACCATAGTACACAAGAAAAAGCGTATCGGGTGATTCGTGCTCTTTGATCAGTTGGCCAACGCGCATCATCAGCTCAAGATGCGAATTCTCAGATGGGATGGCAAAGATGTCCGTATCAAACGCATAGTCTTCGCTGAGACATTTTTCCAGATCTTCCAGCTCTGGCAGTACAAAAAGGTCATCGGAGCCCCAGTGAAGAAGTAGAGCTTCCACCTTTTTGTAACGGTGCGACGAGCGGCCTCGGTTGGGAAAGGCGCGGGCAGCGGACTAAACGTAAGTAATTAGTATGGAAGTATCCCCGCCACTGAGCGTTTACTTGCATCTTCGAGTCGTTTCGCAAACTGACTAATGTGCTTCACATGAAAGCTGGTACGGCTAATATCGTGAGTGGCCGACCTGGGCTGTATTGCGCCGTTGCTGAAGTTGACCTATACCGCCAGGAAGCAGGCAGATGAAAGAGGTATTTAGCTACAGTCGGCGCGTAAAGCAGAAAGCAAGAACAAGATTGTAGTATCGCCTTGACAGACATACAGATGGGTCACCGTTGCGTGCGCCTAGATTCCCTACGGGCTGGCGAGCACGAATTGTGACATAGGGTTGGTCGTCGCTCATTGTCGAGGACGAGCGGAGGGCGACTGTGTGGTGGCTATGAGTGGAGGACCATCAGGCGATGGATTGGTCTCGAAGGGAGGTTATTTCGACAGAAACCAAGAGCCGGAGTCAAATCAAAATAAGCGTACCTCGCGTATGATTCGAAAGAAAATGAACGAGGATGACGGTGACTTTCATGAGTCGCAGCGGCTGTGCCTGACATCTCGGTCCCCAATGAGGTTTAGCGTCCTTTGTCGTCGGTCTGTGGTTTGGCACACCGGGTGTCTTGGTCCATTGATCAGCGACCATCTTTTCAGGTCTGCGCGTGATTTCTGGAGGCCATGATTGAGCCGAGACAAGTCAGAATGTTGTCTCTGTCAAATCTCGTAAACAGGTGCAGCATGATGACGCCGAGTATGGCACCGACTTGGATTAGCTCATGCTCACTTCTAGTCAATCATGGTGGGCTCTTCGTTACGTGTTGCATCTTTCTTTCCGAAGATCGCTATGGAAGAATAAACCATCTACTGCAAGAAGAAACACAAAAGGAGAACAGGTAGACTCTTACAGATGAGCACTTGCCAGGTGTGCTGCACGTCTCGGTGCATCCTTTAATACGCAAATTTGACGTGTAGGGTAATCTGTCAGAAGCTTGTGTGGAGCCCAGTCATGCCAGCTCTCATCGAGCTACCTACCACCTGACCTCTCTCCCTTTGCTTCACAGCGCTGCGCCGGCCAAGCTGAGCCTGTAACCTTAACTCTCGGTCTTGCTATCTTGACTCACGAGCTGTGGTGGTCTACTGAAAGCTTCAAGATACAATACCGCGATGAAGGAACGCATCACCTTCGTTCACCCTCCAGGGGGTGAGCTTGACCCGAAAGGCTTCGACGTGCAAGCTACTGGACTGCTTGGCCCGACCATCACTACCGTGCGTGAGGACAGATTCACCATCCCTATAGATGAGATTCCAGCCAATATTGCCTTGGTATTGCGCCAATATAGCTCTCTGCAGGTTCGATGGGCCAGTCCTCTACAACAGAAGACGATCAGCCCGTTTAGCTCCCGTATATCGCCTGGGCTCCATGTCGCCTACATACCAGCAAAACAGACACCCGCAGACGCGTAAGTCGAAATTGCACTTCTAGGTTTGCGATATTAATTCAGCTCAGATCTATACTTTGCTCTCTGCTACAAGCCTTCGGGCCCGTTGGATGCGAGTCAAGAGAGGTAAGCTCTGGCAAGACCATGTATAAGTAGTCGCTTATCTCCAACGCAGGCCTTTACGGAATTTCAGCGGAAATCACACCAGCCTATAAAAGGCTATTACTTCCATCAGCATATTGAAGCATTGAATGAATTTATTATATACGTTTCAACCACATTTTGCACAGAGGCCGATTCAGAGTGCCAAGCAAGAGTTCGAGGACTGGACGCCGCTGCTTCGCTTGATATCACGTATGATGCAGATGAGCAAACGGCTAAGCTGACAGCTTTCTGGCCATTGCGAACTCAAAGCCTAGTAGCGCTAGCTGCTGAGAATCGACGCACCGAAGTCGGCATCATGGGACTGGACGAGCCCCCCAACATGAAATCGCATGAACTAGGTGTCTCTGGCACCCTTACCGTCCTCAAAGAACAAACAAAGCCAGGTCCGGTATTTTTTGCCTTTCCTGCTCGTCACAGAGATAGCCATGCATCGTTCTCGTCCAGATTCGCAACGCCCACGGGCCTGCACCCTACCATGCAGCTTGGCTTCGAATCCAACAAGCCGCCGGCTGACGATGGCAGCTGCAAAATGTACGCGTATCTGACTCTGCCGAGGACTATTTTTGCAGACAGGTACCAGCTGGCCGATGATCTGTTTCTAGCCTCCAAGAACCTGACAGCAGCTCCGTACACGAGCCTCCCAGTTGATTTGGAAGCCCCAGAATATACCACATCAGTTTGGGGCTCTACAGTCTTGCTACAGCTTGCACCTCCGGCGATGCGGGCGGATCCCGACGCGTGGACAGCCGAGGTGCCCCTCCATCTCCGCTACCTCAAACCTTCGGAGACGGGCGTCGTGAATATTGAAGTTCCGTTTCCTGCAGTATTTTGGGCGTGCGGACCTGTTGAGTCTGTGGATTTTACCAAGAGCCCTTTTGATAGGATGCATCTGGGATACGATGATCTTTTCAGAGACGGAACAGTGTTTTGGCATGTCCACCCCAGAGCGCAAGAGGGAAATCACGTCATGGAGAGCCGACTCATGAGCAGAATCTCTGTTCCGGTTCTCAACAACAGCGCATCAGGGTGGATTGGAATTGCAACTACAGCCGCCATCTCAGTCGGTTTTGCGTGGATTCTGTGGAAGCTGCTCAGCGCCTTCATGCAGCATGGACACAAGAATGATGCAACGGACGAGCCTGCCAGTGGCAGCAGCGCGAAGAAGGACAGCAAAAAGAAGAAGCAATGAACGCCGCGCGGCGACAAAAGGGCCTGAGGATCAGAGCGTCCAGCACCCCGGCCGAGATTTGGCGTGGCCTGGGCAGGCACAGACTTTTGCCCCCACAGAATAGAAAGAGAATCCGTCGCAACATGACAAGAAGCGTACTATGGTGAGATAAAGCACATGCACAAGAGGGGGAGAATTTTGGAGCGCTCAGCACAAATACTTGGCGACAGCGACAAGGAAGGAGTAATGGGTCAAAGTTTTCTGAAAAAATGCATACGTAGTCCGCACGTGACGCTCGGCGATGTTTAGTACCGACATCGTTTGGTGGCTGACACTGGTATTTCCACTAAACCTAGACTCGAGGAATCACAGACTGGATGCAACGGTTTCTCTGAAAAAACAATTAGTCCAACACCGGTTACTTGTTCCCTTCACCCCGCAGCGCCACAGAGGCCATGTCGTGAACTTAGCCATCCGTGGCAGCAGAGACTATCCCCCGATGGCCCCTACGCCACCCTCAGCGGATGTAGCGTCGTCAGCGTCACCGCATAGCGAAGACCGTACGCGGCGCAATGTAGCTTGCGTCAACTGTCGCAACTCCAAGGTGTGTGATTGTCCCGGGTAACGATTCCGCCAAGTGTTTACTGTCTGGGCCGCTCTGCCAAGAAGCGACACTTTTGGCGGTAACTTTGCTCAGCCTTGCCAAGCAAATTTTCAGACTTACAAGTATGCCTCGTGTTTCTTGCCTGTTCAGGTGCGCTGCCGATCTAGCACCGTCCCCGGTCAGCCGTGTCAAAGATGCGCCAAACTTCAGATTCCATGCGTAGTGGATAAGTTTCACAAGCGCATCACCAAAAGAAGGTAGGGACAGATTTGGTCCTTTTTTCGTTTCATTCTACCAAAGGTGCTGACCAGCGCTCAGCAAGCTCGAGTTGATTGAGCAGGAGCTCCAGTCCATCAAGCAGGTCGTCCATCCGCACGGCACCAATGGTGCCGAGTCAAACTGGACGCCGCCTACCCCGCAGGTATTGATTCCCAATGCATCAGAAAATCACAGCCGTACATTTGCGCAAGCCGTACCACAAGCGCCCACACCGCTGTCCGAACCATCGGCCGCTGCGCCGCCGTCCGCACAGCTCCCTGAGCAGCGCCCCAAGTCCGGCCCCACCCAGGCCCGGATGCTTGGCGAACATATAGTCTCCGGAGAAGACATTGACTGGTACTTCAACAAGTAAGCGGCCCATTCATATGACGTTGAGGCCAAACTTACCAGTGTATCTTAGATTCCTGCAATGCTTTCACCCTGCGCTTCCTATCTTGCGAAAGCGGGACCCGGATGAATGCTACGAAGCCAGTCCGATTCTATTCTGGGTCATTATATACGTGACCTGTCGTCGATATACCAAAGACCGTGTCTTTTTCCGCGCATTGGTGGATCATGTTGAAAAAGAGATCTCGATAACACTAATGGACCCAGTCATGACGCTGGAGACTGCACACGCGGCATTGTTCCTCTGCTCGTGGCCTCTCCCTGTCATTCGACTCTTGACAGATTCATCCACGACATACATCAGCATAGTCATGACTGGTATCATGATGATTGGAGTACACACTGGCCGCGGCAGTCACAAGCAATTCTGTGTTGGAACAAGACGAAAAGGTGGCATCTTCACCGACGAGGAAGCAGCCTCGACGTGGATGGCTTGCTGTGTGCTTGCTCAGAAGTGAGATAGTAGATATCCTTGATTTTTCTTTTCTAACCGAGAGAATCTGTAGAATATCAACAACAAGCGGCCATCCGCCACCCTCGATCCAACACGACGACACCCAATGTCGCGCCTCGCTAGATTCACCATTTTGGACTGATCTGATATCCATGTTTGACCTGTACAGGTTTCTGAATCGCTTTCACACAGCAATGTCAGTGCATGCGTCCAGTCATGGGCAGGCTCCCAGTTCTGAAGTTGCGCGATGGGAGCAAGAGTTTGAGACGCTGAGGCCCGCGATCATTCAATCCAATACTGGTATGAAACTCCGCTTATGCTTTGCCGTTGCTCTGCACTAACACTAGAACAGATCTTACCTATGTTCTCTCTCTCTCAGCTCTACTCGAGATTCAAACTTTTTACTTCTCCGCCAACCCGGAAGCGCCGCCACACATCCAGCGTATCAACTATCTCCGCGCATTCAACACGGCCCGAAGCCTCATCAGCACGGTGCTCGAGCAAGAGTCGCGCAGTAAGTTTCTGACGCACGCCACGAATCAGATATTCCGCAGCTTAATCGACGCCGCCTGCATCGTCACCAGTATGCTGTACTCGACGTCAGCGCCACCCGACATGTCGCCCAACGACGCCAACCAGCTGGCGCAACACGCCGCTGCCGTGCTCCACCGCTGCTCCGTCGAGGAGAGCGACCTTCCGCACCGCATCGGCGTCATTATCGAAACTTTTTGGAACATTCGCCACCTCATTCCGCGCATCGAAAGTGGGCCTCGCGCTTGGTCCGACCGCCTGGGCGTCGGCATGTCATTTTGGTGCCTGGAGCTGTATAAGCGCGGTCTCCGTGCCGCTCAAAAGAATAGCGAGACGGCGGCAGCGGCAAACCGGGCCGATGAACTCATCCGTATGTGAACATTCTTGCTCGACCAAAACCCCAAATCACTAACTATGTGCAGATGCCCACTGCAGGAAACGCCAAAATCGGGCGCAGCATTCTACCGAAGCACCCGCCGTCGAGAATGGCGTCCCGACTTCGACGACGCTGCAATCTGCGCCGACGTCGGTTAGCCATCCGAACAACATGTTGCAGCCCATGGCTATGGGCCCGGATATCTTTCAAGAGATCGACTGGTCTATGTTCACGGACGACTTTGGCTGGATCGGCGATGAGGGCGTACTGCTTGGCCTTCCGTGAGACCGGACATGTAAATGTTCAAATGCGTACACATACTCTTATCTTTATCTCCTGACTTGTCTTCCTTTCTTATACGGTTCATTCGGACCGGCCAATTCTGTTGCATTTAGGCTACATTCTACTGGCGTTGATTTGTTTATCGAAACGCGGCTCGTACGTAAAGATCACCGTGCATGTCACGTTTAGAATTATCATCACACACAGTCATTTGAGTTCTAAGTTCTTTTATTGTAAGACCGTTTATTTACTTGCAAAGATCATCTGATGCATCAAAAGAGGAGCGCTGTTGGCCATGAGTCAAAACTGACAAAAATAAACGCCTTGTAAAACAATCGAATCCGTTTCTTTTTTTTAATCGTAAAAATCTTCGTCATCCATTTCCAGCTCATCGACGGCATCTTCCTCGTCCATCATCTCCTCGTCCTCACCAGTATCGCTGTCGGGGTGATTTGAAAGCACAACGATTCTGCCGTCTTCGAGTTCCACGCGCGCCGTCTCCTTATCGCGGATGTTGTTGCGGAGAATGAGGATGGCGAGCTTGTTGAGGACCTCCTGCTCAATGAGACGAGCGAGGGGTCGAGCGCCATAGGCGGGCGAATAGCCTGCGTTGCCGAGGTAGTCCTTGGCTTCCTCAGAGACGTCAATTGTGACGTTGCGACCGTTGTCATGCAACCGCTTCTGGATTTCCATGATGCGAAGATCGACAATGTTGCGAATCTCACGACGAGTGAGGCGATTGAAGATGACGACCGAGTTAATGCGGTTCAGGAACTCTGGGAGGAAGTAGTTGCGCAACGCGCCCATAACAAGCTCCCTGGTGGCCGTGTCGATCTTGCCTTCCTTGGCGCCAGGACGCGTGAGAAACTCTGCGCCCAGGTTGGACGTCATAACGACGATACAGTTCCTGGCGTCGACGACGCGACCCTGCCCGTCCGTGATGCGGCCGTCATCCATGAGCTGCAGCATGACAGTGAGAATTTCCTTAGCCGCCTTTTCAACCTCATCAAAGAGGAGGATGGAAAAGGGCTTGCGTCGGAGCGCTTCCGTGAGCTGACCGCCCGCGTCGTGGCCGACGTAGCCGGGCGGCGCACCAATCATGCGGCTGAGCGAGTGGCGCTCCTGGTACTCGGACATGTCGAAGCGGATCATGGCGCGGCTATCGTCGAAGAGGAACTCGGCGAGGGCCTTGGTCAGAAGAGTCTTGCCGGTACCCGAAGGACCGCAGAAGAGGAAACTGGGGGGCTGGTTGGGATTGGATAGACCCGAGCGCTGCAGTCTGATGGCGTTGGCGACAGACTGTACAGCCTCCTTCTGGCCGACCACAACCTTGCTCAGAGCCTTCTCCATGTGGATGAGCTTCTCCTTTTCAGAAGTGCGGAGTCGTGTTACGGGGATGCCGGTCCAGCGCGCGACAATCTCATTGATCTGATCAGCGTCCACGGTGTCAGTAACCATGGAACCGCCGGCGTCGACGTTGGTTTCGTTGAGAGCGGCATCAGCGGCAGCCTTCTTCTGCTCGAGTCTCTTGATAACTTCTTTCTGGTCGGGGATGGCTCCATATTTAAGATCGGCGGCTTTGGCGTGTTCTGAGTTGTTCATAGCATCTTCCAAGCGCTTCTCCAAATCGTCGAGCTTGACCTTGGCGTTGTGAATGTCCTCGCTCCGCTTAAGTTCATTTTGATACTTTTCGCGAAGTGGAACAAGTTCTTCCTCGACATTCTTGGCTTCCTTCTTTGCCTGAGCGAGACGACTCTGCGATGCTTCATCGTGCTCCTTCTCGAGAGCGGCGATTTCGATCATGAGTTGGCTCAATTTGCGCTCGTTAGAATCAATAACTTCGGGTCGAGATTCGCGTGCAACTTGCACAGCGGCAGCAGCCTCATCGACCAGATCGATGGCCGAGTCAGGCAGTCGACGGGTGGTCAAATATCGAGCGGCTAAGTTGGCGGCGGCAACTAGGGCGTTGTCTTTGATAGTGACGCGGTGGTGACGATCATATTTCTCCTTGAGACCACGGAGGATGGAAACGGTCTCAGGGATGGAAGGCTCCTTGACGAGAACCTGCTGGAAACGACGCTCAAAGGCAGCGTCCTTTTCGATATACTTTCGGTATTCGGCAAGCGTGGTAGCGCCAATGCAGTGCAACTGACCACGAGCCAGCATGGGCTTGAGAAGATTGGCAGCATCCATTCCACCTTCTCCGGAGGAACCGGCACCCATGAGAAGGTGAATTTCGTCGACAAAGAGAACAATCATTTCCTTGGACGCCTCAATTTCCTTCAGGACGCCCTTCATTCTCTCTTCGAATTCGCCGCGGAACTTGGAGCCCGCAACGAGCGCACCGACGTCAAGGGAGAGCAGTTTGCAATTCTTCAGGTTGTCGGGAACATCTCGAATAACGATTCGTTGAGCAAGACCCTCAACAACCGTTGTCTTTCCCACACCTGGCTCACCAATGAGAACCGGGTTGTTCTTAGTACGGCGAGACAGAATGCGGATGACTCGTCGAATCTCTTCTTCTCTGCCAATGACGGGGTCAACCTTTTTGTCGCGAGCCAAAGCAGTCAGGTCAATGGTGAATTTCGCGAGGTTCTCGTTCTCTTGTTCGGTGTCGGCAGTCTTGGAGTCGACGCGTTTTGTGCCTCGGATGGCCTGAACAGCGTCTTGGACCAATTTTGGTTTCGGGATATTGGCCTCCTTGAGGGCGGCTTGAATGCTGGGCTCATCGGCAAGGGCAGTGATGAGATGATCGACACCGATGTAGGTATCTTTTTGCACCTTTTGCAATTCCATGGCCTTTCGTAATACGGCGTGAAATTGTGGCGAAAGAGAGACTTGCTCTGGAGGAGGATCTTGGCTCGGCAGACGAACCAAAAGCTTCTTCAGCGCTCGGTCAAAAAGTTGAGAGTCGCCATGAGCTCTCTCAATAACTTGGCGGAACAGGGTCACGATGGCGCCAGGAGGGGCATTCTGCTGATCTTTAGACTGGTCGATGGGAGGTTCCAGCAGCGAGACAGCCAGGTGGACAGGAACAAGTTGCGAGTGTGCGTATTGTTCCGCCAAGGACATGGCATCTTCTACGGCCTTTTGGGCCCGGTCTGTGAAATCCATTCGTGCCGTCATGGCGACTGAATAGCTGTGCGGAGAAATTTAGTGAATGATATAGTGTCTCGAATGTGTCTGGTTGGTATTGGGGGTGTAAGGAAGCTCAAGCCAGAAGACAGTCTGTTGAAATTGTTCGCATGAAGTGAGTGTAAAGTTTGAGATGTTTGTGAACAAGGAAAATAAAGGGAAGAAATCGCAACGTTGGATGGAATTTAACGTTGATGGCCTCCAGAAAATGGTTCGACTTGGTAACCCCTCAAAGAGCCTGGAAGCTACCTGGAAACGTACAGAAGCTTGTGGCACCAGCGTGATGTCACTGGAAGTTCCGGCGGGTCAGTGGGGTTGTTGGGCGCTAACAGTGTGTGCCAGCGGGCCGGTCACTGGGTACCTAGTCAGTCACCGTTACATACCTATAATTCAAAAGCCAAGTAATAGTTACTAGTGCCCGTTTCCGGTCTTCTTATCTTTTAAACAAATTATAGATTTTCTTTTCTACTATTTGATTGCGCCCTACCCCACAATTCTCCCCATATCTCTTGTGTTCTTTGCAAGGATGCTGCAAACGTTCAGCACCTATTGATAAAGGCTATCTTATCGTCACCTGATTCTTGGGGATTTGATCCAACTTGGCTTGGTCCCACAGTAGCACCAGCAAAAAAGTAGCAGGTCACATGACAGACAGCCTTGCAGTGCTCTGGACTTTTCTACCATTTTGCTGGTATCTCTGAATAGCGGACGGTCCAAGGGTGATTGAGCGACGCCGGCGACTTCGACAATGAACGCAACACAACGGGTCCGCGTAGGCCAATTACCAGACATTGCGCGACTATGCCTGCGACAAGTTCATGGAGGAAAGCGGCCCCCGAATCCCATGGCCTTTCAGGGGCCCGAGGGCCACGGCGAGAACATCTGGGTGTTCACCCATCGCAGGACGGAACAAGTCATTTACAGCTTATATGCCACGTTAGAAGTATGCGCCATTCTTTGACAACCTTGAATGCCACAAACTGCACAATTCTGTGATTTGTGAGAGGCACGACCATGTAGCCATGGAATGCTAACGCTAGCAACGTGCAATAGGGATTCCGCGACATGAAACAGTTGACCTACAATGGCAAGAAGACGAAGCCTGCCAAGCTGCGGAAGGACTACTGGGCACCCATGGCCAAGATTGAGCTTCCCCAGGGGGCTGGCAAAGTCGGACGCACGGTATTCCAGAAGCTGCGCGAGCTGAAGCACCTGCACGAGGTCTCTTGGGGCGACAGCCTGTTCTACAAAACGCCACTCGAGTATACCGAAAACCAGAAGAAGGCGGCCGCCAAGCGCGCTGCTGAGAACGGGCCCGAAATACGCTTCCCGCGCACCAAGGCCGAGCGAGGCAGGGCCCTCAACGCGCAAAAGGCAAACTCGGTCGCCGACATTGCTGTCGTGCTGAGCGGTGCCGGTGCGGGCAACAAAATCAAGTATTCGACGGAAGAGGATGGTCCCAAAAAGCTGCTGGAAGTAAAGGTCAACTGGTCCAACATCCAGGATACGGGTTACGCGAAAAAGTGGACTTCCAATGTCAAGCACTCCAAGATGGTTGAACCGGTCGTGGCTCGGAGACGGAAAGAACCTCCTGTGGATGAGATGGAGCTTCTCGCGCAAACGGAAGCTGCGGTATGAAGCAAAATGAGAGTTCTTGCATACCAAGATAGACCAAAGGCTCAACCAACCCTGGAGGCTGTATGAATAGAATCGGTCTGCTCATACGACCTGCACGACGTTTACTGCGGCGATTTGGTGCGGGAATCCGAAACACAAGCTCCGAGCGAGTGGGAGCGTCTACGCGAGCGGCAGGTGTGCGCATGTACAGAAGGAGGTGATGCGCAGCTGGGCGGACCAGCGCGCAAAACAAAACATTGTAATATTAAGCACAAATCATTTCTGGCGGAGCATAACCACCAAAAAATATATCCTCATATATCCCATGCAAAACATTTCGCGCAGGCCCGCTCTGAAATAGAGCAAAAGTCTCGGAATACTTCCGACTTCTATGTTGCTGGGGCCTTGCGAAACGGGGCAAAAGTCAATCGTTCAAAGTCGTTAAAACAAGCCAGAATAAAGGCAAGACAAAACGCCACCCTAATAGTAGGAGCATCTGCTCGCAACTCTCTATGCCTTGATAGTGAACTGCTTCAGATACTCGTAATAAGGGATATTGTCATTGACAGTTTGGCGGATAATCTTTTGCGCCTCGGGGCCATATTTCTTGGTCCACTCAGCGTCTTCAGACTCGACTGTTGAGATTTTCTGCGCACTGTAGTTAGCAACTAGATTGTGTAGAGTAAGCTGTTTGCCGCAAGGAATGGCTTACCTGTGCATGGGATCTGCCCTCGAGTCGCGTGGTACGGAGGCAGTCGTCGTGGAATCCATCAAATTTGGCAAACTTTTCCGTGGCAATCTGGCCGTCCTCGGCGGACCACTCGAGCATGGCCGGCGAGTAGTCGATGCCGGTGCGCTCGCAAAACAGGCGAATCGTGTCCTCGGGGTTGTCGAGGAGGTCGTCGGCGTCGAGGACGGTGAGGTGCTCCTTGTCGGTGACGCCGCTCTCGAGCAGGTAGTCAAAGAGGCGGACGAGCTCCTCGTAGCCGGCCTCGCTAGGCAAAAAGTAGGGGAAGCCGTTGCGGTCGCTCAGCGGCGGCAGGCAGCAGCGCCAGTACGAGGGGATTGAGCGGCGCGGGTGGCGGATGAGAAAGGTGAAGTGGAATTTGCCCAGCACGGCGAGCGGCAGCACGGTCGGGTTGGCGGGCTCTGCGCGGCCGCCCACCGAGGGGGCAATGTCGGTGGGCTTGCCGTCGGGCTGCATGATGTAGTAGGCCATGTCCTTGATGAAGAGGCGCTTTCCCTGGAAAGAGGTGAGTGCTTGTTCGTGGTCAATTGGGTCGCAACGCTCGGCCAAGAGCATCTCACGTCCTCTCTGAGGATATGTGAGGGTGAGAAGATGGGAGGAGGAGAAGAAGCCAAGGCTCCGAGGTGAAGAAAGAGGGAATGGGCTCATGAAGGCGCATTGCGAGGGACAAGTCTAACCTGTGATTGCATCTCGGCAAAGCGGTCCAACACGGTCTGGTAGGTGTCGGAACAGGACATGCCCAAGGATCCGCGGTCGGCAGCATCATCCTTGAAGCGATCGCTCATGAGCTCCGGCCCCAGGTAAAAGGCATCGGCAAAGGGCTCGTGAGAGCACTCGAGGATGTCGCGACGGGTCATAAAAACCTGTTCAGGGGCGGTATGTCAGTCACGAGATCAAGCTATTTGTTGTCGCGTGTTTTGCGCGATTCCGCACAAGACAAGGAGACCATTGAGCAAGAAAACATACCCGTTCAAAAGCCGTCGAGCATGCTCGCGGGTGTGTAAGAGTAAAGATGGGTCTGGGAGCCATTGTTGGTGATGTCGTTGCGCGAGTATGTTTTCGATGAAGAGAAGAAAATTGTATGGAAGCCGCAAGTAGTAACGGGGATCAGAAATCGGGTAGAAGAAGGGGAAGAGAGAAAATTATCGACGCGGGACTATCGAGGAGAGAAAAATAGGACCTTATAAACGATGATCGGGACGTCGGCAACGATGGTCTGGGATTTGCAAAGTACCTGATGCAGGTCGATGTTGTATTCTTAGCTCAAGTCGTCGGTGCCGCTTTAGAGACATGGCTGGTCGCGCGCCGCCTGCGTGCCTGATATGTACGGCTCGTCGGGGATGGCAACTACAGAATTTGGAAACTCTAATCCTTTCTTACGAATGATTTATCCGTGATTTGGCAGATTCCGGGAAAGGCTGGGGGTTTTGTTTTTGGTGGTGGCGCGGACAGTCAAGTCTAGAACTTGCAGCGATGAACCGAAGTCATGAAACGCAGACACTTTCCCGACACCTCGCAAGGCCCCGAAACTCAAAAAAAGGAAACCCGGCCTCCGAGAAAAGATGGCAGCCATCACTATCATTTTCCTCAGCACATCCTTGCAAAAGCAGCGGCCGGCTCGCCGCCGCAAGCGCAGACTCTAGTTGACGAGGCTCAGAGCCACAGGACCCCGCCAAAGACGGTCCATGTGGCGCCCACTCCCACGTCTTCGTGGAGAACTGGGTGATATGATTGGGGGCAAAATCCTGGCCTAGAAAAAGCCGAGATTCAGATTAGTTATGCCGAAGCGGCTCAAATGATACTGCTGGTCAGGCCAAGATGTATTTAGTAGCATATCATTGCTGCTAGCGGAGTTGGCGACCTGCAATGGCTTGCTGAGTGGGAGGGTTGAGGCGGCTCTGGATAGGCTGGGCGTGGGATCCGCGGCTCCAGCTGTGCCAGCGCAAAGTAAATTTTGGGCTTGCAGCCTATCTCTTCTTGATTATTTTCGCAGCCGCCGTCGGAAAACACAAGTCAATCAAAATGATGAAAAGAAAGAAAGAAAGGGAAGAAGCGGCAAAAGGAAAAAACAGTCATCATTCTTAGCATATGCTTTGCTGTGTGCTGGCGCATGCAAGCCACTTACGGTATTTTTCATCGGCATGTGGTTGCTGCTCATCATCGCATTCGTCGCACAGAAGCAGTACAGTAGAGCAGCTGCCACTTGCGGCTTGCCTAGACGGGCAAAGGAGGATACCCTCTTTCGATAGATAGATGCATCTCCCGCAGGCCCGTCACCGCGCATCACATGAATTACGCCAGACAGCGCTCAACTGGGATGTGAACACGTTGTGAAGAAGATGACCACGCGACCATTTTTGCATAAATCGCTCAAAACCAAGCTCGCTCTAGATAGTAACCGAAAACGAGAGGGAAAAATTACAAGAAAGGACAAGAAACTTTCTTTTTTTGATTGATTGTTGGACGGTACGGCAGGCATCGAAGGTCATTGGAGAGGGGACGCCGCTGCAGGGAGGAGGAGAAGGTGTGGATCGCTTGGATCCACTACCGAGGGCCCGAGAAGATCGGGCTTCTTCCATCATTACGTTGAAGGTTCTAGCCCGCTCCGTAATGGTGACAGGAGGATGCCGTCGGGCTGATCATGGAAGCGTAGAATAAAGAATGAACTGCATCACCAGACTGTGACTTTTTGTCCCTGATTTTCATTCGTCACGATCCCTGTCTGTGTCGCTTTGCAAGGTGTAAGGATTAGACAGAGATGCAGAGTAGACGGGGCGTCAAGCTGAGACATGTAGATTGATTGTGGACGATGCGACTACGTCATCCTTAGTCCTACATGGGAGTTTCCATCAGAAGTCAGAAGTAACGAGGCACACCATGTTTACTCTCCAAATATTTGTCGTTGACGTACTGTAGTCCAAGTGTCGTGTCGTGTAGTAGTCGCTACCTGAACTACCTGAAGCTATAGCTCAACATCATAACCGACAGTCTGGAGGAGGATGCTGCAGGATGATGGACTTTCATCTTGCCGGCAATCGAGTGCCGGGTAAGCAGAGGCAAAATGTAATCGTCCGTATTCTGCATCTTTTCCCCACAGATTTTCCGCACCCGCGCCTTGTCACCCGTTTGTCGAGGGCGCAGGGCCATATGGACCATCGTCTTATTCTCAAACATCTCATGACTGCTGATACATCGTGGATGCAGAAACGGGGCAGAAAATAGTGGTCACTTTTCGACGATTTCCGTCCCATGTATACATGCTTCGACTCATGAACCCCGAAATGTTCTAACCTCGGGTCCTCGATTCGTTTTGGGTGACTCTCAAAATGACTAGAATGACGAGGATAGACGGGCTTTAAAACTAAAACGTCCAAGGCCATAGCTTGATGGAATGGTTAGATGTGCAGTTTTCCGGTCGTAATGGAAGAACTTGACGGTTCTAACACTTGTATTTACAGTCTGTGTAAGTTAAACCGCGCGATGGCGTTTTGCTCGCATAGGCAGGCGAGCATTGCCGCGCTGCCCGACGAGGAGGTTTCCTGTGGCTGCCCACCGGCCGGCCATCAGCCTGATTATGCCCGGAGCGCACAAATCGCTCGTAGTACGGATGGACGTGAATACGGATAGAAGTGAAAATACTTATTAGTAATGATTTCATTGGTAGATATACCGAAGTGCAAGCCATTAGCGTATGTAATACAAGCCAACGCAGCGCCTTTTCAACTTCACTGTCCCACTGAAAATCAACAACCACCAAATCTGGCGTGACTGGACAGTGGGCGGTTCAGTCGAAGTGATACAGCCTAGAGATGGAACTGGGCGACATGGCCAGCCAACCAACCGGGGGAAACAGATAATACCCTACGGGCGCATAGAAGAAGGATGAAATGAAAACTTTACGACAGTGGTACGATGCAGTTTGTGTGTTTCCTGGCCTGAAACGAAAGGTTTGTGAAACCTCGGCGGGCGAGGAGGGAAGAAAGCGCGCGCACATGTAAGTTGAGGTTATGTACTGGTAAATGTCCGAGTGCCTGTGAATTTCTGTCTTCTTGGTAGCTGGGCAACTGGGCACCTGGGGTACGTCTGTGAGGAGGAGCGGGAGTGGGCACATTGACATTAAAAACGTGGTATCGGAGGATCAAAAGTCAAGAAAGCAGGAGACAAAAGGGCTCGAAGTGTGGTGAAGTGTAGCGGGAAACTTTGTTTCTCGCACAGATGCAACGCCTCAAACAAAAAACCCACAGGTTCCGGAGAGCCGCGTCCTCGGTTCTGACTTCGGAGGCAGGGGACGTTGCCTCACGACGTAATTATGACGGCGAAAGCAGGGAAAAACAGGCAAGGGTCCGTCCGGCCTGTTGGGATTAGTCACAAGTCCTATCGTATTCACTAGACTAGTTGCGTAGATAGATGAAATGTGGCGATGGAAATTTGGAAAGAAGGGGAGCCAAAGCTGAGCGCGCGGACCCTTGTCGGGCGAAACATGGTCGGTTTCATCTCTTGTGGCGCCGGGCCTATCACCGGCCGGCAATGTGCGACTAGGTGAAAGGGGTGGGGGAGCAAAGGATAATCAGGGCGCTTGAGGATTACGGAAAGGCGGTGCAGTGGTTTTCAGAGCCTCATAAATGAGCTGATCAAAAGCAACAGTATATATAATGATAATAATAGACGTGGTCTTGTGATGTGGATGTTGACCAGCGGATTCTGAGGCAAAGGCCAAGCGCGCGAGCGTTTCTGGTCGGTGAGTCTTGTCTCAATACTAGCATAAATTACCAACACATTACCAACACATCATATCGCACGTGGGCAATAAATAGGTGATGTCTGATAATGGCCCAGAGTGACTGGCTGCCTCTGCAAACGGTGCCGACGTTGAGCACGGCCGTGCTTACACTGTAGATCCCTCGGAGCCTGTCCGCTCGGCATGAAACAGACTTTGAAGGCGAAGCAAACCAGCTCATGTCAACCAGCTGAGCCCGTAATTGTTTTAAATCGACAAATGAAGGGTTTTTTTCTTCCGAAACCGTATTGACAGAGGAGAGATGAAAGAGCCAAAAAGAAGGGAAGCTCTGATATCTTTAGATGGCGTGCCGGGCCCGCTTGTGTTGATGCGAGTGGGAGGATCCAACAAAAGCGTGTCCAAACCCCGTGTGCGGGCCAGCAAGGAGTAGAGTGTTTCAACATGCACAGCCTGCATGGTGTGCGCAAGCTGTAGATGGTATGTATGCGTGGTATGGTCGGTGATGGAGGCAAGAGGTACACTGGTGTCTTAGCATAAAGCGAGTGAGCGTTTTATGCTAGAGTTGAGAGCGAGCATGAACAAGAAAAAAAAAGAAACAGAGCACGGCTCTTGGCCGTCTGCCGACATGTCATTTGCCATGATTATGGCCACCATCGGGTTTCATGTTGGCTGTTGTCTTGCCTGTGCCATGGCCCTGCGCCCTATTTAGCTGGCGTCAACGGTGCATTGACCTTGGCTATGCTGTAGAACCCAAGCGTTGCCTGCGTGCATGTCGGACTTGCAGCTGCCAGAAAAGATCAACGGGCAAACTGTTATAATACTGCTGCTATCCCCCGCATCTCGTTTAGGCCCCCCTTCCCGGTCTCCATGATGCCGTTTCTTTTTGCGTCCTTGTAATTAAATTGAATAACGCCCTTGTTACTTGCACGAGGCTGCATTCCGCCAAACACGACAAAGCGAACCAGGCAGGTCAGCGGGGTCCGAAATTACAAGGGGACTTTGGGGGCCAATCGCACTGAAGAAACTCGCTTCAGCTTTGGGCCACTTACTCCTTGGAAAAGTGAAGAGACCTCGAGGTCGTCACATCAACCTTGCGCACACGAACGGGCGGCTACTGCTACATTTAGAAGGGCTCTGCATTTTACCAAAGCACTTTTGTCAGCTTTTCTGGACCTTTTTTATTCACCTATCGCATTTTTTTGCGGGTCAGCGCTGAAGACTCGCCACCTTGATACCACACCTTGCCAGCCCCGTCCCGAGCCGCAACAGCAGCAAGCCCACCCACTACACCCCTACCAACGCTCGGAAACACGGTCTCATCACACCTTTTGTCTTCTCCCCTGGCTCATCAGCGGCGCAAACACTCTTCTCATCATCCTCCGTTTCCCACGCACCATTTCTCTTGCTGCTGGCAAACTTTAGTGTCGTCTCTTTTTCCGATTTCTATAATTCCTCGCTCTCTTGCTGTGCAGCTCTTTTTTTTATTGCGGCACAGTTTGCCTTTTTCTCCGGCACCGCCAACCCATCAACAACTTGCGGTCGAGCCGCCTCGTCGCTTGCCTTCGAACCGAATATTCACCTAAGCTCAAGTCACACCAAATCAACCAATCCAAACCCTCCCTTCTCAAAAATTGCTACGACTCGAACCTTTCAATCAATACTACTTCATACGAACCTGGCCTATCAAGACGCAACCGCCACCATGCTGGCCACCAAGCCGCCATTCTCTGGCTCCTCCATCAGCACAGCTGGTCTGGCTGCCAACACGATGCAGACCGGTCTGCCTACCGCCCGCCGCATCCCCAACATTGCAAACGCCCCTCAGACTTTTGCCAGCCCGACTGAGTCCGAATTCTCTGAATCCGACAGCCCCGACTCGGTCAAGAACTGGGACGAGGACCGCGTCTGCGACTACCTCGTCAGCGTAAAGTGCGGCGAGTACGAAAAGCTCTTTCGCAAGAACAATATCAACGGCCAAAACCTCTTAGAAATGGACAAGGAAGTCCTAAAGGAAATGGGCATCGACAAGGTCGGCGATCGCGTTCGCCTGTTCCTCTGCATCAAGAAGCTACGAACAAAGGCCTACGCCAACCAAAAAAAGAGAAATAGGGTGCGCTTGACAACCATTCCATCGCTCGCTGTCCTTCACTAACTCGATACTAGGATTCATTTGCCGCTCTCGAACCCATATCGATATCTGCTCCCGGCGTCTCGCCCCGGCCACTCAATCTTCGCAGTAATACGAGCAACAGCACCAACCCCGCGCCTGTAAACCGACGATATTCGAGACAGGTCGATGTACCCCCACCCCTCGAAATCGATCGCTCCGCTAGACATTCATCGCCTCCCATGTCGAGCGAAATTCGCTCGGCTAGACAGCAAAGATTTCCAACTGCTGGCTACATGAGCAATGCCACACCCGGCACCTCTGCCAGAATACCTGCTACCGAAGGCTCAACATCCGGCCGCATACCAACAGCCCACACGAGAAACAACTCTAGCATGGATGGTTCTCTGATGGCTGCTCTGCCACAAGGTCAGGACGTTATTCGTGTCATATCTACCGGTGGTGTCACCAAGGTGGTCAAGATCGCCGACTGTAACACTTGTGAGAACGTCATGCGTGTCACTCTCCGAAAGTTTTCGCTGCGAGAGGACCATGAGAGGAATTACTGCTTCTGGGTCCTCACCGGCCTCGAACCGGACCCCCGTCAATGTAGACGCCTCGGTGATACTGAGTTGTGGCGCATCATCAAGGATCAGCGCCGCTCCGAACGCAATAGGTTAATTCTGCGTCGCGTCCCGGCTGGTGAGCCCGGAGAGGCCGAGCTGCAGCGGGCTGCGGCTATTGCCCTGGAAGAAGAGCAGCAGAAGCATACCCGTGCGCTCGAGACGGTCGATAAGCGCAGCCAGGTCAAGGTGCAAAAACTACTGGGTGAGAACTGGGATGAAGAGCTGCAGCAGCCCATGTCCCCGCTTCTTTTCCGCGAGCGCGATGAATTCTACAGAGCTGCCTTCCGGGAGTTGGAGAGGTCCTCGCCCAGCTCGGAAACCCGGCCATCGAGCAAGGGCAGCATTGGCCTACGTCAGTTTGGCGGTCTGCGACCTCCTAGCGAACTGATTGCTTCTGATCTTACTTCCTATTTCCCTGATCATCCCCGCGAAGAGATTGATCGCACTGCCCGTCTTTCAATGCGCCGCTCCACACGTCTCAGCAGAATCAATAGCCGTCTAAGTGTTGCCAGCAACCTCAGCTTTGCTTCTAGCAATACAGATGCACCGCCTATGCCGACGATTGCGGATTCTTGGCTGAACGGAAACACACATATCGCCAAAGTCCGTACCAGAGATGCTCGTAGCATGCTTTACCACCGCGACTCCATTTCATCTTCCATGCTTGATACCCTCCAAGAGGAGGCACCTTCAGAGCCGGACCGCAAGTCGTACGTCTCCTTTACCGAGAGCAACTCTGATACTGCTGCCGGTAGCCTGACGCAATCGGATGGCACCATGGCTAGAGTCATGAGCTACTTTGATGGGGAAGGCTCTACCTGTTCAGCGCCCCTGTCCGATATCAAGCAAGCTCTCACCAATGATGGCGAGGATGACGATGAGGAGCTACAGAGTTTCCTAGACGGTGACTCATGGGACGACAACAAGTGGATGAAGGGAGCTCTAATTGGCCAAGGTTCATTCGGCTCGGTATACCTTGCACTACATGCCGTGACTGGCGAGCTTCTCGCTGTTAAGCAGGTCGAGACTCCATCCGGGACGCTCAGCGCCAGCGACTCGCGCAAGAAGAGCATGATTGACGCGCTGAAGCGAGAAATTGGGCTGCTGAGAGAGCTCAGACACGCAAACATTGTGCAGTATTTGGGCTGCAGCTCATCAGACAACAACCTCAATATTTTCCTCGAGTACGTTGCTGGTGGTTCGGTGCAGACTATGCTTAACTCGTATGGTGCCCTTGGCGAGCCTTTGGTGCGAAGCTTTGTGCGTCAGATCTTGACTGGTCTGTCATATCTCCACGAGCGCGACATAATCCACCGTGATATCAAGGGCGCCAACATTTTGGTCGACAACAAGGGCACCATTAAGATTTCCGACTTTGGTATCTCCAAGAAGCTCGAGGCCTCCAATCTCTTGGGTGGCGCTAAGAACGCTAAGCACAGACCTTCTCTGCAGGGCTCAGTCTTTTGGATGGCGCCAGAGGTGGTGAAGCAGACGTCGTACACGCGCAAGGCAGACATCTGGTCACTGGGCTGCCTGGTCGTGGAGATGATGACGGGCACGCACCCGTTTCCCGACTGCAGTCAGCTGCAGGCCATTTTCAAGATTGGCGGCGGCAAGGCATCGCCGACCATTCCGGAAAATGCCAGCGCAGACGCCAAAAAGTTTCTGAACCAGACATTTGAGCTGGATCACGACCAGCGTCCGAGCGCAGACGAGCTCATGCTGAGCCCATTTCTCAACCCCATCACGTGAGATGCTTAATGCCGGCGTTCACGATTGGACTGAATACCACTGGGCTGGTCCCCATTGCCACCAGTCTCGCCAGCCAACTAAGATGGCTAGACGGGGCACAATTCTCGTCTATGATTAGACGAGGAGGCGCCGCTGACCAAGGATTTGAGTCACGCGGCTGTGAATATTATTTCTTGCATATGAAAAAAGGACATACTAGCGGCATTTTGTAATTAGAGTTGGGGGAGGGGACAAAGGACATGAATAGATGTGACTCTTTCTTCGAAGTTTGCTTGTATGATGATTGTGAACGCCTCCGTAAGCACAGCCGCCCAAAAGGCTGATTTTGGCTTAGCAAATGACCATAAGCGACATGGGTATCGATGCCTAACAAGGCGAGTTTAGCCAGTTCGCCTCGAGCGGGTGGGCGGATCGACATCCGCGAGCCGGTGCGCGTCTGCCTAAATCGAGCAGGCCACGAAAACAGGCCCTGGGACGTCATGGCAGCCAAGGCAGCTTTGAATAAGACCAGTTAAGTGTGAAAAAGGTGTCACCTGGACCCTAAACTTCGACCGGGAAAAGGAAGCAAAAGGAAGCAAGAGTTGGTAATGTAAAAAAAGAGGCGCTGCGTGACTGGGGCCTCGTCTGATTGTCTTGATTGCCCAACCAGCAAGCATCCGACATTTGTGGGCAAGACAAAGTTGCCAAAAGTCGACGACTTGCCGCCAACTCACCTGAACATTGTTTCTCGAACCTTTTTTCCCTAGCCTTTTCTTTCATACAATAACACCGTCTCTATAAACGAGGAGTTTTTCTTTTTTTTTTTTTTCCTTCAAATCAACAGATACAAAAACGTCGGAAAAACACAGCCGGGCATGAACACCAGAGAGGTGATTGTCGAGGATGTGGACTCGCAGGGCGACAGCCAGCAGTCGCAGGACAGCGTCCTGACCGTGATCCAGGAAGAGCGCCACGAGGTCCTCTACTTTGCGTACGGCAGCAACCTCTCCACCGCGCAGATGCGCGCGCGCTGTCCCCTCTCCACCGCCATCGGTCTCGGCTTCCTGCCTCGCTGGCGCTGGATCATCAACTCGCGCGGCTACGCCAACATCCTGCCCCCTTCTTCCCCTCCTTCCTCCTCCTCCTCCTCCTCCTCCACCACCACCACCGACGACGGCGTCTACGGTCTCTTATACCTGCTACCACCGCGCGACGAGGAAAGCCTCGACCGCTTTGAGGGCGTGCCGCACGCGTACGAGAAGCTGCGGTGCGAGGTGCGCTGGGTGCGCGATGGCGACGGCAAGCTGCTCGCCGGAGAGGAGGGAGGGGGTGAACCGGTCAAGGCGCTGGTGTATGTGGATGAGCGGCGCACCGACGACGGGATGCCGGCCAAGGAGTACGTGGGCAGGATGGAGAGAGGCATTGAGGACGCGGTGAGGAACTGGGGCCTGGACGAGGGGTATGCGAACCGGGTGATGAGGAAGTGGTGGACCAAGGTCTAGGAAGAGGAATCTCATATAGGGATGAGATGGCAATTAAATGGTGGTGGATGGAGTGGCAGAAACAGAGCATCTCGAATTGAATCGGCTTTTTCTTCGAGTCTTTTATACGCATCACAGCAGTTAGTACCGGCCGGCAGCGCAGGCGGCCAAACATGGTTGCAGCAGAACTCGGAGGACTTGACGCCGCTCAACCTAGTAGTCTATGAGTCCAGCTAATCGTCCTGTTTTCAATTGAAATTCTAAGAATCAGACCAAATCATTTGTCGTTGCTGCCGTCTGTTCCCACTCGCCTGCTTTGTCTCTTCTTTTGCGCGGGCCCGCGCCGCCGACCTCTCGGACATGTGAGAGCCGGGTCCGGCCGAGAGACCACCCTCACTTTTCCCGACCGCCCCATACTCACCAATACCTCCTGAACCCCCTTCATAATCCGCGCATCAACACAATCCTCCCCGAATGCGCCCGCCCACTCCCACAACCGCGCTGCTACGGCACGTATGCGCACGTACACACCATGCGCGCCCATCATCCACTTCCTCCCGCGCCGGCCTGCGCAGCTTCCCCGCGTGGTTCGTCCGCGGCGGCACCTCCAACGGCCTCGTCATCCGCGCCGCCGACCTACCCCCCTCGCCGTCCTCCTGGTCCTCGGTACTCGCGCCCGCCATGGGCTCGCCCGACGCGCAGCACGGCCGGCAGCTCGACGGCATGGGTTCCGGCCTAAGCTCCACCTCCAAGCTCGTCGTGCTCTCATCACCACCTTGCACGACCACCACCACCACCACCAACACCAACACTGCGCACGTCGCATACACGTTTGTGCAGGTTGGCATACGTGACGGCGCCATCGACACCGCCGGCAACTGCGGCAACATGTCGAGCATTGTCGGCCCCGCGGCGTGGGACATGGGCTACGTGCGCGACGAGGACAAGCCGGCGCTGGTGGAGACGGCGGCCGCAGACGGCACGCGGTGGGCGACGCTGCGGCTCTTCAACGCCAATACGAATAAGGTGATTGAGAGTACATTTCGCGTCGACGCGGAGAATGGCAGGTACCATTACTGCCCCGAGGGCGACTACGTCATGGACGGGGTGCCTGGCAAGCAGTCGTGCATCACCATGAGCTTCCTCGACCCGGCGGGCGCCAAGACGGGCCGCGCGCTGCCAACGGGCCGGCCAGTCGACACGCTGGACGTAGCCGACGGGAGCGCACCCGTGCGCGCATCGCTCGTCGACGTCGGCAACCCGGGCATCTTTGTGACGGGCCGCTCGCTGGGCTATCCCTCGGCGGCGAGCCTGTCGCCCGCAGCGATTGAGTCGGATGCGGCGCTCAAGACGCGGCTGGAGGCGCTTCGGCGGCGCGGCGCCGAGCTGATGGGCATGGACCCGGACACGGAGAGCGTGCCCAAGATTGTGCTGCTGTTTCCGCCGTCCGACGACGGCGACGACGACGAGGTGGATATTAGCTGCCGCGCAATGAGCATGGGTCAGGCGCACAAGGCTGTTCCGCTGACGCTGGCGCTGTGTCTGGGCGCTGCGGCGCGGATGCGAGGCACGCTCGCGTGGGAGATGCTCCGGGAGGCGGGGAGGGCCGAGGACAAGCCGGCGGTGCGCATCGCGCATCCAAGCGGCCTGGTGGATGTGGGCACGACAATGGTGGACGGGGAGGTCAAGGCGGCGAAGCTCCTGAGGACGGCAAGGGTCCTGATGAAGGGGGAGGTGTTTTACTAGATTTAGAGAGCGTCTCATATCGAAGAATATGTAAATTATAGCATCTATATATGTGTACATAGTAGAGAATAGAATATCAACAGAGATTATGTTTAGAGTACAGAGCATAACAGTGGTTGTCTCCACGACTCACCGAGGCGGAGAAAAGATGTACGCTGCTCGACATGAACAGTCGTTCTACATTTTATCGATGCTCCTGAATCTATTTCTTTGATTGTCATTATTTTTCTCCTCCATCATCATTACCTTTTCTATGATTCATGATTAATAACCCACCACATCGTCACCTTTATAAATAGCTTTACATGCCATCAATAGGGCAGTCATTAATGTTGTCCTGCCAGACGGCCTTGGCATACGGCAGCAAAAAGTCTTATCAAAAAGTCAGCCCCAAAAGCATCTTGCATGTGCAGAAAATGTCAACTTACCCTGCGAAGTAAAGTTGCAGTCAATATAACAATCCACCATGCTGGCATCGTACCCGCTGCCAAGGTACTGCAGAATGTACTTTTCAATACTATAACACATTCGTTAGCCTTTTTTTTTACTTCTCAAAACAAGCGTAGCAAAGATCCCCAGCTCTTACAAGTCATAAAAGACAACGTCAACGACCTCGGGGCTGCCCTCTTCGGGGAAGCCGCCCTGTCCCTGGTAGTAGCCGGGGTTACGCATAAACGGAACAGCCGTGTGGTTGGTGTCGTCGCCATCAGTGCCCCAGTCGTCGTTGGTGACGTAGCCCGGTGTGATGATTTCCTGGCGGCGGACGGGACCGCGGCGCTCGCGCATCTCGCGACGGGTGAGGTAGCCCATGGTCGGGTTTGTGCACTCATCCTGCGGCGCGGCCATGGAGACAAGGTCGCTGCGCTTATCTGCGCGGCCATTGTTGAGTCTTTTTGTATCCCCCGAGTTAACAAATCTGAATCTCGCCCGAGGCCAGCCCCCCTCTCCTCAATGGACTTACTGTGTAAGTAGTTTCTCGGCCTTGTCGTAGGGCACATCCTTGATGTAGCGAAAGACGTCGCGAAACGGAGACACGATGAAATTATCGTCATAAGTAAACGGGCCCTTGGGGATATCGTAGCGCACGCTGCCCGTGTTTCCAAGAATGATGCGCGCCTTGTCCTTGCGCTCGGGGCGCACGACAATCTTGGATACGGCTGGAATAATGACACCCGGAAACAGGTTTTGCTCGCTGTCAATCGGCGCGCACTCCATGCACCACGACCTGGGCGCGCAGCCGTAGACATCGCCCAGGCGCAGCTGCTCGCGAATGTCGGTAATCTCGTTGGTGACGCGGCTGCCCGAGTGGTAGTCGTAGGTGGCGGGCTGCTGGCGCGAGTGGTAGATGAAGGTGTTGCGGTTCCAGTCGAGGTACCGGCGCGCGTAGCGAAACGGGGACGCAGTGGTGGTGCCCTCCTTGGCCGGACGCGTCGGGTTCGGCACGCCGTGCGGGTTCTTGACGCCCTTGTAGCCACCGCTGCTGCTGCCGCTTTCTACATCGAAGCCACTCATGGCCACCCAGCCAATCGTCTCGCAGTAGCGACCGGCCTCGATGCCGATGGAGCGCTCATCGTAGACGGAAAAGTCGCGGATGTGGGTGTGGCCGCCAAACAGGGTAATCGGCGTCTCTGGGCGCGCCGCGCGGATCGCGTCCCAGACCGGTCTGAACGTGCTCGTCTTATCCTTGGGGCTGACTGGGTTATGCCCAAACAGCACGACCAAGTCGACCGGCTCCGTGGTGTGAACGGCGTCGAGGAACCACTGCTCCCTGACCATGTCGGCCGCCTTGACGACCTGGGAGACGTTGGAGTTGCCGGCAAAGTCAAACAGCACGCCAAATGCGAGGACGCGCAGGCCCTTTTCCGTGGTAAAGTAGCGATGGGTGGCGCCGACGTGCTCAAAGGCATTCGTCTGCGGATTGAGAATCTTGACATTGGACGTGACGTAGCGGTCGCCCCATTTCTTGGCCCAGGTGTTGAACATTTGGTACGCCACCTCGGTCACGTACAGCTCGTGGTTGCCAATCGTCAGCAGGTCAAAGGCAATCTCGTCAAAGACGGGCATGGATAGCTCCCCGTCGGGCCGCGTCGCGTCCGACAAGCCGGTGCCGTCGTGCAGGTCGCCCGTGTCAATGAGCAGCAGGTCCACGCCCATGTTGCCGGCCGTCTGCTTCATGCGCCGGGTAAAGGTGACAAAGTCGCCCCAGTCGGCGCCGTAGTTTTGCTGCTTGATGTGGCCCTCGAGCCAGCCGTGCGTGTCGGTCTTTTGGGGAAACAAATGTTTTGTTAGCTGGTCATCTTTTATCGGCGGGATTGCCCACGCCCTTTTGTCATTTGCGCAGGGGGGCGAGCAAGACTTGACCCTAATCGATTGACAATACCGTGTGTAAAAAGTTGATTTGCCCCCATTCGAGAGGTCCCTTGGGCCCGTAGGTCGCATTGGGTGCGCCCGGCTGCATGCGCTTGACCTGACGGACATATTCGACATTGTGTTGAGGGCCGTAGCAGCTGTGTTCCTCGTCGCCACAGGCAGCGACCAGACTAGGTCCGGTGAGAATGGCAATTAGGCCGTTGAGGAGAGATGCCGACTTCATTTTCAGCCAGAGCGTCCGTCTCTGCGGAATCAAATGTCGATCAGCGATAGAAAATAGATTGAGGAAATCTAAAAGGTGGCAGCCGAGTTTTCTTTTAAACCCATCTTCTCAGATCTTCTGCAATATTACCCCAGCTTTGTCGTGTCCAACTCGCCAGTAGTAAGCTTTCCTCCACTCCCACCCATATGCATCTGCATTCGAGCGGCGACGACCTCGGCCCAACTACTTATCTCAAGGGAAGCCTAGCTAGGCTCGTGTGTTTGTTGCGCACGTCCAGGCGCTGAATGCAGGCCATGTTTGCTTACAGAAGAACTTTTGCAACCTGCGAGTCTCGCTAGTCGACTTGCAGCGCAGCACTGCCCCGGGATGCGTACGATCGGCACGGGCTGGCCTCTTGACCTTCCACATGGGGTAATATAGCAGGCAGCTTGCATTTGCCTGAGTTCGGTGGCGTCTGCTCCAGCGTCCAGTACTGTTCACTGCCAAACTGCCAAATTTTTTCAGTGGGCGATATAACTAGAACCCCCCACAAAGCGTTTGGGTCCGGTTCCGTCGACCCGTTTCCCGTCTTGGGCGTTGCGTCTAATTAGTGGCGGAGTGAGCCTGTAAGAGGATAGAGTATGACCATGTGTTTGTCAATGTGGTGGATACTACTCAATGCAATTAATTGTTTTTAATCAACATTCGGTGTTTGAATTTGGCTTGCTTCAAGTGTCTGCGCATTGAGCATGCAAAGAAAAGAAAATTAGGGATTTGGCTACATGCACATGTGTTTTCAAATACAAGCCACAACCATGTACATACAAGCAAGATAGTGTAAACTCGAAGTTGTACAAGTGGCAACGACGAATGCTCCTTAATGAGTTCAATTATAGCCAACCTCCCACGAATCAATGCAAATTAATATGTACAATCTGCAATTATTTTCTTCGGCGGAATCAAGCTTGGCCTTGTTGTTGGTGGCGTCAATGCTTCGTCAGCGCCATCACCGCTCATGTCAAGTTCCGCCGTCAAGCGTCTGAGCATTTCCGTCTTTTCCTCTACATATGTCCAGAGTTTATGTTGTTGCGCCAGTGTATCTCCGCCGAATCCACGCAAAAGCTCATGCAATTGTTCGCATAGCTCGAGGGCCTTGGCAATTCTACCTTGGTCCTCGTAGCAGTGAACGAGAAACCACATTGCTTGAGCTGCACATACATTTGTTTCTCGTCAGCAAAAAGTTGCCCTCAAACTCAATACGCTATTGAATCGTCTTTGACGAGAGAAATTGAAAGTGGAGACAAAAAACGAAGAAAAAATTTTGTGCACTCACCTCGGTCGCCATGCTCACCGTCTTCGCGCTTCGACTGCTGAAAGTTTCTCTTCTCAATGACATCTTCCCAAATATCCGCAGCCTCCGAGTATCGTCCTTGGCGCCAGTACAGATGGGCAAGCCATATACGAGCCGTCAGTGTCCCGAGATGACTCTTTCCCAGGTTCCTTTCCGCAGCCGGTAGACCCTCGAGGAAAATAGCCTCTGCCTCTTCGAATTGGTTCAGAGCCGTCTTGATCTTTGCGAGCGTCAACATGGACTTTAGAGTGAGCGGGTGCTCGCGTCCCAAATCTTTGATGCGGACTTGCAGCACCTCGTCGCTCATTTGCTGCGCGAGGGAGAGCTGATGCTCGCCCTCGAAACCGTATATCCCCGCCAAGTTGTCTTTGGCCTCGAGAGTCTTTTGATGTGTAGGGCCCAAGATTCGTTCAAACCCCATATAAGCTTGTCGTTGCAATCTAATGGCCTCTGCATTGTCGAAATAACGCAGCTTCACCTTTGAAAGATTGTCCACGGCTGTCCAGGTGCTCTCATGCTCTGGACCAAAGTTTTCGTGTTTGGTTAAGTTTTGAATCACTTCTTCATGCAGCTTTTGAGCCTCACTGAGTCGGCTGCACAACAAGCAGGTTGCCCCAAGATTATCCATGACCTGCAAAGACTTGGGATGATTCATACCGTAGTATTGTCGAGCAGACTTTAGCACCTCGTGCTGCAAATTTCTCGCTTCGTTGTTCCGCGTCTGTAAAACGTAATTATGCGACAGCAAAAGAGCGATTTCTATGCCGTACTGCGACACAGGCCCAACTGTTGAGAACAAGTAATCCTTGACACGCAATTGGAGCTCCTCGGCTTTCGCATACTCGCCACACTGAAGGTACACCAGACTGAATTTGGCATATTCGGTGGCTTCGAAAGCTCTGAATTTCGGTCGAGGCATCAACCAGGACAATGGCCAAGGTCGGCGGAGAACAGCCTGGTTTTCTGCAATGCGTCTGCTGATGCTGTCCTGTAGCTTGAGCACATGCTCAACATGCAGACGAATCTGCCTTTGCATTCTGTCGTTGCGAGCCGCGTAGGCGCGCGGCGCTCTGAAGAAGACAGACTGTACTAGCACAGTGGCCGCAGCTCGGCACCAGATTGCCTGCTCACCTGTGCTGGTGCCTGGTCGCTGTCGCACCCAGGTGTGAACCAACGGATGCATCCAGTAGCTGTTGTTCTCATCTTGTAGTGTTACCATACCAAGTCGAACCAGGAGAGACAGTGCAACGCGCAACCGGTCCTCGTCGAATGGCACATCGTCTTCGTCCCGCAGAACCTCTGGAAGAATATTGCTCGAGAATGCAATCTGCCCTGCAATGGAAATCATCCATGCATGAAGTAGAGAGCGCCAGTCCCTGGGGCCAGTAAAACCTTGTGAATGTACAGAGTCGTCTGGTTCCTTGGCCTGCGCATCTTCCCGCTCCCGGCGGGGATTCATGGCTGCAGTTTTCAGCAAGTCAAGCTCAATATTCTCTCGGTGGAAAAATGAGAAAATCTTCAATAGCTGGAGGGCATCTTTTGAACGTTGGTCTTGCTTACTTTCAAGACCAACATATATCATCTCATATGATGAATAGACGCACATGCTAGATGTGTTGTCGACCTCACGACCCCGTGAGGGGCTTCGGCTTCGATTGCGACGAATCTTGTTCCAAGATCTCTCGTAGTATTCGGTATAATCGGCGAGGGAGCACAGTTTCTCCAAAATGGCCTTGCCGGCGTGAATCAGCGCGAGGGGTAGGTATCCCAGGACCTGAGCAATTTTGACAGCTTGCTTCTTGGTTGGTATCCCCCATGGGCGCGGAAATGCGGCCGCCGCCAAAAGGAGGTCACTGGCCTCTTCTTCCTCTAGCTTTTCAAAATGAAAACACAATTTGTCCTCTGTCCCATATCGTATGTTTGTCGGATTGCGAGTTGTGATTAGAATTACGCCTCTCTCACCCCCGGGAAAGCACCGCATCAGATCCATCTCTGGGTCGTCGGCATTATCTATGAGGAGCAGCCAAGGATGCTGCAGGCTGGATAACCAATTCTTGGCAGCATTTTCGTTCGGTTCAAGTCCACCAATCTTGGCAATCTTGGCAAAAGAGTGCTGAGCATTTTCGGACGAGCTTCCATCAATCCAGAATATGCCCCAAAAGCTATACAACGGTCAATATCTGAGCAGTCCTGGGTCATGAACATGTCTCACTGTTCTCTGTTATCCTGGGCAAATTTGCAGCAAAACTGAGTCTTGCCAGAGCCACCAAGACCAGTAATGATGAAGCGCTTTTGGTGTTTCTGACGTTGGCGTGATCCTCTGACGTCGAGTATAGATGCCAATTCAGCCAGCTGCTTCTGCCGACCCGTGTAGTAGCTGCTGACATTTTGAGGCGTGTAAAAGTGTTCGTTGAAGCGAATCAGAGAGGCCACTGCGTCTGCCGAAACAAGAGAGTCGTGAAGCTAAGGCGAATTAGACGCACTCCTCAACGCAGAAGCCGACAAAACTCACTTCAGTTGAATCGGAAGACTGCCTGAGCTCTTGGCGAAGCTTCCCTATTCTAGATTGCAGTTTGATGTTCTGACGTCTCAGATTTTCCGACAGATTGCCCACTGCAAGATCTTTCGGGGGGTGCGACTTGACTGTATAGTATCTAGACTGAGTCAGAATGGCTTTTCGACTGTTGCGTTTCCTGTTGTGACTTTACAAGTTCAGCGCATTGAGAAGCATTTGGAAGCCAGACTGGTAATTGACAAGACGTTGACGTATTTGCATGTAGTCGCCATCTCGACCTCTTCTCCGAATTGTTTTGCGAAGACTGTCAATCTTTCCAGTGACTTGATGGCCCTTTTTACCGACAACCTCGCTCAGCAATGCCTCGAGCTGCTCAATGGTGACTCTGCTCTGTTGTAGGAGCTGGGCCAGGTTTTTCCATAATTTCTCAGCAGGCGATCCCTCTTCAAGTGACTCATCAAAGGTACCCAGATCATGTCTCGAGTGAAAAAAGTCCTCAATCGACTCATTGACCGCGAGCAGCGAGCTGACTTCTTGACTCAGAATGGTGATTTCATCTTGAATCTTGTCAGAGGCTTCTTTGATGTCTACCAGAAAAGTAATGATGCGTATTGAAACATCAGCTACACCCACGGTTCCGGCAATAATCGAGAGAGGGTCCATGTTATCGACGCCGAATTTCACGCAAGAAAATAGATAGCCGGAGAGCTTAGAACAGAGGCGATTCTAGCATGCTGGACACGCAGAAAGCTGCAGGATTGCGTTACTCTGCGGTGAATCGGCAACAATGCCAGGCGAGACAGGTTGAAGAAGAGCGTCGAATGGGTGGTTGCATAGAGGAACGGTGGCTCAAAACTGTTTCTCCCGGCCACTTACGCTGACCGCAAAGGCCCGGGCCGCTGTATGCGGGACTGCCATTTCAGCTGATGGAGGAATAGACAAGGATAGATCAGCCTCGCTGTTGGTGATGCCCGTATCCAATCAGTATTGGCAGGGGTTGCAGCTTTACAAATTGTGGCTGGGCCAAGAGGTGCGTGCTGCGGGGTATACTGTCCTGCATTTTTCCCATGTAGGTAACCGCCGAGTAACGTGTTTCCTTGTCACAGTCTCGGTCAATAATATCCCTGTCTTTATCAATTTGAGATGCCGTCAATGATAGCCATGTGCTTCGTGGGTCGCTTGAAGACCGGGTGTAGTAGCCCAAATTGGATACCGCAGCCACCAGCTTACTTCCAATTGCACCTTTGCGCCCGCTCGATTTACGCGCCTAGTTTCAATTATAGAGAAGTAGTAGCTACCCCCTTCTGCGACTTCAGCGGCTTCATAAACACATCTTGATAGCCCAGAGAATTCCCAGTTTTGCCTCCTTCCTCGGTCGCGGATCCAGTCTGCAAGGCCTTTCAGTAGAATGGTTGTCATCACACTCATCGGACTCGCTTCTTTGATTATCGGTGGCTGGTGGCTGTATCACAATGTGTGTCTATTCGTATGTCATGCTCACCCTCATTAGCCCAACTTGAACTGGCCATACTTACTGCAATTACAGCCGTCCCGCCACTACCATGGAGAGGACAGAGGGTGCGGGCGTGTCAACATGCTGCCATCATCTTGGAAGCTGCCCTTTGGAATCGACAAATTGCTCAAAAGCCTCGAGGCAGAAAAGAATCAAAGACTTCCGTTATTTTCCCTCGAGGATCACCAAAAATATGGTGACACGTACGCTCAGTATGCCGGTGGCCTCTTTACCATCATAACGAGAGATTCGCGCAACATTTCCTCGGTGCTATCTGAGCAATTTTCCAAGTTTGGCCATGGGCAATTACGAAGCATCTGTTTCGGGCCTCTACTTGGCCAGAGCATATTTACCGAAGACGGGGCCGCTTGGAAGGCCTCAAGACGCTTACTGGCCTCTGAGCTGCACCAGCCGCACTATCCAGCTTTACATATTTTCGAGTCTCACTTCCAAGACCTTTTGCGGAGTCTCATGGAAAAGCAAAGTCAGTCATCTTCGACTTTGAATGTACGGGATGTACTGCACGACTATGCTCTGGACACTGCAACTAAACTGTTTCTGGGCAACTCTACCAATATCCTGAGTCTGCCAAGTGAAGCCAACAATGAGGGCACCCGGTTCTCAGAAGCCTTCAACAAAGCCATGCAATGGCTAGCTACAAGGGAGCGCTTCAAAATGTTTGCGTGGCTCGTCACCACACCGGCAATGCTCAAGACATTTGCTACTGCTCGCGACTCTTTAGAAAACATGATTTCCGAGTCGCAGCGAGCCGAAGCCAGCGATTTGAGCAAGTCGGCCTTTGCAGATTTCCTCGGAAAGTCAACCGGAATGAGCAAGGCCAGAGACGAGCTGATGAGTCTCCTAGTCGCAGGCCGCGACTCCAATGCGAGCCTCTTGTGCTGGCTAGTGTACGCGCTCGCGCGAGAGCACGAGGTGCTGGAAAAGCTTCGAGCTGAAGTAACGTCAATCCTCGGAACCGATTCTGATTACTTGCCAGATGATGCTCATCTCGCAAAGATGCGATATCTGGATGACGTTGTGAATGAGACGCTGCGTCTCTTCCCCGCAGTGCCACTCAATGGTCGACTATGTTCAACATCGACAACACTTCCGGCTGGCGGCGGCGAATCTGGGGAAGAGCCCATCTACGTTCCCAAGGGCACATTGATATGTCTTTCTACGTTTGCCTGTCAGCGATCTACCAAGTACTATGGAAGCGATGCTCACGAGTTTCGACCCGAGCGGTGGCAGCAAGTAGACGCCAAAGTGCGAACTAGTGACTTTACTTTTCACCCCTTCATCGGAGGGCCTCGCAAATGTCTTGGAGGTAGGTCATCAAGCCAATACATTGGCGCTCATGACATGGTTGTTTATGCGGTAAAAGGTCACTAATCTTTTGGCAGAGCGTTTCGCAATCAAATTAGCCAAATACACCATCTGTCGCTTGGTACAGTCGTGCAGCATCATTACGGTCGGCAAAGACGAATTGGCAGCTGGGTCTAATTGGCAAGAAAATACTCGATACCACAACGGCTTGACCATGTCTCCTGGTGACGGCGTTTTTGTTCAGTTGGAGCTGAGATAGTTGGCCATTAACAGTTGGCCATTCACCACCGGGTTATTTACTGGGACGTGGAGCGCCTCGTAGATAGCCATGTACGCTGCAGAGCCAGGCCATCTCCAGTGACTGTAAGAGAGAGGCTCTTCACGAGGGTGTCAGTTAATAAAACGAAAAATTCCAGTGGGTACAGTCCTTCCACAAGCAAAATCTTAGTATCTGGGAGGATTCTGAGCACAGAATAGCAGTAGTCAATTAGCTACTTTGACCAAGAACAAGAACACTAATAATATAGAAAAGTCTTTTTAAACCTTCAACGCTATCCAGTCAAGTAACTAAAAATGTGCATTTGCTTCCAATATCTCTGGCATTTCTAATAAAATGGAGTAACCAGAAGAAAGAACAGAAAAGCCCAATTTCTTGAAAAGTGTTGGTGATGAGCTCAGACCAAGACTAGCACAACGGGTGTCTGTCGCTTCCTCGCATCTCAAGTCAGTAGAAATGTATCTAAAAACACTCACTCGTTGACGTGAGCAAGATCTGCTGCTGGCAATGAGGGCTTCTCTGTTGCACAGGGCTCATCCTTTCTATCCGGCTCATAGGAAAGTACCCTAAAGCTTTTCTGCGAGACGTCTTCAGACCACTCATCGCCGTAGACAGCCTCAGCCGTTCGCCTCAAGCGGGTCACGAAATCAAAGGTGGACTCATGATTCTCGTCTGAAGAGTCCTCGGCGCTATATCCCCACGAGCCGTCATTTTTGACCTCGAAGAACCGGCCAGCAACAGCTTGAAAGGCTGTGGTTGTCTGACGGTCAGCTATTGACCCCTTCCGGCGACGGAGCCTGTAGTCAATAAAATAGAAGATGGGGGTCTTCTCTCTTCCCCAGGCCATACGTTGGCAGATGTGGGTGATTCGTGCTTTGTCGTGTTTCGTCCGCCAGTGCGTTCCAATCTCAAAGGCGAACTTGTTGATGCAATCCATGGACGAACGCTCGCCGGGGCGCACGCAGTCGATGTTTTCAAGCCGAAGCCGTAAAAGAAGGCTGAAACAAAGGAGATTTCGCGGACAAAAGACAAACAAGTCTCTATCTGGCACAAAAGTAAATCGGCGTGTTTCAGAACGATCGTCCGTCGAAATTCCGGTCGATGCTGATGCGAAGCCGCTGGTACGCTGAGACTGCCCTCCAGCACTCGACAGGCCCGCGCCGCCGCTGGGCGCATTTTGGTTTCGGTTCAATCTCTTCATCATTTGTTTCATGACGTACCGCGATTCCCGACACGTCACCCACAAGCTGCTGTCCTGTTCAGAAGTCGATTTCGCGCCGTGTTGCCAGGACAAATCCACCTGGTTGCAACCATTACGATGGGGGGCGCAAGTCATTGGCCTGAAAGCGATAGATCTAGAAGAGAACGGGTGACGTCGGTTTTCAAAAATGAAGAAATTTACCCCTGCGATGCTCCGGTCGACAACAGCGCCCTCCCACACCCTGAGCCTGATCTCTGGCGGCAGACTTGGAAAGAGGTGAAACGAATTAGCCATGTTGCTTAGCTGTAGTGTGGTGAATAGAGAGAAGAAAAGAATAGTTGGTAAGATGCACATCTTTCCCTGACTGGGTGCCGGGTCCGAATAGTCATAGGCTCAACCCGGATATTCATGCTGGTGTAAGTCCGTCTGGTGGCTGTCGTGTGGCGTCGGAGCATCAAATTTCATTCCGCCACGATAGTGTTTCTCTTACTCAATGCTATTGAATTAGATAGAGGGGTGTAAAGATACTCAGAACGGCAAATGTGAATTCTTGCCATAATGTCCGCTGTGGGCAAATAACTGCGAGGTCGACAGCAGGAGCGAAATGCGAAGACGACGGATAGAGACATCGGTGCTCAACAGTCTTTAAAGCAACACTTTGCTTGTATGGTTTCTAAATTCATATCTCATCCTCTTCCTCTGTCTTTCAGACTGGATGCAGCCTACAAATCTAGCTTCAGTATTCGAGGTACATGGCTGCATTTGTCGACCCGGTTATACCAAAGAAGCTGCCGAAACACGTAACACTTGACTAATTCTAGAATAATTCTTTTTGCTATATTTTTTTTTTTTGGTGGCTTGCTTGTTGATACAGAAAAAGTATAACCAGCTCAGCAACTGTATCCGTCTTTCAAAGAGAAAAGAGATAGTCAACCCAAAGACTGGACCGAGTTCGCCGCGGTATTCAAACAGAAAGGAAACCCGAGCTAGAGAATAAGATTACAAGGATAAAATTTTACTGCATAAACCCTTTCATTATTAAAAAACAGTACTTTTTGTTGTGGCTGCTAGAGTGCGCACCCCATCTCGTCAACCCACTTGCAAAGCCACCACCAAAAAACACGGCATCACCCGCTTTGGCTTCCCGGTCCCCATGTTCTTTACCTCACCACCAAAGAAACAAAAAAAGGTAAAACATCACCGAGCCCGCGTGACGGCGCATCTGGAACAATGGCCTCTCACCCTTACTACCCCCTCGACGCCATCCTTGCCGGGTACGAGCCCAATGCCCTCGCGCTGCCCACCGTGCTCGCCCTTTTTGGCAGCCTCGCCGGCGCCGTCGTCCTCGTCGCCTACACGGCAGCCGCGCGGCAACCGGGTTTGCGCTCGCTAGACCGCTTCGCCGCCGCTTGGTTTGCGCTTTGTAAGTGGCTTTACTCCCTTTCCGTTTTACGGTAAGTCCAATTGACGAACCTGGCTGACAATGTCTCCTCCTCCCATAGGCGCGTTTCTGCATCTTTGCTTTGAAGGCAAGACCCCCCTCATTGCCCCCGTTATGCCATGTGGACAATCTATGCCATGTGGATAGATTATGCCATGTGGACAGATTGTGCCATGTCAACAGAGACTAATTCCTTCCCAAGGCTACTTCATTTACTACAAAGGCGAGCTAGTCAGCCAACACACTCTGTTTGCTATGCTGTGGAAAGAGTACACCCTTTCCGACTCTCGCTACCTCACTGGCGATGTCTTTACACTCTGCATCGAGACCATCACCGTCGTACGTCTTTTCTCCTGTCTCTTTGAAACCTCGTCACGCTTCCTGCGCAATCCAACTTACCGATAACCAGTTCGCCTGGGGACCCCTGTCCCTCTTCACCACACTCTCCATCATCTTCCGCTCGCCTAGCCGCCACTTTCTGCAGGTCCTGATCTGCATGGCGCACCTCTACGGCGTCCTGCTCTACTACAGCACCAACTGGGCCGATTACCGCTTCACCGGCGTCTCTTACAGCCGCCCCGAGTTCCTATACTACTGGGTCTACTATGTGGGCTTCAACGCGCCTTGGTTCTTTGTGCCTCTCGGTAAAAGCTTGCTCAAGGCCCCTTCTCGTCGACCAGCTGATCAGGTTTTGCTAACCCCGAATATATAGGCCTGCTTCATGACAGTTGGTCCCAGATTACCAGCGCAATTGTGTTTCAAAGAGACGCCCAGCTTGCCGCCAAAAAGCAGTAATACCCATTAGCCGACACTGATCCAGTCATCAACACATAGCATCTTGCATAAATTCTTTTCAAATGCATTGTTTGCTATTTCTAGTCAGATTTTACCATTGATCCCTGGCCAATACTCCGCAAGATACACATCCTTTTGTCTCGCTATAAACCAAAATTCTTGCTTGTTGTTACACGGTCGCCTGCAACCTCTCCAGGCGCGAAGTCACGGCGTCTACCAGCGCAGTCTCGCGCGACAGCAGCCCTTGCACCTGTTGCAGTTTGTTGCGGCGGATATCCTGTGGGATCCGCAGCTCCGGCGTCAGAGGTGCCTCTAGCTGGCCACTCTTCTTGAGCGCTTCCACATCAGCCACGAGCTCAGACTGAAGCTTCTTAACACTCTCCAATCGCTTCCACAGCTCCTGCGACTGTATCCTGACATCACCTGCCTCTTCGGAAGCGGTGGGGCCCGAGACGCTGGCGTCAAGCGCGCGCACCTCCTCCATAAAGGCTCGTTCCTTGTTGCTCAGGTCTCGCGTGGTGGCCTTGCCAACAATCTTGCGAAGGTTCTCGACACGCTCAGCAATAGCCTTTTGTCGCTTTTGTGCTTCGGAAATGCGACGTTCGTACATGTCATTGTCGGTTTCACCGTCACGGTCGACACCCCTGATCGTGTCAATTTTTCCCTTCACCTCGTTGGCCTTGGACACTTGTTGCTTCAGCTCACTTTGCAGGAGCTCGCACCGTCTGAAAATCTCAGCAGCAGACACCCCAAGCTTGTATGTCTCGTCGCTCAAGACCTTGTGAGCATCTGTAAAGATTTGCAAAGTCAAGGGACTAAGTTTCACCTCTTGATTTACTACAGTCTTGTGGCGCGACGTGCGTAGTCTTTCCAAGAGCAAAGGCAGTGATGACCCTTGGTCAAACACATGCGGCGGGTTGTAGACGGGGCGAGGCTCGTAAAAATGAAGAGGAGCCATGCTAGCTTCGCGCTCACGCTCGGGGCTAGCCTCGCGGTGAACAGGAACGACGTCCAACTCGGGGCTTTCAAAGGTGACGGCGATGGGTTCGTAAGGGGTGGCTGAGAGGAGGAAATAGCCAACATCTGGGTCTCGAAGGACAATGCACCCTGCAAGTGGCTCAGCAGCATCTGCGACAGGCTGGGCATAGATTCTCTCTCTGCTCGATTGAGAGTTGACAAGCAGCCCGATTCTGAAGTCTGTGCCAGCCTCAAAGTCTCCTGAAAGCTCGCCTTCAAGGCGAAAGATCCACGATGCAAGTGAGATAAAAGTGATAGCGGCGTGATGTGTGACAAAGAAACTATACCGTGACAGTGCATCGGCGCTGAACACAGGCCAGCTCTCCTCCGTCACTTCGGCGGGAGCCATGGTATCCATTGCCTGGAATGCAAGGAGTGACGGAGTCTTGGCTTCTCCAAAAAGCTTGCTGCTTTTGGACTTGGTTCTTGGCGGCAACCATTGCGCTTGAACATTGTCCATATCCAGATAAACACGCACCTGGCCGCTAGTAGATAGCAGGCAGATGACAGCCAGTGAGAGGCCTTCTTGATCGCTGTCGTCGAGGTCAAGTTCATACTCATCATCCTCTCCGATCATCAGATCCTCGGTTTCCGTCTTTTTGCCAATGACCAATATATCAGTGATGGACGTGTCTAGGTCGTCACCGGTCTCGGGATCAGAGACAAGGTCAAACGGTCCTTGAAGGCGAGGAGTGACACCAGGGCGGGAGGGTCGGGTATAGACTTCAACGGGAGGGTCTCCGAGAATGGCGCTGTCGATGATCTGGGGCTCTTGGGAGTCCAAATCACCCATCCACTGGAGCTGCTGCTGAGCCAGAAGTTTTTCGTTTTCGTCTACCAAAGCATCGTCCTCAATGCTGCCGACAGTAGCGACGATAGAGACTGAAAGTGAGGGAATGAGCGTGGGAGGGGGCGCCCAGCGCTGTGGCAGGAGTGGGCAGAGGGCGTATACATCTCCCTCACGCATCGCCACCCAAAGCGTCATTGGGTTCCAACCTCCCGTCCCCTTGCTTGCGAAGCTTGCTGCCGCGACCTCCATCTCAAAGGAATCCGGGGAAAAACCCTTGTTCGTGGCCGAAGTCGAGGCTGAGAAATCCTGATCCAGAGTCGTGCCGTCTGCCAGCTTCCTCAGATCGATGGAGGTTGTCGGGGTATCAAAGGACCAGCGATCACTGGTGGACAGCTCCCAAACTCTGACAATCGCGTCGGCCGTCACAGTGACTATGCAGGATCCATTGACTCCTAGCGGGTGCCAGATCGCGGACATGATGGGTGACCGCGATGTGACGTGGGTAGTAGGGCCAAGGGTAAAAATCTTGGGCTTCAGCGGAGCAGTATCATCGCTTGTCAGGTGCGAGGAGTCGGGTATCGTGCATATGTGGATAGTGTGAGTCGTGAGAATGGCGAGAAGGTTGGTATTTGGGGAGATGATGAGCTGTCGTATTTCGTCGGCAACTGGGACTTTGATTGTCTTGACGCTGCTTGTTAATGTCTAGTACCAAACATCTTCAATGGTGGCACGACTTACTCTCAGACCCCCAAAAGCTTCAATACTCGGAATATCCTCCATATTCAGGGTGATATCTTCGCGCTTGACACGATTATTGGAGCCACGACGCTCCCTCGGGTGATTGTTGGACCAATCCTCCTTGATGTACGCCAAGTCTCCCCACCGAATTTCCTTGCCCACGGCCACAAAGACCTCGGTGCCGCGTCGCGCAATCGTCCGTCTCGGGCCCAGAGTAGTCTTCTTGCCCGCGTACGGCGACGCGAGAGCCCGCGAGCGTGCGGCCTCGGGTGAGGGCTCGAAGAGCTGGTGCCCGGGGGCATTTTTCGACAGCCAAGCGGCCGAATAGCACTTGACCTTGGGCATTCTCGCCTCGTCGCGCCAGAAGAGCACGGCGGAGAAATCAGTGATGTAAACAAAAAAAGGAAGAGTATAACGATTTCAGTCCGACCTCGGAGTCTGAGCTGCCCCGAGCAAGCGTGAAGGGTGATGTTTGTGGAAACACTGGTGGGCGGTAGACAACTTTTATAGGTAGAAAGGCTGGGAGGCGCGGCACGGTGCAAGCCAAAAAGCGCGGCCTCCTCTGGTTTTTGTTAGCGCCTCAGTGTGTGGCCAGATCCCGATGAGGTTGTTCAGCGTGCAGCATTGATTCATGAAATCTGAGATTACAAAAATATAAACAAAAGCTTGTCTGTCTTATTCTTTGCTTCAATCCCCACCTTCTTTTTCACCATTCGCGTTATTGCGCAGTAACAACTTTTCGGAGCTCTCATTCACACCCACTCGCGAGTCGAGCAGACGGCAGGTCTCCACCGCGTTACTGAAGCTTCAGCCTTTTGGTCGGCCAGGCGCTTGTTCCGCACTCACCTTGCGACAAGAGCTCATGTGCAGCCAAACGACAGCCGCGATCTACAAAACCACATCGTCGATATAGAATCAACGCCCTATCGAATACTGCGCAGCTTCTAGGCGACACAAGACGAGCCCCGACATGGCTGCTCCACCAGTTCGCTCGACAGTCGACCGACTAGATCGACCCAGCGCATACTATCAGAACAAAGCAAGGCTCGCCCAGGCAATGCAGTGAATATGAGAACGCAATGCTAACAACGTCAAAAGGGACGCCGCAGACGCGACCGCGATGACGACAGACAAGCCGACTCAGAATCCCAATCTCAACCCGATCCTCTAGCCGACGCCACGACGCTCTACGTCGGCAACCTGTACGCGGCCCAACTATCTCTCCACCTCTTTCCCCTCAACAGTTATGCTAAATTGTTTCGCCAGATCCTTCTACACGACCGAGGAGCAAGTCTACGAGCTCTTCTCCAAGTGCGGCGAGATCAAGCGGCTGATCATGGGCCTGGACCGGTTTAGCAAGACGCCCTGCGGCTTCTGCTTCGTCGAGTACTACACGCATCAAGATGCGCTCGACTGCATGAAGTACGTGGGCGGCACCAAGCTCGACGAGCGCATCATCCGCACCGATCTTGACCCGGGCTTTGAAGAGGGCCGCCAGTACGGCCGCGGCAGGTCGGGCGGCCAGGTCCGCGACGAGTATCGCGAAGACTTTGACGAGGGCCGCGGCGGCGTCGGCAGGGCGCTGCAGGGCGAGGAGTATGGCGAGGAGAGATAAAGATGAATAGAGGAGGGCAAGAGATGCAGAGTGTGCTTCTTATTAAACGTGTATAACAATGAGTTTTGCGGAAACTGGATCAGGTGTGTAAAGGTTATCAGAAATCAAATTATGCGCCTTGCTTCATCTAATTTGTACCATGCTGCTGTGAATCGTACAGCCACCGTCTGACGTTTGTACATGACTAAGTAACTCGCCCGTTTCCATTGAAATCAAAACATGACCAGCTGTAGGTAAATGAATCTTGTTGTTGTACATGATGTGCCGACCATGAACCAAGCATGTCTTTGTCCCCCGTCACATCGTAAATTGGCATCGATAATACGCCGTAGCCACGCCTCGAATTAGTAACCCGGGGGGTTGACTCTTTGCGAAACTCTCGTCCACTTGGGAACCTCTGCATCAAAAGATGGTCAGTCTCCAATTGCGCCTCGCCATTGTCGTGGGAACCCTTTTTAACGTACTGTGAATACCCTTGCGAAACTTCTTCGCCTTGCGGTCAAAGATGGTATATTTGTCCTTGGGCAGCATCTCCTCCTCCTTGGGCATGTCCGCCTTCCAGCGCTCGACAGCCTCGAGCGTCTGACCCTGTTTCGCAAGCGCCGCGTCGAGCGTGGCGACGACGCTGTCCACGGCGCGGAGCCGCATGCGGTGGCGGCGCTTCTGGAACTTGGACAGCCGCCAGGGAATTTTCCACAGCAGGCCGCCCGAGAGGGGGTTCGTGATGCGAAACGGGCCAAACATGCTTTGCTTGGCGCTGATTGCTTGTGTGTGGGTAGGTTTTGTCGGGTACAATGTTGAAGTTCTCAATTCTAATTTCGAAAAGCAATTCGTCGCTGGTTTTCTCCTAACAGATCAGAAACAGGTACAAAAAGTGGAGCGAAATTATTGGCTGCAGGTGGACCAAGGTGCTAGGTAGTTATGGTGAGGCTACTCTACCTAGGGACAGACAGGAAGCTCCAAATTGCCAACCATAGCAAGCAACAAGGCGAAAACGGGCAAGGCTTTCATTCGAAACTTCCCGGCTTCCAGCGGACGGCAGATGACGACGGCGACACAATGAGCTACTACTTTGCCATTGTCGGCACGCAGGACAACCCTCTGTTCGAGTACGAGTTTGGGACGTCCAAGCAAGGCGGCGATGGCCAGTCGCGCTTCCCCGACCAGGTGCGGCACCTGAACCAGATTATCCTGCACTCAAGCCTGGATGTTGTCGAGGAGGTGCAGTGGTCACAAGGGCAGATGTGAGTCTCTTTCTCTTCCCTGTGCTACGGGTGGGTGTCCCGCTCACCGAGGCGGATGCAGATGCAGCAGCCTGCTGCCGCAATCCAAAACTCATTAATGACTCCGTCTTCCCCCCTAGGTACCTCAAGTGCATCGACAAGTTCTTCAACAACTACATTTCCTGCTTCGTCACCGGCGCCGGCGCCAAGTTTCTGCTGCTGCACCAACCGCCTGCCCCCAACCCCTCAGGCTCGTCGCGCTCCTCGACAGCCATTGGCGCCAATCCGACGAGCCCCGCGACCGAGGAGGCCATCCGCATGTTCTTTACCGAAGTCTACGAGAACTGGGTCAAGGCCATCATGAACCCCTTTTACAAGCAGAATATGGAGGTGCGCAGCCCCATCTTTCGAGCGCGTGTGGCGGCCGCCGGACGAAAATACTTGTGATGCTGGAGAGGTGGAAGTTCTTAGAGCAATCTGCAAGCAGTAGATACGAGTTATGAGTGGGCGCATTGGCTGATTTTTGTGTGGCCTCTTTCGAGGCTGTGTGTAATTCTTTCACTCGGCTCAGGGGTTTTACGAGACAAGGTACATTTCTTCACGTTATCAACTTGATGCAAAAGTATTGGTATTGTAGTTTCATTTCGAGTCAGCTGCTGTGACCCATCCATGGTTTGCCATATCCCTTATCAAACGCCATTCAAATCAACCAATAAAATACAACAAGGACTCCCCAGGTCAGCATATCCGCGTGCTAGACCGGGCCTTTCCCAATAAGCCGTGATATAAAGCAATGGAGAATACGCAAAGATACACAACTCTGTTCGAGGCTTGTCGATGATGTTTAACCACCGAAACCGTACAGGGTGCGGCCCTGGCGCTTGAGAGCATAGACAACGTCGAGGGACGTGACAGTCTTGCGCTTGGCGTGCTCGGTGTAGGTGACGGCGTCACGGATGACACCCTCAAGGAAGGTCTTGAGCACGTTGCGCGTCTCCTCGTAGATCATGGCCGAGATACGCTTGACACCGCCACGGCGCGCCAGACGACGGATGGCGGGCTTGGTGATGCCCTGAATGTTGTCACGAAGAATCTTGCGGTGACGCTTGGCGCCGCCCTTGCCGAGACCCTTGCCGCCCTTGCCACCTGGAAGAGAAAAAAATGTTAGACACAATGACTAGAAGAGGGTGTTGTGATGTGTTGACGATGCATGGCAACGGTGGACGCGTTGAGTGCAGATGCACCGCACCGGTGATGTAACGCGTCATTTAAACCACGCGAGCCCCGAGCCAGTCGAGATGCAATGCCACGCGCGCTATCACCGAGTCGAGGGTGAAAAAAAAAATTTGTAACTTACGTCCAGTCATGATGGATTAAAGGTGTGAATGTGGTTAGATGTGGTTAAATGTAGTTGATGCGTTGACGCGAAGAGACGTGTTGTTGCAGGCAGGGGAAGGTAGTATGATGAAAGAGGAGAGACCAAAGATGCGGGGGGGGCGTGGGAGGGGACTTGGATTGCTAAATAGCCGTGCACAATCAGCCAGCCAAGCAGGCACCGCATCAGCCGGAGCATGGGCTCCCTTTTTTTTTTTGTCCCCTACCCGCCGATAAAACAAAACGTAGCGCAAAATCACAATCAACACGTTGATAATAATGGGTCCACGCGAGAAAATAAGCTGCACACAACGCTAGTCCTGTTTGAGGACGGGCGTGTCAACAGACTTTGTACCTCTAGATCACCCGGTACAAGACGCGTCGACACAATGCCAATTGTTGCTCCCTTTTCCAAACGTGCCGATTTTTCTCATTGGTCAGGGGGGCTCGAGGCTGCAGTAGATCTGAGATTTGTATTTTGCCTGGCTTTTGCAAAGTACCTCTCAATTTGCCTTTGCTGCCTGGCAGGCGGAAAGGCGGAAAGGCGAAAACGGTGCAGCCTTGCCTCGGCGGACCGTATCGCCGCAACACCATTCACGAACCCGTTTCGGACTGCTCCGTTTCATGTCCAGTAGTTACTCTCGAAATCGTAGCTTGCTTTTATCAATGTATACCAAATCACAGCCAGAATCAAATTACAGCACTCAAGTCGGTCTTTTAAAATGTTGTACACGCAGTGCAAGTCAATATTGGCAAATAATACAGCAAGACTGCCAACGGCGTGCCTATGCCCTCCTTCGCCATGAGCCCTTTCGAAACCTTTGGGATATCCAGTGCGCTGCTTCAACTCCTCGTGTCCATGTCCTTCCACTCATTCTCTCCAAGAAAAGAGGAAAGCGATCCAAAGAAAACAAAACAGTAACAGTAAAGGTTCCAAAAGTCCCAGCGTCCGCCTCGGTGCTGCCCTGTTGCACAGTAAAAATGATGCCATCCCAACCAACGCCCAGTCAAGAAAAAAAAACCCCCCAATGCAAACGTGCTATGATGTCGTCCACAGATCATTACCCAGTGTTGTACACTACTGCACTTTTCTTTTACTCTCCTCTACTTCAACCAGTAGTCCCACGGTGTTCAGCGTTGCGAATGTGGTCAAGATGAACAATGCAAAAGTGCCTTCGTCAGAAAACATCAGACGCAGGAACTCGCATCCTCTGACATCACGTCATCATCGAGTCGTCCATGGGCATATCGTCTTCGAAGCGTTCAATTGCCTCCTTAATCATCGGGCCAGCCTATTCAACGAATCAGTCAAGGGGTTCAGTAACCCAACGTCGCGGCATCTTACCTTTGGGTCCAACGCTAGTGCAATGGTAAAGTGGCGAACCGCCAATTGCCGGTCATTCATGCTCCTATACAATGTTCCGAGCAAAAAATGGACATGTCCCTCATTCGGCGCCAGATCTTTGAGAATGACCAGTTCCTTCTCAGCCTCCTCAATCTGGCCAATCGCCAAAAGCGCATGCGCCTTCTTGTATCTCGTCATGGCTGCCCTGGGAGCAAGCTCGACAGCCTTGGTGTAAGCCCTGAGCGCTGGCATAATCTGTTTTTGTCTTTCAAGCACGGTTCCAATACAAGACACAAGGACTGCATTGTTCGGGTTGATGGATTGTGCAGCTTGGAAATGGGTTAGTGCCTTTTCGTTGTCACCAAGACGCTCCTGCACTCGACCGATGCCATAGTATGCATTGTAGTGGCGTTTATCGGCAGAAATGGCTTGTCGGTAGGCAGTCAGTGCCTGTTCGTATTCTTCGTTGGTGACGTGCTCATGTCCTTGTAGCGTGAATGCGTACGCAAATTTGGGGTCCAGCTGTGTTGCTCTCTTGAAGCACTTGAGTGCTTGTTCAGGGTCCTTTGCCAAGGACCAAGCATTGCCCAGGGCGCACCAGGCTTGCGGAGAGTGCCACGCCGAATCGACAAGCTCATGAGCCAGGAACGACAAGTCCGTCTCTCTCTTGAGGTGCCACAAAATGGTCGAGTACACTTCCATATCCTGGAGCCTCGAAGGTGCTTGTACGCGCATCCGTCTGAAGAACTTTTCAGCTTCCGCGTACGAGGCTTGCTCGTAATGTGCGCGGCCCATCTGAACCAATACCCACGGCGTTCCCTGATGCGCCAGTGGCAAAGAGTTCAGTGCATGCAATGCTTCTTGGCACTGGAACCTCGACAAGAAGTAGTAGCCATTACCCAGCTTCTTCATTACATCCATTATGTATCGAACGGCTTCCTCCATCTTAGCTCCATCGTCCGTCTGCTTGGGTGGTTGGAAGGGTTGTGTTGCAGTGTGCGTCGAGGTTGCGGGTTCACGCACGCGTGACGCCTCACCGTGATCTACATCCGCGTGATCATCTATTGGTTTTCGATTGCCACTGACTACGCGGCCAACATTGGCGCCACTGGAGCCAGGTCGTACAATTCGGGAGATGGGCGGCCTAGCTTTTTTCAACTCACGGCCGGCGGAAGCTCCGATGGTGGCAGCGCCAGAGTTGGCCCTTGAAGACGGCTTAAACGTAGTAAGTCGTGCGCTTCTTCTCGTGCCAGCATCGTCAACATTAGCTGTGCGTGATACGGGATGACCGGACAGTGTTCGTTTTCTATCCGCCGTCGACAAAGCCGCCGCTCGTGTAGTACCGGCAGCCGGAGCCGGAGCGTCAGTCATGGGCTCTACAGCTTGTTGCACGTCTCGATCCTCTGATCGTGTGCTTCTTTTAGCGCCCAATCGATAGTTCATGCGTGGCGGCGCCTCGAAGCCTGCATCTATCCCTTGAGCCTGGCGTGCTCGTCGAGGTGGCGCTTGGGGAGGTTCGTGGCCACCAGCCAGTCTGTTGGATGCGTCTCCATTAGAGGGCCCGGGGGGTGTTTCGGTTACGTCAAATAGTGACAAATTGCTACTTGAAGTACCAAGGCGCAGTCGCGCGCTCTGGATTTTCGTCAGCAAATCGCCGTCTGTGGATTCTGAAAAGACGTCGGCAAGAGGGCTCGCTGCTTCAGACAAGGAGAAGCCGACGTTGAACGGGTCAGACCCCGGGTCGGATGTGAGACTCCGCAATGACGACTTTTTGGGTGCCATCTCGAGTGTGCTAGAGTTAGCCAGGGAGGCGGGCGTTTTGGCAGCTGGGGCCGCTTCAGAGTCGAAGTTGCGAGCGAGCAAGTCAGAGGATCGAAATATGTTGGGGATGCGCACATTGACACCCATGTCGCAGAGCGCCGTAAAAGCATCCCACTGGAAAGGGTTGAGCTTGAGGGCTTCCTCAAAAGCGCCGGCTGCTTTCTTCTTGTCGTCGTAACCGCGATATAGCTTGCCGAGTAAACACAGCACGGCAGCTGCATCTGGACCGCTTGTGCGTAAGAGAGTACCGCTCTTTCCCAAGCTACCCTTGGAGGACCAGAGGATTTTCGATTTTTCGAGTGCCGTGATGCCATCTTTGTAACGTTCTAAAGCCAAGCATGCCTGCGCGAATACCCAGGCGCATCCTAGATTCGTTCCACGGTATCCCATCGGTTTTCCGACATCATAGGCGGAGCGGTAGTCTCCCAGGCGCAAATGACAGAGGGCGTGGAGGTGCGTAGCATCACTCGAGCGCGGATCCTGGGCTACGAAACGTTCGGCAAAGAAGAGTGCGTTGTCGTAAGAAGCGTTGTCAAGATGATGCTGTATCACTTGGCGCAACAGGCCAGAGACAGCCGTCTGACTTGGCGCCATGGCAGAGGTAGCTTTCCAAAGCGGAGCGCAAGTCACGTCGGATGTAATGCAAAGACAGAATCACCGTCGTGACTGGGCCATGGAGAAGAGAGTTGTATGATACAGTCAGGTGGGCGTGTAGAGCTGTCCGCGGGCTAGCGAAGCGATTGCACCGGAGAGCGTGCTCGAGGGCGATTGGTTCGACCGGAGCTAGTGATTATTCGATTGCTCACTCGACTGGCACGACGAGTATCTGATGGTGCAACGCCACTAGATGCTGAAGCGCTGTGATGTTGAGTTCGGTAACGTATGCGGGGCGGCAGACGGCAGCAAAATAACACAACAGAGTCAAGAGTCAAGGCGCCCGACGGGAAGCGCCTTGATCGAAAGATCTGAACGAAAATGACGGAAAAAATCGATTCGTGGTAGAATAGCGTCGCGGGTGAGTCGGAAGCGATCTGAAGAAAAGCTTCGGGCGGTTATCGTCAGTCGTGAAGTGCACGCGAACAGCGCAGCGCAGCAAACAAAAGACCAAGAAGGTGGCGACGACGAAGAAACGGCAGGCTTCTCGGGAACAATGCACTGTCAAAGGGACCTCGGCATCATAGCACGCGAGGCAGCTAGATGTTGAGAGAAAGAGGCCAGCAAAGTGCTGTTTCGGGCAGCCGAAGAGAGATGCAGCGTGAGAGTCAAATGGGAGCATCGAGGAAGGATGGGTCGGCGGCTGCGCGGCCAGTTGTTTTGTGAGGAGCTCGAGCTTGATTGGACAAAAGAGCAGCGGGTTGGTGGTGCGGTGGTGCGCCCAGCAACAGCGACGAGCTAGGTAGGTAGGTAACGCCACAGCACAAGAGCTGCAAGCAGTAAGAACCGTTGAGCGCAGAAAAGGACAATGTGAGACGGTTCAATTTTTTAATGTAAGACGATTCACTCTTCATTGACCACAGATCCTATTGCATACTGCATTTTTACTACCAACCTTTTGCAAAATTTTCAGTATACACTTCTACGAGAGCGAAATAATGGAGAGTGTCCATAGAGTGGCGGGTTATCGCGTTATCGCGTCACCTCACATCACCAGCTTCAGCTTTAGCTGCAGGGGAGCTTTACAGCGGACGCAGGGGGGAATCACAGGCACCTGCAGTGCTTGGCTGCATGCGGTCATAGGGGCTTTTAGGGGGGGCTGGTGTTCTCGCTGTGGCGCTGACTTGGCTCGCTGGAAGCTGCCCCGCCCCACTGCGGCCTCTATCCCAACCTCGCAGTCTTATCGCCAACACCACCACACTTTTTGACGTCGATCGTTGCCGTAACGTCATCTCATCACTCAGAGACACGGCCAAAATCTACGCTTTGGATTGCCAGTTTTTGTTCCTCTTTTCTTTCTCTCTCAGCATCCATATAGCCACCATTCTTGACTAGCCACGGCGCTCCAATCCAGCAGTCGAGACCGAAAACTTGTTCCACACGAGAAGCTTCAGCGTCCTTCATCCTCTCACCTCCCAGACGACTGTCTACCTACACGCAAGCGCCCACACATACAACCATCGCAATGGCGCAAAAAGCGAAAAAAGACCGCGCCAAGGCCAACGTCGCCGCACTCTATAACCTGCACCTGGGCTCCGCCATTGTCAACCTCGTCTTCCTCGCCTCCCACTTTCTGCTGCGCCCGCGCTCCCTCGTGCTCTACGGCGTGCTCTCCGCGCCGGCCCTCGCCTGCGAATTTGTCCTCGAGCGCTCCGGCCGCCCCCGCCACGACGCCGCGACCGGCGCTCTCAAGTCGGCCGGCGAGGACCTGGCCGCCCCCGGCCTGACCGAGTACATGTTTGACGTCGTCTGGGTGACGTGGGCCGCCGCCATCCTCGTCATGCTGGTCGGCAGCTGGGGCTGGGCTCTCTGGGCCGTCGTCCCCGCGTACGGTGTCTACATGGCCTCGGGCCTGCTTGGCTTCGGACGCTCGCAGCTCGCGCAGATGCAGGGACAGGGACAGTCCGAGGCGGCTGCTCCCACGGCCAACCGCAGACAGCGTCGAGCAGCATGATTGAAGGTGCAGCAAATGACATGTCCCACTGTATATTACCTGGCTATACCAAATAAAATCTATACAACTTCTATGCATTTTCTACTCCTCCCAGGGTCGCTTGGCCTTGGGCCGCTCGCCCGTCCACTTCTCCAGCATATCGTGATCGACGTCCTTAACCAGGACGTGAAAGTGCTCCAGCGCGCGCACGCTCTGCAACGCCACCCAATTCTTGAACCAGAGCACCCTGTCCTCGCCGCCCGGCCCGAGAGCGTCCGCAAACGTGCGCCGGACAAAGTCGCCCACCAGCCGCCGGCTCTCCGGCAGCATGTCGCCGCGGTCGTCGTCGGCCGGAATCCGCGTGCGCGTCCACACAATCACGTGCGTGATGCCCGGCGCCAGCGCGTACGGCCAGTCGTTGAGCAGGATCGCGTAGTCTGACGCATCCGCCATTGGCACCGTCGACGCAGGCGTAAAGGGCGGCTGGCCCCATGCGGACGGTAGCCGGTTCTTCATGAGGTAGTCTGTCATGGAGCCGTACTCTTCCTTGATGCCCGCGGTCCATTCCAGATACTTGCGGAGCTCTGTAGGCGTCCGTTTCAAGTCTTGCAGCTGGTTCGATTCTGCAAGTCCGACTCAGTCAGTCCGTGCCATGTATATTGGGCGGGTGCGGCGGCCACAGCCTCGCCGCCGGGGATTGCTCACCAATGATTCTCCTCAAATCCTCCCAGTCATGCTTCTTGAACGTCTCATCCGGCTGCTGCAGGATCCACTTGTCGACATTGGTGAGATTGAATGCGGGTTTGGAGGGCACCGAGTCTCCATTGATGCTGCTATCGCCCATCTTTTGACATGTAGCCATGTTCGCGGGGTCGAGTTGGCGGGGTGAAGTCGGTGAGGGGCAGCGGAAGTGAGCCTTCGTGGGGGTTCGCGCAGGGTTCAGAGTTGAACCGATGTCGCACAAGAGGGCAATGTACGTCAGATTATTGGCGACTAGTTATTTTCTGTCAGAAAACGCCTCAAAATGATGCCTAAAGACACTTGTCGACAGTCACGCGTCAGGCGCGTAATCAATCAAACGGCTGGTCCCATTTTTAGGAGCCAGATGCTGCGCCAAGCGTGACAAGAGAAGAAGTCCAACTTTCACATTGGTGTCAATGAGATGAATAAGAGTGGACAATAGCAATATGAACTCACGATAATATTGATAACATGATTAACAACGCTAGAGAAATTAGGCAGCGAGTGGCTTACGGCAAATTGATCGATGTTCCTACTAGGTAACTGTCATCTCACTGTCCGAGACTGGGCCGGGCCTCTTAAGGAGCCGTGCAAAGCCGCCTCGTTAGCGGGTGCTAAGGAGAGTGTTGCGTTAATGTGAGATACTTGGTCCAGGGTGATCCGGACAATCATTTCTGTCGTTCTTTTGCAATTCATTTGGCTAGGATGGGTTGCACGATCAAAGGCTTGGTTGTTCGACTGGAATGCCAATTGGGGGACAGTGGACCTTGCGCAGATGCGGTAGGGTCGGCCCGTCCGCATGAACTCACCACATGTCTCATATTGCTCACTGGTATTTGAAGAACTGAAAGGGGAATAAATCGCTCCCGCTAGATTCCAAAAAGCTAGCATTTGGACACTGGTATTTGTTGATCCGAACGGCGCGAAATGAGCGTCGTCGCTTACCCTGCAATACCGTCTCGATTGGAGAGGTGGTGGCTGCACGTGAAGCTGGCATCATGTGTTCAAGTGAACTACATTAGTAGGTGCTTATTGAATTAGAAGTCAAGAGTTGTTTTAGTTGAATAACTAGAGGGCTTTCTGTCAAGAGCATACAAAGCGCTTCACTTGCGGCGTTGGGCCATTCGAGGTACCATAATTCTTAGCGCCACAATGAGATCGATCTGAAACCTTGCGACCCTTTTGGTGCAACTGTGGCGATCGGGTACCTGGGCGAACAGCAAAGCTCAAGGTACCGAGGCAAAAAGCTCGCGCAGATCCAGAGCTGCTGCTCTCAAAATAAACCCGAACAGTCGCTCCCCGTTGCCATGATCGAGCCCTCCCTTCCAGTTACATACGAGCACTGTTTCTTTACCAACATCTATGCCGAGCTCGATTAGTGTGTCGCGAGGAAAGCAAGAAAGAAATAAAAAGGCCAAGTTATCAAGGGCACATGTATTTATTCTCCATGAAGCCAGATACTGCAGACTCCTGCCAATGTATTGGCACATGTGATTGCCAGATCGCCTCTCCCCGCATTTTGAATCTCCATTCCCGCATGCTCATCATCAGCCGGGGACGGCGGGAAAACTTGGCCTGCGACGGAGGTCCGCTTCGGCAAGCTGGCGCTCAGACCGGCTAGCAAGCCCGCGTGGGATTATACCTGGCCGCCTTATTGCCTATTTACCCTGTCTTGAGAATAACGCATCTTCATAATCTGCCTTTGTTCATTCAGTCAGTCCTGGGCAAGTCAAGAACTGCGCCGTCATTTTCCACAGCCATGATCTTCGAGCCGCAGTCCCTGCTGGACCACGCCGTGACCCTCGGCATCATCACGCCGCAGGTCATCCGGCAAGCTGGACCTGTACGCGGAACCATTGCGCTTCTGAAACTTCTTTTCGTATTCTGTAGGCTTCCTCTTCCTCACCTCGACAGTCTTGATAGCTTCCTTCTTATTCTGACCTTGTGTGAAAAAAACAACAAAAAAGTTCCCAAAGCTACCCTCCAACTAGTGTGGACGCGATACCTGACGGCGCGCAAGAACCGGCCGCTGTACGTGCAGCAGGCCAACATTGCCGAGGACCTTGCACTGCGCCTGCTGCGCTGGTCCGCCGTCAACTTACACCCGCGCGTGCTGCGCGCCGTCACGGACCGCCCAGCCGCGGCGCAAGTCATCAAGTGGCGCGCGTACCGCAACGGCTGGACGAAGTATGATGAGCAGGTGGAGGAAAAGGTCCTGGAAGAGGTACGCGGCGTTGCGAGTAGCTACATGGGACGTGCATTGATAGCTTACGTGACGTAGGGCCCCGAGAAAACAGAGGGCATCTGGGTCAGACATGACAGGACCAAGAGGCACGACATTATCCTCTTGTATATACACGGTGAGGCATCACGATGCTTAACTCATTCCTACCTATGGCGAGACTAACGTCGGGGATCATGACATAGGTGGCGGCTACGCTGTGCTCTCGGCCAAGTTCTACCTCGAGTTCCAGCTCGCGGTGCAGAGCAGCTTGCTCGAGGCGGGCTACGAGAACCCGGCCATCTTCAGCCTCGACTACACGCTGGCACCGGACAAGCACTTCCCGGGACAGCTCAACGAGGCCGTGCTAGCCTACAAGGAGGTCCTCGCAGCGGCCGACCCCGACACAAAAATTTGCGTGGGCGGCGACTCGGCGGGCGGTATGCTGACGCTGACGCTGCTGCAGGAGCTCGCGGCGCGCAAGCTGCGCGACGAGCCTCTGCGGCACCCTGACCTGGGCCTGCTCATCTCGCCGTGGGTGACGCTAAAGACACACCTGCACCGGCGATCTAGCCTCGACTACATCCAGCCAGACACGCTCGCACGCTTCGCCGAGCTATATACGGGCGGCGGGGGGGTTGGACTGTACCAGGCGCCCGCATCGCCGGGCAGCTGCCAGGATGAGGGCATTTGGGAGGCGGCGCGGCCGGGGCGCGGCTACATCGTGACGTACGGCGAGGAGGAGGGGCTGGCCGATGACATCAAGTACCTGATTCAGCACCAGAAATCACGCGGCACCGAGGTGCGGGTGCTAATGGACGCGGGCGGCGTGCATGTGTGGCCGGTCGTTTCGCTGCAGTTTTGCACGACCAAGGAGCGGCGCGTGTTAGGAATCCAGTCTATAGTCAGAGAAATTAGAAGCGCGTTGGCATAAGGCGGGGCGGCATGAAGAGCGTTTGTTGAGAGGAGAAAATCAGATTAGATCAAGTAGGCATTCACAGACGTGGCCTGGTGAGCGAGTCGGGAACCAGAGTCGGCGGAAAAACCGCAGAAGCGGCTTCGTCTTCGCGGCGCACGTCTCACCAAGTTTATAAAGCTCATGAATTGTTGACATCATTTTGGATTGCATGTGTTGTGTTTGTGCTGGATGCATGATTATATGCAACATGGTGTACGTACGAGCCGGGTGCAGCAGAGGAAGGGAGGTGGAGGGAGGCCGAGCATTGTTGAGAATGCAGAGCGAGGAGCTTCAGTTTCAAGGCTTCGAGAGAGGCTGGTTGAAGGATGGAGGACGGAGGTTGGGAATGCCACTTTCAAAAATTGTGAGTGGTAACTTGTTCCACGGTGGGGAAACGGCATATTGGAGGACCCACTCACCCAAGTTCTTGGTACCAGTATCCGTACTTGCATCCACTTACAAGTTGGTGGAGGCATTTCATGCATTGTCCGTTACTTTACTGGCAAGAATGTAATGTTTAAGTATGCGAGGAAAAAAAAACCATAAAATGGTTTTTATTGATAGACCCTGGATTTGCTTACTGTGGGCCAGGATGATGAGGTACTCGCTACTCGTCAGCACTTCGCCGCTGAACTTTGGGCGCCAACCTGATTTATGCAGTTACGAATGACCAGAGATAGTGAGGCTGTTGACTATAATAGATTGGTAGTGTCTATAAAATGGACAGATGAGCAGCCTAATGTAAGAGGCCTTTCATGACCTAGCAGGGCCATTGACCCAAGTGCAGCTGCAGACTGGCTGCCCAAACTAGATGATTGGTTCTTGTTATTGCAAGCTCATTGAAAATAACGCAAAATCGATTGCTCGAGGTCATGAACATGCAAGTTTGGTTGACTCGATACCCAACTTGCCTCGAGCTACAGTCATGATTGACTCGATACCCAACTTGGCTGTAGTTGCAGTTCCTGGCGACCTGGCACTCAAGCTGAACTACTGCATTTGAGGCACAAGCAAGGAAATGTGGCGACTCAGTTGCGACTCGTAAGTGACTCGGGACGATTGCCAGGCGCCTACGGTACTGTACGACTCGTACGGAGTACAGTAAGAGTAGTCCAAAGAGGGCCCATCGCTACCTAGGCACCAATGAATAAGGTAGCCTGTTTCGGCACCCCGATGACAAGGCTGTTGAGGCCAGTTTTTGGCCAGACCCAGACCACCTTGGTAGCAAATAGGTGGTGCCTGGCCAAAACTAGCGCTGGTTTAATGGGCTGGCTGCAGCTGCAGCTGCACCATCAGCCAGCCCGTCAGCCCACGACGTGCATATAAACAGGCGGAGTCCCTCGTCTGGAAAACCCCATACAGACAGACACCAACCAAACCAACAGCAACAGGCACCCGAACTACCAGATTCCTCTTGACGCGCCGCCACCCACTGAGTCTCTTGCTGCACGCTGCCACTTTCGCCACTTGTCACCCTCATTTGTCCAATAATTTTCCGACGCGCATCTGAAATATCACAAGCCCCCAATTATACTCATCTTGTATCCCTCATCCTTCATCCGGGCCAGATCCAGCCCCAGGCGCACACGGCCCTACACCCTCCCAAAAACCTCCGTCTGTCGACATAGTCCATTGCCGCAAGCCACCTCACCCTCACCCTCGTCGTCGGTCCGTCCATCATCGAATTCTTGGCACGGGTACGTCCTCGTATTCCCATGCATCTGCCATCTCGACGCGCCCTCTACTCTGCAGCCCTGTCACTGTCCTGAACCGTGGGCAGCACCGGCCGGAAACAGACTGCCCCGCCATCGCGCCCGCATTAAATAGCACAACGCCTCCGTCGCGCACGCAAACAAAGCGCAGCCATTGACTGACTTGACCACTGCCCACGCCGTGGATCGATAACAAGCCTCGAACAAAAGAAAAGGAACAAAAAAGGAGACAAACCAGTCGAGTACCTGTTTTGGAACGCAAAACCCACCCCATAGTCCAACTGCGACATCTCCGGCTGTCGCATTCCGGTCTACGACAGGACCTCGCGCCACACTGCTGAACTACCTACCTACCTACTTGACCTTGCAGCACCGCAGCTAGCTCCAGCGTGAAGCTCCCTTGCCCACTCCACGAGAAGGGAGTACCGTCCACACTGACATACATTTTTCTCCCCAAAAAGGGAAATACAAAAAAGGCTTTGATTGTCCGACAGTTCAACGGCCATTGACGTTTATCGGCCTACAACAGCCTCGTCACAGCAAGCCGCCAGCTACAGCCTTGCTCAGCAGGCCCCCTCCCTCCCCGGCCCGCCCTGGTTTGTCGCTAACATCAAGGCCCACCAGCACTGGCCCAAATTTATTTACCATGTCCGCCGACGACACTTCTTACGCTCCCAAGTCCCCCGACTTCTCTGCTTTCTTCACTTCTGGTTCCACCGACCAAGCGCCACCTCTCGACCTTGGACCCTCAAGTCACGACCAGCATTTCCAGCCTCCCTCCTTTGGCTACACCTCGTCATACATCCCTCCCACCTCGACCAGCTTTAGCCCAGCTTACGGCTTTGACAGCAACTCGTACCAACCACCCGGCCTGCCGCACCATAAGTCGTTTTCGCAACTATCTGCTGGTCAGCCATCCTACGGTCACGAGTATCCCTTACAAGGCCCAAGTCAGCTTCCCGTGTCGACAGCTACTGCCGACCCGTACCCTCCGACTCTCCGGCATTCACCCGATCCCGAACCAGCCGCAAAGATGCCTCGCAAAGCTGCCAAGGAGCCTTTACCGCCCGCACCTCCCATTATTGATTCGTCCATGGTCAGGACAAAGTTTCCGACAGCCCGAATTAAACGGATTATGCAGGCCGACGAAGAAGTTGGGAAGGTCGCCCAACAGACGCCTATCGCGGTTGGCAAGGCGCTAGAGCTCTTCATGATCCAACTCGTGTCCAAGAGCGCCGAAGTGGCCAAGGACAAGGGGTCAAAGCGCGTCACCGCGGCCATGCTCAAGCAAGTGGTCGAGTCAGACGAGCAGTGGGATTTCCTGCGCGACATTGTGAGCCGGGTTGAACACGAAAAGGAAGGCCCCAAGAAGGAGGCCAAAACAAAGGTGGAAAGCGATACCGAAGACGAGCAGCCTAAAAAGAGACGAGGCGAGCGAGGCGCCGGTCGAAAGAAGAAGACATGTTAGCTGGTCCATGTCATTGTCTTGCTTTTCTCTCTCTTCAATCCCTCTATTTTGGCCATGAAAGGCGAGCTCGACGAAACGAAGCTACGAAACAAGATGGCAGGCGTTTTCTACTGGTCAACATATTATACGGCGTTGCATGGGTTCAAGGTACTAAAGTAGGTTTAGAAAGCGGCGTCATGCCTGGTGAAAGCATTTCTCTCGCGCGACGAGGCGAATTGCCGAGTGTTATGGTTACTTATTAATTCAAATCCATGCACTCATGCACTCGTTCACTCTTTTTGATTCTCCTGTGTTCAACCGGTGGTACAAGGAAATTCGTGCATGGGTGTGCGGCTGCGCCTGAGTCGTACTGCTTGGAGCACATGTCTTGGATGCAGTCGGTGAGGTATGCTTCTTGCGCGGTACCTCGCAGTCGCGGGCATGCTGATGCGGGCAAGCTGCAGGTCTGCGAAGCACGAACATAGATAGAAACACCATGATATTGAGAACGGTTGGGGTGACGCGCACAAATCTGGGTAGAAGACAAACACGACTGAAAAATCACAGAGCACTGAGAAACCGTCGTCATAATACGGCTGGACACACAGAATTTGCGGGTGGGCGTCGCCAAATACGTAGCACGCGTGGCCCACGCAGCGGGTCAGTATAAGAGGGAACCCTGCCAAAGAGGTACGCGGTAATAATAGGGCAAAAGGGGATTTCCATCACCCGTGGGAAAACGTAAAGGAGCAGGATGAGGAGCTCAGTGGTCGTGGACAGCTGTGGACAGGTCATCATCTACAATTCGTACGGCTTCCACCGCTGCCGCCGTTCCCCCTCAATTCCGCCCATGCATGTATTGCTGAAGCTTCGCTGCGCACATCATTCCGCCTTCCTGGTTTTTTCCTCCTTGAACTCTGCAAGGGGCAAATTCACGTCCGGAATATAAACAATTAAATCATGGAAATCAACGTGTAACCGAAGAATAGGAAAAGTGTCAATTCATACCACTTCATAACTCTGTGACAAGCCGACAAGCCGTCGTCTCCATCGTCGCCCCTCTCCAACGAAATGCAAACCCGCGTCGATTTAGTCTGGGAAATCTAGCCACTTCCAAACCACACCAATCACGCCCATTCGCCGCCAACTTCGTCCAAAACCTCCTCCATCTCGCGTATATTAAATGCGGCAGCCCCAATCCGATCCCCGACGTCCATCCCCGTTCGCCCGCCCGCTCCCCGCCGCCGCCGCCGCCGCCGCCGTCTTCTCGCCGCATTTCCCTTGACCATAACGGCCCGATGTCGTGGGAGCTTCTGCAGCGGTTCTTTGACTCTGATGTCTTCAACTCCAACCCTTTTCTTCCCGTCTCCTACCTCTCGTAAGCATCCACACTACCGCTGCCGCCCACGGGGAGCGCGCATCCCCCCTTGGCCTCGACTCGCTGGACTTGTGTTTGACTGACATTGAGGATTCCTTGACTGCTCACACCCGACAGGCGCTACGCAGACCATATAGGCATTCACTACGTGCTCTGCAATAAGCTGCGCCAGTTCCCGTACGAAGACATTGAGTTCTTCCTTCCGCAGCTATGCCACCTCATCATTAGCGTGGACAATGAGTCCATGGCGCTCGAGGAGTTTCTTCTCGATCTCTGCGAGGAATCCGTTACCGCGGCTCTGCTGGTATGCCGTGCCACATTGCTGTCCCGTCTTTGCGGCCAACGTGGCTAATCTGCTTTCAGACCTTTTGGCTCTTCCAAACCTATCTTCACGATCTATCCTCGAATCCGCAGTCCACCGCCTTCCAAACGTGTCGTCGAGTCTATAACAAGGTGCAGCACATTGTCTTTGGCCTCAATGACGTCGGTCGACACGAGAGGATTAAGGAAAATGTCCTCCCCGTCACTGTACTTTCCAGCTTCGTCCTCGCTAGCGTCGCCCTGCCCATGATTCCAAAATGGGCCGGTCCGCTTGCTGTCGCACAGGCTCGCAAGCCACAGCCCATAACCAACGCTGCGGTCAGTGAAACAACCGACGATGGCAAGCCGGGCAAACCGCAGACCGTCACCGCTCTCAATGCGAGACCGAAACGCAGCAAGGATAGCCGCGTGCCCAGCGCGAGAATCTCCTCGCCTGGTCGAACTGTCGCAGCAAAAGCAATTATCCAGGCGACCACAGCATCCCCTAAATCGAAATTACAAAAGGAGATGAAGAGACCGCCTGCGTTGAACATGGCCCAGACCGAGGCCATGTCGAGCTCGGCATCGCTTCCCTTGCCTTCGCCGCCACAGACGACGAGGCCCGAGACGCCCCCATTGACCGCTGGCCTCGCACCGCGCACCCACTCCGATAGCATCCTCCGCAGACACTCGCACCACACAAAGAATTCCAAAACCACAGGCAACCTGTCCTCGATACAAAAGACGCGGCTGCTAAGGCAGCACTACTTTAGATCCCAGACACAATTCCTACAGGCGCTCGAGGGCATTTCCAACCGTCTCGTTATAGTACCTAAGCAAGCTCGCATGAGCGCTCTCCGCGCAGAGCTGGCCCTTATTGCGCGAGACTTACCTGCCGAAATTGACGTTCCTGTTATATGCCCGCCCACTTTGCTAAACGGCGCTCCAGGGAAGAGCCGACATCATCGCATTGTTCGCCTGAACCCAGCCGAAGCAACTGTCTTGAATAGTGCCGAAAAGGTACCATATCTACTCATGGTTGAGGTGCTCAGGGAAGACTTTACGTTCGATCCGGAGACGCCAGACAACCAGCGGCTCTTGCCGGAACTGATTGGTGTCCGCGGGAATTCGAAGCGTCTATTTGACCTGTCGTCCGAGCTTCCAAAATCAGCACAGGCGACACCGCCGCCCGAGACCGCTGTAGATAGTGTTTTTGAACCGACCTCGGGCGACCTCAGCAGCTCTAATCTAATCAAGTCGCTGGATGAAGAAGGCCAGCCGCGTGCGGCACTCAAGCAGACGCTACCGTATGGCACCCAGCGGCTGTCTAGCGGAGCAACAACGTCTTCCACCACCCTTGACGCCGCTACCCCACGAACTTCGGGCGCATCAAGATCGCGATCCAGTAGCCCCGGCTCGCGTCGCAAGATGACGCTGCAGATGAACCGAAATGCGTCCACCGACCAGCCAGACTTTTCCGCTCTCGCCACGCACATGCGCACAGCGTCGCAGATGCTGGCCCAGCTGGATGCCACCAGCGGAAAGCGACCCAAGCAAGAGGTCGCCGCCATCCGCGCCAAGATTATCGCCTCCATGCAGACCCTGGAGGAGCGCAGTTTTGATGCAGACGAGCAAGGCCCAACCTTTGACACCATCATGGCCAAGGCCAGCACAGCAGCAGCAGCCGCGGCGTCTGCGGCCGCCGGCAACCCGGACCTGGATGAAGACGCACCCGTAGACACGAACCTCAATGCCAGCGCGGGTCGCGAGCGCATGGAGAACGACTTCAAGACGGGCGGCGTGCAGCGGCGGGGCGACCGCGACGACCCCAGCGCGGCCGTGTTTGGCGAGGCGTGGGAGGCCAAGAAAGAACGCATCCGCAAGTCGTCGCCGTACGGGTGGATGAAGAATTGGGACCTTGTCAGTGTCATTGTCAAGACAGGTGCAGACCTGCGGCAAGAAGCGTTTGCGTGTCAGCTCATCCACGTGTGCCACAAGATCTGGGTCGACGCCGGCGTGGACGTTTGGGTCAAGCTGATGCGCATCCTGGTGACGGGCGAGTCGTCGGGCCTGATCGAGACGATTACCAACGGCGTGTCGCTGCACTCGCTCAAGCGAAGCCTGACGATGGCGTCGATTGAGGCGGGCAAGAACCCGCGGCACCGCATCGCGACGCTCAAGGATCACTTCCTCAAGGCGTTTGGCGAGCCTGGCAGCCGGCCGCACCGCGCGGGCGTCGACGCCTTCAAGCGCTCGCTCGCCGCCTACAGCGTCATCTCGTACGTGCTCCAGCTCAAGGACCGCCACAACGGCAACGTCTTGATCGACAGCGAGGGCCACATTATTCATATTGATTTCGGCTTCATGCTCTCCAACTCGCCTGGTTCTGTCGGCTTCGAGGCGGCCCCCTTTAAGCTCACCCATGAGTACGTCGACGTGCTCGGCGGCCTCGGCTCTCCCGACTACGAAGACTATAAGAAGCTCTGCAAGCAGGCTTTCCAAGGTACGGCAGAGCCCCCCGCGACCTCTTGCGGGTACCATGATGAAGAAGAGTAAACGAAGCTAATTTGGTGACAATTACAGCGCTGCGTCGCTCCGCAGACTACATCATCGACCTAGTTGCCATGATGGGCCGCGAATCCAAGATGCCCTGCTTCTCCGTCGGCGTGGCCACGGCGACGAGCGCCCTGAGGCAGCGCTTCCAGCTGCATCTGAGCGCCGACGAAGCAGAGCAGTTTGTCGAGACGGATCTGATTGCAAAGTCTTTTGGAAGCTATTATACACGACTGTGCGTGACACCCCCCACCCTTGCTTATTGACCGAAAGCCGTTGCATACTGACGGGAGCGCAGCTACGATACTTTTCAATACCGAACACAGGGCATATACTAAGAAGCATGGTATGGCAAGACATGAACTGTCTGTTGCGTAATTGTCCTCTTCTACTTCCTCTTATGTTCCCTTCTTCTTCTTCTTCTTCTTCTTCTTCTTCTTCTTCTTCTTCTTCTTCTTCTTCTTCTTCTTCTTCTTTCTTTTTTCTTTT